GTGCGTCATAACATCGTAGACGCACCGCGGCCACAAGGTCGAAACTCGAATCTTCGGCAACATTGTTTGTGTTTTATCTTCAAGTGGCTGGTGGCGTTAGGGGATCATCTGCTGTTGTAATAACGACGACCAGCGCCGCATTATTGCGTCGATAATGAACTGATAAACAGTCATTATCATCGCACGAGTACAGTTTCACCTTCGATTAATCGGCCAACTGGCCACGCGGGCTGACATTCTGGGCTTATCGCGTCTCTTGATTATTTTTAGGATACGACAACCTTTGTATCATAATCTCAAAATCGAACACGTTGCGATTTCTGTGGTATGAGAAACACACATTTGTTTACCTAACGCTCAAGTACTTCGTTTAAATACATGGCACAAGTTGCCTTAATAGCTTCGTTGTTTGTTCTAAGAAGACAGTTGGTCCATTGGGTTCTTCATCACATGGAGAACCTTGATAGTCACACATCCAGTCACTAATGGCGCAAGGAGAGCTCGAAGGAGCCGCTCGAAATAGGTTCATGGGCTCATTAGGACTTTGGATGGGGGTGGTGTGAGTCTGGAGGAAGGGATGAAGTGTGGGCACGTCGCTTTCTCTGTTCTGTACAACCGACTTGAACTTGTTGAGAAGGAGCAGTAAGGGCTCAGGGTTTACAATCTTACTATACACCGCGGTGGGGCATGAACGTTGATGCAGCATAGGGGACCAGAAGGGTAGGAGGTCCCACTGTTACTTACAACTAGGAATGTTCATTGATATTGTGTTGCATTTTGTGTGGAAGCGGTTGGGTAGTAAGTTCCAACGCCTACTTCGGCCTAAAAAGATCTATTGTAGTCCTGTTGAAGGGTAATAGATAAATAAGAACTCATTTAAACTCTTCGCTAGATTTTTTTTATAATTTTTAATTTGTAGGTATTTAACTCTCTAAATAAGCTAGTATCCTGATGTTAGTAACTTCAAATTAAACGATTTTTATAAATAACCACTAACATCACCACCATCTTCCTGCGAAAATGACTGTGTCAAGTATGTCCACTGGTCCTCATATATTGTATGCATTTATTAATGCATTCATTCACAGTCACAATAGCTGAGTGACACGATTTTTTATTATGTCTTCCCGTCATGAAAGAACAAAACTTATTCAAGCCAAATCGTCTTCAATAAGTTTTGAGTAAGAGATTGGAACTATAATATTACATAGGTTAGTTTTAAGTGACAAGTTATTTAGAAAGGTACAGATCAAATGTTACTTAAGACGTTAAATATGATGACTGTTGCTTCTCAGTACATATTTGCCAATGTTATGTACGTTCATAAAAATAAGAATAAATTTTCAAGATTTAGTAATGTGCCGGATATAAATACTAGAAACAAACATAAATTAATTCTAACCTCATCTAGATTGCGTTTGTTTACATTCGCCCTTGTACAAAAAAATGCCAGAAAACTCAAAATGAATAAGTTGCTAACTTGAAAAAACTTGTAAAGGAACGTTTGTGTGTTAAAGGCTATTATGGTATTAGTGATTATTTGAATGATAATCACACTCTGGATATGAATTGATCGCTCCAGGCTCTTTCTAGTGGAATTTAATATATTTTTTTGTCAAATTATGTTAAAAAAATGTCCCGCTGAGTTTCTTTCGCTGGTTCTTCTCAGGTCAGTGGATTTTTCCGAACCGTTTGTAGTGTTTTTGACAATCAATAAATGTTATACTTCTATATTGAATAAAGATATTTGAATTTGAGTTTCAATTTGAATACCGGTATGTAGGTGCTTTAAAACATCTTATTCTTTTTCGTAAAAGGTCGCGAGGGTTTTATGGTATGGTAATGTAGCGACTTTTTTGTCGCGTCGTCCTTAAGCTTTACCCAAAGAGTACATTATTGATATAGAGTCATCAGTCTCCTCGTGAGACAGCGCCATCTCTTGATGCGGGACCGAACTACAAGTTCAGATGTTTATAACCTACACTAATTAACCATTTTGTTTTTACAGTTGAGAGCTGTATTCAACTACAGTTTTCTATATAGTGTATATGAAATTTATTTTATTTATATTTGATAACATTGTATAGAAAACTGTAATTGGATACAACCTTGCTAGATGTTATTTTAAAGTAAATAAAATACAGAATATGTTTTGCGAACTCTTTCGTTTTTATAATATTCACTTACTATTTTTTTTATAATCTTTGTTATGAATGATTTCGAGTCTGGTGCCGTTTAGTAAATTATTTAAGTAAAATTTTTTTTGGCTATCCAAAATCAGTAAATTTCCTCCAATCGATTGAATGTTTTAAACCAGTCGCTATCATTTTCAGGTGAGAAAAAGAATGCAAATTTGCGTTGCAGTCATTACCTGTAAATACAATATGAATGTTTTGCCGAAACATATAACAAAATAAAATGATGAGTAATGAAAGATAACCGAATAAAATAAATGAATTATAACCGGCCTCAGTTCAGTGTTACCAACCGTTGAAAAAAAAAAACTCCTAAAGAATTTCAAAAACCTCCTAAAATCCACTGTTTCCAAAAAAATCTTCCTAAATGAAAAAAGTCGCCTTTTTTAAAATTATCTAACAAACTAGAATAATTATCGGAAAATTTAATTATCTGGGAAATCAAAACTGTTTTATTTAAAAATTAACTTAATTAATATACTTGACCTTGAACATTGATCATTGAAATGAAAAATATTTATACAAATTAAATACATTTTATTGTGACGTTATAATCATTTTCATTATTTTTAAGAATCAGACAATAAATAATGGGAATAAGTATAATTCAATTATAAAAGATCCGAATGAAACATACTTAGCTTTAAATTCATTCTCCTTTTCCCACTTAGCAGCATATTTTTGAACATATCCGATGGCAATTTTCTCACCATTTGGCATTTTATATTACTTATTAAATGAATTTAATATATTATGAGTAGCTGTACATTCACAATAAGAGTCTATGGCGGAACAACTACATACATACTACATAGGCAAATGTTGCCAAAACTATTACATTATATTGTTTTTTTTTTCAAATTAATAATTTTTGTTTAATGAAATACAACTTTCTCCAAAATAAGAACCATACTTAATTTTTTTTTAATTTATTTTAACTTAAAATAAAATATTGTTTTTAATTTAATGGTACCAAGGTTAAAATGGTTTTTGCATTTAAAACAACGCCATCTGTTTTCGACGGACGGAATTAAACGGAATGAGCAAGCTCTATACAAATATGATGACTCCGTGGCGCCGTTGCCAAGGTATTGGCTTCGGCGTCGGGGGCCGTGGGTTCGATTCCCACACGGGACAACTATTTGTGCGACTCACAGATAGTTGTTTCGCATCTGGGTGTTTGTCCTCGTGCAATTTATGTTTGTAAAACGTCTTTACAACACAGGATAATGTTATCCTAAAGTGAGGGCAATGTGTTTTTACCATATAAAATATATATATATATATATATAAATATTAAATGTATGGACTGAAAAGACCTTGGCTTTACCTTATAGGTAATTAGAGGATAATTCATCAAATTCACGGCCACAGGAAAATTAATTAACAGTCAATAAGTTGTATCTTTAGCCTTTATTAGGATAGAAATTTTATTTTTAACATATTTCTTTTTATACTAATTAGGGCGCGGTCGACAAAGCAATATTGTCTTCGGTATAAAAGTAGGTGATAATTTAATTGAAAGTTTTTCTTACCTTTTCGATACATACAATCAGTTAATAAATGGCCTAATTAGATAATAGCCAATATTGTTAACACTAACATTAACTTGATGACTCCATGGCGCAGTTGCCATGGAATACCTAATGGAAAGCCAATAGGCTTCGGCGTCGGGGGTCGTGGGTTCAATCCCAACACGGAACAATTATTTGTGTAACCCACAGATATTTATATAGAATTGTTTCGCACCTAGGAGTATTAAAAAAAAGTGAGTATTTAATTTATTTGAATGTATGTTGTTTGGGTGTTACCAGCAACTTGAAATATATAATTTCAAGTTGCTGGTAACACCCATACAACCCTCCATAAACAACAAGTTATACGCGATTAAATCTATAAAACTGTTTTACAATTATTTTCCCCCTAATTCAAGTAATTATTATGAATTAATATTCTTTGTATTCAGATATGAAAAATTCAGTTTCTTTATACAATGAAGACTATTCTAATCTAGGCTGAGGATGAACGCCGCCAGTAACTAGCGTCACCAAGTATTGATATCCTTATTAAGAGATCGTGTTAAATTCCTTAAGCGCTTCCTTCGCTACACGTTGCTAACAAGGAAGAAAAACTAGTGTCTCGTTACCTTGACACTGTTCCGGTATTTGAGGTGCTAAACTGTCTGGAGATGAGTGCTCTAGTGGAGCAGACGACTACCTCGCAGGGATTTGTTTCAAAATGCTTGCTTGAACCCTAACGGTTTAAATTCGTTGGCTCTTCTGTTTCCATATTTTTTTTCATTTCTGTACTTTTTTTATTAGATATGTTAGGACGGTATTGTGAGGTTGTTATCGTAAATTGATAGTTAGATAGTAGTCCGTAGTACAGTTAATTAATATTGATAGTATAATCGGTAGATGACTTCCTGGGAAAGTACACGAACTTAAGAAAGACCAACGTGAAGTGATACAGACTTGAAGTGACAATATTTTTTTAATGTTAGACTGTGTCAAGCGAGCTGGCGATTCACCTGATGTTAAGTGCTAACCGCCGCCCATAGACATTAGATATTATATAGATAGATTTACAGCACCCGTAGAGATGTGTTGCCGCCTTTTAATAAGGTGAGTTCCGGTTACCTCACTCACCAGATGAAACAAAGAAGTATAACACTTCTGTGAGGTCGTAGTATTTCCCCGGACGGATCTGCCCATTCGTGCAACAGCGAAATCTGTTGCGTGGCCCCACCACAGTTACATTGATGGTATGATCGAGGGGTGACTTTATTCGATACGCTTGCCACAGGTGCAAGGTGCCGGAATGCGAGTCGTCGCCACCCCAGTTCGACCCCAACGGCTGGGGGGCATGGGCGCTGCCAGAGGGCGGTGGCAGGTGCGAGAGGATGGAGCCGGTGGGCGAGGGTTGCAGCGTGGACAGTTTCCACCCGGAGAACACCATTAGCTGCGACCGCTGGATCTACGAGCACAACAACAGCATAGTCTCCGAGGTGAGTGTGAATTTATAGTTCTGTACCTAAGAGGCATACAATGCCAAATCCACATTTTCCAAGATTATTTTTCTTGCACCATTAAAATCGCAAGAACAAATTCTACACAATATTAAAAAAACATGATGTCCTATGACGCCTAATTAATAAAATATCTAATCGTATATGACATCATAATCTATAATGTCTTCAAAGATTTACTCTCCTGTAAAGTTTGTGATTTGTCACATAATGCTGTTTACCTCTGAGGCACAGAATTTATAACTGTACTGTCTCCGGGTCGACTTTGGAAATAGCTTCCGTACCCTTCCATACTTTAATTCTAGGAACTTTTTATTTTATTGAGCAACAAAATCCAAAGAACTTATTTTTTTTTACATGTATATCACGTTATGTTATTGCTTACCTTACAGCCAAGAACGGAGTTACCTAATATAGTTCAAATATGTGTTTTTTTATTTTTTATTTTGAAAAACATTGTCTTTACTTTAGGTTCAAACTGTCCTGTGTTGTAAGGACGTCTTACAAACAAAATTTCTTGTTGACAAACACCCAGATGCAAAACAACTATCTGTGGTACATATAAACAGTTATACGTGTGAGAATTGAACCCACGACGCCCGGTGCCGATGCCAATACCTTGGCAACTGCGCCTCACGAGCCATCATCAATAACATATAACTAACAGTTATGTAACAAACAATATGTATTAAAATATAAAAAAAAAATATTTGCTATAAGAAAACTTATAATAATTACAAAACAAAGACGAACAAAGAATATATCTGATTCTTTAAGTTTATGCTGCAGATTGTCTGTTAAGTATCTAAGAGCACTTTCTATAACATCACTGTTGCACTATGAGTCACCTTTTGAAACTCGATGTAACGGTATAATCTCGTTCGAACGACGAAATTACTTCTTTTGATACCTAAGTCCAAACGTTGTATTTTTGCGTGAGGAAGTGGCAAACGAGCTGGCAGTTCACCTGATGTTAAGCGATAACCGGCGCCCACGGACATTTGCAGATGCGTTGCCACCGTTTAATGAAATGGGCCCCAGCTACCTCACTCACCAGACGGAACGCTACTGCGTTCCGTCTGGTGAGTGTGTACAACTTCTTCTTCAAGCCGGTCTTCACAGGGTCGTGGTACTTACACGGACATGCCTGCCCACTCGTGCAACAGCGAACACTGTTGCGTGGCCCTACCATAACTATTCATCTTTGCTGCTATTCATCGCTTTACATATCAAAATGTTAATGAAAATGTTTGTCTGTTTGCTTACAGTTCGACCTCGCATGTCAAAACTGGAAGCGAACCTTGGTGGGAACCATTCACAGCGCTGGAATATTTGTGGCATTGCCTCTCACAGCCTACATATCGGACACGTGCGTGAATTTTGTTTATCCTCTAGATATTACTCGCGGATCCACCTTTTTAGGATTCCGTACCCGAAGGGTAAAACGGGTCTCTATTACTAAGATTTCGCTGTCTGTCTGTGTGTCTAAAAAAAATAAGTGGGGCTCTCATACAACATATACATAATTTATATTGCAAAACAACGTTTGCCAGGTCAACTAGTGGAATATAAAAATAAAGATTTTCTTTTTTTAATTTTCAAAACCATTTATATATTTTTTATTATCTCATTAAATATGATTCATAAAAACAACTCTATTGGGTTTTTACTGAAATCTTATATTATTTTTTTATCACTAATTAAAAAAAATCGAAGATATGTGAAATGTGCTAATACGCAGTAGGGTCGCATGATGGACTAAGACATAAGTCTTTGTCCAGCTGTGGGACATATGGGCTGTTACTTTACTTGACTATTGTATTCACTGCAGGTTCGGCCGACGAATAGCCTTCATCGGGACGGCGGTGGCCCCAGCTATTGTGGGCTTGATACGTTCTTTCTCCAATAACTACTATTTCTACTTGAGCCTGGAGTTCCTTGATGCGGTCGTCGGTGCCGGTGTTTATTCCACGGGATTCGTCCTTGGTAAGTTTACATTTACGTGATGAGTTCCAACCCCAGTACACCATGAGTTTTAACCCTAAAGAGACGAGCTTGTCTAGAAATAAAAATGAGTGTGTATCGGTACCACACCGACGAAAATCTTAACGCCTTTTATCTACATTGTTATTTAGCATTTGAAGCAATGCTTGGCGCATCTATTGTTATATCCTTTCCAGCATAAAATCAATTTCGAATATCGTTTTACAACGGTAATTCGAACGAGAGATGTCGCCATTGCTTCTTATAAATTTAAATTTTTTATAGTGTTAATCTCTGCACTTAAGATTGAACATTGAATTTGTAGACAAAGTACGAAAAGTGCTTCAAATGCTTTTTTTTATGCGAAAAGTTGTCAAACGAGCAGACGGTTCAGTGAATACCGCCGCCCATGGACATCTGCCACACCCGAGAGTTACAGATGTGTTGACAACCTTTTGAAAATTGGGCTCCGGCTACCTCACTCACCAGATGAAACGTGAAAGTATTTGTCATACTTCCCCTTTACGCTGGTCATCTGTGAGGTCGTGGTACTTACCCGGACAGGCCTGCCCATTCGTGCAACAGCCGAGGCTGCTGCGTGGCCCTACCACCGTTGTAAAATAACAATGTAGATAAAAGGTGTTAAGATTTTCGTTGGTGTGGCAATCAGCCGTTTAGCTTAGTGGCTAGAGCGTCAGGCTGCGAATGCCGAAGACGTGGGTTCGATTCCCACAGCGGCGACAATCTTTTCGTACTTTTTCTACAAATTTAATGTTCAATCTTAAGTGCAGACATTATATTTGTTATTAATCATTCACTAACCTATTATTCTTTATTTTGTTCTTAAGCTGGCTGAGTAGGAAAAAAGGTAAATCGTTAATAATAAGTGATCTAGTGTAAACAATCACTTTATAATTAATAATATGGAGCGTAAATCGGAGAAATGAATCTGTTTACGCAAACGAAAGAATTGTTTAATAGTTTTAACGATTCACATCACATTTTCCGTAACTTAACATTTATCAGGAGGGTGAATTTCCAGCTTTGGAGATGGTTGGGATCAAAAAGCGTGTGCTGTGCGGGAACATAGTCTCGTGCACGTTCGCCGTGGGGCAGGCGTACGTGGCGCTGGTCGCTTGGGCGGTGCCCTATTGGCGGACCCTGACGAAGATCATCTACGCGCCCTCCCTGCTCTTCCTCCTCTACTACTTCGTGATAGAGGAGAGCGTGCGGTGGCTGCTGAGCAAGGGGAAGAAGAAGGAGGCGACCAGGATCATATTCAAGGCGGCGGCAGTCAACAAGAAGAAACTGTCGCCGGAGTCGATAAAGCATTTGACAGAGGAGACGGCCGACACTTCGAAGCAGACGGAGGATGAGCCCGCGATTTCCCAGGCGAAGTCGCCGTCGATTATGCTGCAGGTCCTCAAGTCGAGGGTCCTGATGGTGCGCCTCCTTATATGCTCGTTCTGGTGGATAACTGTCACCTTCATCTACTACGGGCTGTCGATCAATTCGGTCTCGCTAGCCGGTAACAGTTACGTGAACTACGTGCTGACATCATTGATAGAGATACCGGGCTACTGCCTGAGCGTGGTGACGCTTGATCGTTTCGGGAGGAAAAGGTCTACTATTACTGGTTACTTCGTGTGCGGCCTTTCCCTTATCTCCTTACCTTTCGTACCTACTTGTGAGTATTATTAAATAAGTACTTGTATTATTATCGTTATGATTATAATATACTATATTATAGAATTCGAAGCAGATCGTTACTATATGGGCAGTGCAATGCTTAAATATCTGGTTACTTAAAACTCAAACTCAAACTCAAAATATCTTTATTCGAATACACGATGGCGCGTTCTTTAGAAACGTCGAATTTTACATAAAAATTGATGCATAACTTTGTAGGGAAGTTACCATTATAGTTATAGAAGTTTTATTACGGTAGGGCAACACTTCCGCTGTTGCACGAATGGGTGAGCTCGTCCAGGGAAATACTACGACCTCAGTTGTAGATGTCCATTGGCGGTGGTAATCAGTCGATATCAGTTACCTGCTAAGTTTAAATAAGATAAAGTAAGTTACTATGTGTAAAGAGCCTGTATGTGCTTGTCGGCGTATAGCTCGCCACGCAGCCGAATGACAAATTGGCTGACTTCACATTATTCGAAATACTTTTCTTATTACTTTAAAAATATTAATTTATCCTTAATTGCCCATGATTGTTAAACAGCATTTAAAATTAAATTAACGATTATACAGAGATTTAAAAAAGAAAGCAATTAGACACTAAGCTACGAGGGCTCGCAAGCACAATTGAGGTAATGATGACGGTAACTTTAATGATTTTGATCGCAGAGGTAACGAGGATGATAACGTTTATGGTTGTGATCTTATACATAGTGTTTTCTTATTTTTCGGTCTTTTTTCCTCAGAAATAAAGGATAATTTTTGATTGCGTTGGTTTCTTTTCTCTAATTCAAGTTTGTTTTATAGTGTTGTGTCTACCTAAATATCTTTAATTATGTACATTAATTGTATTTACTTTATGGTTAATTTAAACATATTTGTACGTCAATGTTCTGGATGTATTTAGTTGGTAAAGCGTTAAAAAATAAATAAATCCCACTGGCGATGTTTTCCCCTGCATATCTGCCGACCCTATAGAGCGTTTCTTAGTGTGCTCTGTTGAAAATTGTTCACAGCCCTCGATTGGCTGCAAACGTCGCTGAACCTGTTTGGAAAGCTGTGCATCAGCATGGTGTTCAGCAGTATCTACGTGTACACGGGCGAGTTGTACCCAACTGGGCTGCGGCACCGGATGATGGCGGTCTGCTCCATGGCCGGCAGGATAGGGCAGATGATAGCGCCTCAGACTCCTTTATTGGTAATCGTATTTGTTAACCAATCTCCAGCTATGGGATAATGCCTTTTTTATGTGACAAGCTGCCAAGCGAGCAGGTGGTTCACCTGATGTTAAGTGAATACCGTCGCCCATTGACATCTGCTACACCCGAGGGTTGTAAATGCGTTGACAACCTCTTGAAAATTGGTCTCCGGCTACCTCACTCACCAGAGGAAACGCGAAAGTATTATACTTCCACTTTACGCCGGTCTTCTGTGAGGTCGTGGTACTTACCCGGACGAGCCTGCCCATTCGTGCAACAGCTGTCTCTTGAGGGTTATGAGATCACGGTCACAATTTTTTTTGTCTGAATCTATGATCATGTGACTGACCATAGATGATGTAATGATCGGGAATGTACAAAAGCAAAGTATGTTTAAGTATGTTTACCAGTTTTCTAGTACCCATAATACAAGCTTTGCTTAGTTTGGGATTGGAAAATATTGTGTAAAAATGTGTCTTAAAATATTTATTTATATTTAAACTAGCTGCTGCCGCGACTACGTCTGCTTAAAAAAATAGCCTATGTGTTATTCTGATGTATAAGGTATATTATTGTAAAGTTTCATTACAATCCATTTAGTAGTATTTGCTTGAAAGAGTAACAAACATCCATCCATACATAAAAACTTTCGCCTTTATAATATTAGTATGGAAGTATGGATATTTATTTATTCATAGTGCTCTTGTTTGGTGTCCGACCAGATGACGTATATGGAGTCGCTGCCTTACCTGCTGTTCGGGGTAATGGCCGCCATATCGGGTCTACTGATGCTGCTCACTCCTGAGACGCTCAGCGTCCGTCTACCAGACACAATACAGCAGGCCGAGAGGATAGCGTCCGAGAGCAGTATCAAGGAGCGTCCAGTCAATGTCAACTGAGGAGCATACGAGACGATTCTCATCTCGAGTAATTGAAAAAGAAAATTTAGCCATAGTTAATTGAAGAGCTTTTGAGAACCCGTTATTAATTCCACCGCTACATCTCGTCTCCGCTCTAAACTGGATGGCAAAACCTCGGACACATAAAGAACTTTCCAAGATATTTATTAATTTTAACCACTAACAGATTCTGTTCTGTTCTGTTCTGTTCTTACGAAGTGGGAACGTTCAAACGACAAGACATTTTAGGATACTAAGAAAGTTTCATTACCACTTCTTCCTCTTCTCCTTGTCGGAGATCCTCGTTGTGTCCGGACAACGTATATAGTCATTTTATTTTTATAGATCGCGCATTTTATAACTGCTATAATCATATACATGAGATTTGGTGAAATGGCGCTTTATGAATGTATAAAAGATTGGAGTACGGAACTTTTTAAAGATGTAATGAATTCTGTGTAACTACTATAGTGAAGTTAACCTACGGTTCTTTTAAAACTGCAATACGCTTGAGAAATATTGAAAACGACATTGATGTCGCAATTCAAAAAAGTGTTAAAGCTAGTAATACATATTATAATTCCTGATAAGCCGTAAAGTATTAGAGTTAAACATTACCTATTCTTGTATGCGATTAACTTATTAATCTAGGGGGTTTAATGTATAAAATTATATTTACATCACAAGTTCTAAATCTGTACTCAAAATTAGTATATATAGAGATGTTTTCATGTTTAAAAATATTCGTTGTACTTTTAGGGGCCAGAAGTGAATCAAATCAATGCTTCGTACTTTTCACTTAATGCAATACAATTTACATCCTTTGTCAGACTTACAAAACACTATCATTATATATATAGTGAATTTAAAATCGAGTTCAACGTTTCAACCAAAAAAATTCCTACCTCAGATGGCCACAACAGTGTATCACCAGTGGCGTTACTTATATTTAACTTTTTAAATATCTAACAGCGTTGATACAGCCATTTAGTAAATGGAGTAAGTGTAATAAATATTATCTTACAATTCATTAAAATGAAACATCAATTTATGAATATAAATAATCTCGTAAAGCCCAAAACTCTTAATGAGTTTCTCTTGTCTTTCATTGTAGATTATACTTAATTTATCCAGTGATGTGTGGATGCTAGTGATTCAACCAATTGTTTTATCAATTAATCCGACTGTTGTATAAAATCATAATTTATATTTCACATCAGATTGATATAATTAATCAACAAAATTGGTAGAACTTCTTTGTTTCAAGTTCTATCAATTTTAGTTCTAAAGTAGCGTAGTCAATTTGCGGACCTCCTTGTGGTCGCCCATTAATCACGTGATGCTCTTTTGGCACTTTTTAACTACCCAAGATCACATGTATTTTAGTACAGTGTCTTAAAATCAACACCGCTAAGTGTAATCTAATTTAATTGTGGAAAATAAAGGACGAACAAAAATATATTTGTCAAGTCCTGCGCCAGCGGCAAGCTTACACGCCGCTTTCCATCCATCCATCCAATCGGCCTTTTGCTGTCCACTGCTGGACATAGGCCTCCCCGAGTGTACGTTTTCCGAGACGAGCAACCATAGCAGACGCCGCTTTACGGTTTAGAAATCGCGCGTTCAACGATAAAGTAAACAAAATAAAATAAAACATGTGATATCTCACTACATCTCCCACTTGTGATGTTTTATGATTTTTTCCAACCACCGACCCCCTCCCCCTCAAGCCTTACGTGATAAATGGACGATAGCTTGCACGTAAATGTGACCAAATTGCATTTTCTATTTGGTGTATTCTATTTGGTAGGAAAAAAATCACGCGTGCTCACTCGATTTCACCTGCCTTAATTATAATAAATCCAATAAACGCATATTTTATTTTTATAGAAATCACAATAAGAGTTTTTTACATTTATTGCGACATTACATTATGTGACACGCACTCTTATCTGTGGTCGGTTCACACGCGAACTGTTACGTGGATTGACATTAAAATAAGTTATTTTTTTTTATAAGCAGACGTGTAATAAACAAATTCTATAAGTTATTTTAAGAGTTATATTGTAAACACTTAATTATATGGCTCTTCAGTGCTATAATTAAGTGTATATTAGCAGGTGTTCGCACAAGAACTAAGGGCGCCACATACGGGCAGATTTTGTTCCTGCGTTGTACTATTAATATTGCGTATGGGTAAAATTATTTTTCAAGATTTTGAGGAAAGTACAAAAAGTAATTCCTATTTAGGAATAGAGTTATATAATTTACAAATATATAGTTTTATTATTTTGTAAATAACGCTATATATTGTTGTTAAATGTTAATAAATTATGTATAGTTGTACTAAGTTTTATTCATTCTATTCAAATGCATAGTGAGCTATGAAAATTTAATGATAATATTTAATAGATTTTTTATTTCTCACGAAGTTTCTTAACACATACGCCATACCTCCTACGAGTCATGTAAAATATAAACTTCTGCTAGTGAAATATTTGGCACGCTCCTGTTTGTAAGAGGTTTCTAACAGTCAAACGTAAATTGCCAATAATCTTTTCGTAGGCGTTCACAAATAACCTGTGCTGTTTATTTTATAATTTAACAATACACACATTTCATTGATGTTTATAATAATAGATTTATTTTAATTAGGAAGCTGACTTAACTACGAAAAAGTTTCAATCACCACGACTTCGGCCATTGGCGTATCTAGGGCTATTTTTCAGGGTGGGCCTGGGCCCTTACTACAAAGAAAAATTACACTAAACAACCTACTCGTATTAACAACATTTGACGACCCGAATGGCATAGAGGGTGTGGGTTCGATCTCCACTACTGGAAAAATATTGTGTGATGAACATAGTGTTTTTCTAGTAACTGGGTATTTATATATGTATAATATGTATTTATTTACAAAAGAAAAGTAGTGTTTAAGTATGTTTATCAGTTTATCTAGTACCCATAGTACAAGCGTTGCTTAGTTTGGGACTAGAAAATGTTGTGTAAAAATGTGTTCTAAAATATTTATTTATTTAAATAACAACACTTCTTCTTATCTTTGCATAGTATGAAACAAATTCGCTTGAGATGTTTGTACGCTTAGAATTTTTAAACTACGATTTTCAGCAATAGATAGTATTCAAGTGGAAGGTTGAAGTACATGTAGTATATGTGAATATTAAAGTAGAGAAAATTCGAGAAATTAAAAATCTACATTGCACCCTTGCGAAGCCGGGGCAGGTCACTAGTTTCCTATATGAAGAAAAGAACGTATCTTCTCCCATGGTAGATAACTATTAACTAAATGTTAATTCTCCGCATTGCTGAAAAGCTCCACTTCCATCCGGCTAAACAGACTGTGATCACAATTGCAGCTTGAATTAATTTGAAAAGATTTGGGGATAAATCTTGTTCAGCGTGTTCCTTAAGAACGTCAAATCTAATATTATTACGTTTTTTTTATAATTAAATATTCTGCTTCTAGACGGGTACTATCAATTCGAAGAATGTCTTCGTAATTATCCATAAAAGCCTTCCCATTTTAGAGATCTACGTTTAAAAACGCATCGATCGATTGGACCAGAGGTACATTCACCATATTTATTTGCATGGGTTTCCTTTCTATACACAGCATGGCTCAAGGTGTTGTTAAGATTTCGGATCACTAATACATCTAGAATTGCTAGGGAGTTACATGTTTCTAATTCCATAGTGACCAGCACAGTTCTAGACCACCTTAATTCCTTGCACACCAAAATTAAATCACTATTGATATATATCTCATAAGTATGTGCGTTAAATGTTCATAGTTTTTCCCCAAATTGTGTGCGGAAAAAGGCTGATATGGTCAGTCTGAAGTAAACCTCATTTGTAATCATTGACTGAGGAATTTTTACAATCACAAAATGTACTTGGTACTAAAAGTGGCACTGGAACTGCTGCGGGGGAAGTTATTGAAGATATTCATTCGTGATTCTCTCAAGAGATTGCTGATCATTTTGTGTAGTTTTGTTAAAGAGAGATTGTCTATCAGTTTTTTCATTTTATTTTAAAGCTGTAATTCGCTACGTTGTGTTCTAGCTTATTAGTACGTCGTGTATTCGAAAGTAAATAAACCGTATTTATCGTATAATAGTATGAAATATAAACTATGTATATATATAATTCTCGGCTGTAAATAATTATTTGGTACTTTTCGTACTTTTTCTACATGTTTTAATGTTCAATCTTAAGTGCAGAGATTAGCACTATAAAAAACTTTAAAATTAATAATTATTTGATTACAATAATTTTTTGTGAGGTTTCATAGGTCCAGCCTAGAATTTCGAATCGGTAACCCAAAATCCTGGGGGCACGGCCCAAATAAAAAAAAAATCTACCTCGAATTTGTACATAATACCATTGGCTGTACAGTGATTTCTTTCGCGGGAGTAACACACCATTCTCCATGAAAATAACGAATATGAAAGATCCCACAAAACGTTGGGCCGTAAAAGCGTTGTAAGTGTCTGTAGTAATTATCACGTCGTAAATTAACACATTTGCTACTGTAATAATCCTTCGAATACCGTGGCTTGGAAAACAATAAAACGGTCTCACTTCATACCGAGACTATGAATACCTTAATGCCATTGTTAAAACCTTCATTGTCAGTGTTGTTTTGTGAGTTCAGATGAGAAATCTTTATGAGTATAGATAAGAAATATTTGCTCTCGTAATTGTGGATTACTTAGAATTGGACACGTGTAAGAGATGGTTGTACAAAGACGAAGAGAAAAGATAGACTGAAAGTTTATGTTTATATTTATTTACATCCTTGTTTTAGGATGCTCTATCTACTTATGTTGACTAGCCAATATAGCTATATTTCGACGAAGGGAAAAGCACAGTTTAGTAAGTAAATGGTGTCATCAAATTTGGATTCCTAATCACGTGACAAGGTCGGGAAAAATTTTCATAGGTCTCTGTGGAAACGTGGGTGTCTGTCATTTGAAAGGAAAGTGATGAATGATTTGGCTTCCTTTCGTGCTTTGGATAAAAATTTTAGATATGTTCTTCAAACTTTCATGTAGTCATTTATGAAAAATGTTAATTTTAGATTTAGATTTAGATGTCATTCAAACTTTCATGAAGTCATTTATGAAAAATGTAATTAAAAAAATATAATAAAAGTGCCTCGGCTACCTCATTCACCAGACGAAAAGCAGAAGTACAAAACTTCCACTTCACGCAGATCTTCTGTGACAAACATTTGTAATTAAATACACTCCGACTTTGCATCTGAATGCTACTGAACTGAAATTATCGTTAAAACAAACATATATCGATTGTTAAGATAATCCAATGATTATTTTCTAAAGTGACAATTATTTACTAAATACACAGCCACCGCAGTAGAAATAACACAGTTGTCCAATTGCAAAATCTCGGACAGTCTAATGCGGTATCCATAGGTCCGTAACTTTAGATATTTTTTTAGACCTTAGTATCTTACTTCGGTTGGTTAATTTATATTTAATGTTCGATTTCAGAGATTTGAATAGAGACCGTATTTCTTAAGTGATCTTATGTTCATTGTCCGGTTAACAGGGCAAGTGACATTTTCACTTCCCTTGTACGCTAGGGAAGTGAAAATGTCACCCTTTAAAGACCTGAAAGAAGAGAACCTTGTACAAAACCCGGCAAAACACCTGCTTTTGTGGATGCTAGTAAGTGACCCTATACAATTTGGCAGCTTATTTTAATGTTTACTTAATAATTTCTTGTATTTACGCGATTACACATTATAAATGAACTAAAATTAAAAATAAACGCGATAAATCCGTAAAATTAGTTTCATTTTTAATGTTTACTTCTTAAGAATCTCGACGGTGGAACCTCAATTGTATAATTATAAGAACTAGTGGACGTTGAGGGGTTGAAATTCGACCATAATTAATTAAAATTATAAGTTTGAGCAATATTAATCTATTCTCAAATACAATACACAATAAACAAATAAGTATATATGCGTGTGTCAGATACGTGGTAATGTGTGTAATGTTTTTGATATTGAATTAATGAATACATAGATTATTATTATACGGAGTAGTAGAATCCCGTAGTAATGTGTGAGAACCACTCAACAAGTTGGCGAATCCTCCTGAAACGTTGATTCACCTCCTTTTTGTTAACGTGGGGGAAATGCCTACGACTATTTACGGATACGGACTGATTAGGTCGGACTCGCACTGACTAAAACCCGGCAATGATTTCGCACATTTCCACGACCCTGCCAGCGCTGGCCACCTCAGCAGCCCCTCCCGGGGAGCAACCCCCTTCCTCCAGGTAAGGAGCGCTGGTACATTCAATGCGCCTTCCTACTCAGCCCCTTTTTTACGACCCACGAACCCCCAGATATTCGCTGACCAGAGGCCATGGGAGCCACGAGAGCCAGTGCCAATACGCAGCAAGCCTCCCAGCCCCCAGCGGAGGACCTGGTCTGTGGCTCCACCGCCCCGCCGCTCACCACGTTTCAGCCGCGAGTGTAGGGAGAACGGTGCACCGCCGACACTCCTCTCCCCCACGACTCCTTCTCGGTAGCAGAAGACAAGACAGGGAGAGTGGCTACTCCTCTACCACCCCCAACCCATACCCTGCACCCTCCAGCACGCATCCAGAGTGGGTCCAATGAGCCCACTCGGAGCGGCCCTTTTGGGCCGGCCTTACACCACAGTCCGGCCCAGTGTGGGTTCCTCTTGGCTTCGCCGTGGGTGACGAAGCTACGGCTAATAAGCCCCTCTGCCATGTCAAGGCGGGAACCCGGTCAGAGGGGAACGTGGATTCACCTAACTTGTTGAATTCTTAATGCAACAATATACAGGGTGAAATTGAAGTCATGAGCATCCTTTTAAATTAAGATACATGATACTAGTTACATTATGACTAAATTACGTAAATTAAAAATTATTTATATATTTTTTGTAAAAAATTATTATTATTTATGTAATGTAAGTGCAGAAATCCACAAAAATCTAGTTAACATTGAGTATACTTAATATTTTGTGGTCAGATTACAATATGTTTTATTGCAAATAATCAGGAAAAATAGTAAAATCACGTTACGAAGAAATAGGTCAACAAACTGAAGAGAAAATTATGTGATAATTCAAGTTTAAGGTTATTTAGAGACGGCCGGCGGCCGGCCCGGCACAAAGCAAAATTCAAAAGGCGCGCTGCTCGCGTCACCCGCCCCACTCCGTCCTGCTCTTCGTCTGCCCGCTTTATTTATTCCAACTTTTCCTTTATACTTTGCCGACTTAGACGTTTAAACCTACTATTAAATGTTCAGTTAGATAAGATATAAAAACAATGAATTCATTTATTGTAGTTATGGTTCAAAAAAATTTTTAAAAAGTCACAACACATGACAGGTATTTACAAGAATTTTTCTGGAATTACGATTTTTATTAACTTACTACTTAAAAATGTGTAGATTTGTCTCTCGATACACATTCCCGTTCATACAACATTCCTTCAATTTCACCCTGTATATGGCAATGTCTTTTGCAAGTATGAAAAATAAGTCCATTACTGTCGATCAGAACGCACAATTTTTGATCGTGACTAGTTCCATCACTGCCTGTATTGGTAATCTGGATTCTTTTTACTTCTCTTTTCTATTATCAGTTCGGTTTAGGTAAAAGTAACTTAACTAGTACATGGCACTAATCAGATACATCATTTATTTAACAGGTCTATTAACTATGTAGGATATTATTAGTAAATGCGGAATTTCGGACGGACGTGGGCAATTAATGTCTTGTCAAGTAGTTTGTAAGACATCGGCTCGACGTAATATAATATTAGTTACGTGTATTTACACAGAACATTGAAAACTGATACCTGCACGGAGTCTGGCGACAGCGTAAGACTAGATTTCATTAAGAAGTTTCATTTATTTTTATTACACGACTCGGTTTGAGTTTTAGGCAAAATTATTATAGTACCTTCATGGGTCAAACGGCTCGCGGAAATAGTAAATGAGCCGCGGACGGGATTTACGGACAAGAAGCTCATTCAACTCTATGACTCAAATGATTCAGTACCTACTACAAATTCAAAGCGCCACGCTGTAGTGCAAAGACACAGCGACGTGGAATCTTGATTGACTGGACGAAATCGATTACTGTTGATCTAAATGTCGATCAATATTAATGTGAAATGTGTGCAAATCTTAAATACAAAAATGCACGAGCATTTATTTGGGGAACTGACGACAGTTCCCCAAATAATTGTTTGAGTCATCGTCATCTTATTAGATATTGGAAAAAAGTGTGACAATTTCTACAAAGATTTTCATTTCCATTAGAGTATAATAATTTGGGAATTTCACAGGTATTCTTATTTCCTCATTACGTCTCAACCCAACCAACGTCAAACCCAACTTTATAAAAATGTAAGTGATTCATCAATTTGGTTAGGTATTTATTGCGGTTTTATTTGATCAATTCCAAAACTAATTACTTTAACAATTTGCTAAGCTATTTGGAAATTTGTCGGTTTCGTTATTAGTGGACGTAGATTATTAATATTTTCGCATTTGTACTATTCAAACAACCGGTATTTTGTATTAGTTCATAAATTTTGACGATCTGGTTTGTGTGTGGTGTGCCAACACGTTTGTGGTCGTATATATAATTAACTAATTTAGAATATATAACCTTTAAGCGTTCTCAAATATTTTTGTTTCCGTTTGATCGTAACACGTACAGGAGTTTAAAATTTGTGTGTGAGTGAGCGTGCGTTCCGTAATGTAAATTACATTCAAAATAACAGTGATGATGTTTTATCGCAACTGAACACCAAGAGATACTTTAAGGTTTATCGTCAGGCTACGACAGTCAAACAACAATCAGTTCCTGTTTATAAAGTTGAAGCAAAACCGTAAGTGATAATTAGTCCATACTCATATTATAAATGCGAAAGTAACTCTGTCTGTCTGTCTCGCTTTCACGCCAAAACTACTGAACTGATTTAAATGAAATTTGGTACACAGATAGTCAATGTAAAAATAGCCTTAGAAAGGACATAGGCTATTTTTACATTGGAAAAAGTGTTGTAAAGGGTCTAAGATATTTATTTAAGGGCTTCAACGCGAGGGAAGCCGCGGGCGAAAAGCTAGTATATAATAAAAATATTTCATATGATAAGAAAGACAGAATATAATGATAATTGTTGAAGACGATAACAAAAATGAAAACAGGGCTCTCCGAATATTTTGAGACACCTTAGGTGGCCCTTAACCAAGTCAACGGTGGCACATTAGCATTTTCGTACTCCACAAAAAAATTATACTGACGAGTTAATTGACTTTGGTCTATGATGTTATATGCCAATACGAGAATATAGATATGACACTAGCGCACCGCAACTGAGGCACTCAAATTACACCGATTGGTTTAATAGGATCGCAATTCTATAGACTGCTATCTCTTTCCGTATCTATATATTATTCTATATCATCTACCACGTTTCAAAACGCCTCGCAAGGACACGCGTCATCTATGTTATCAAACATCATTGGCTGTAGGTATTAAATATTACATATACAAAAATTTGATACCAACACCCATTATTCTTACAGACATGATATGTGCTTGTGCTCACAAATGTTATCCTATGATTAGATATTGATTACGGATTGATTTAAAAATGCAGCCGTGATAGCGCATTGTCCGGGCGCTAACATTTAATTAAATATACTCGAGCAACTAGAGTTCGATTCTCAGTGCCGGTACTACTGATATAGCTAATTTTAAATGCTGACTTATCACATGCTCAGAAACATCATGAGGAATTTGCATGTATTCGGAATAATAAAAAAAAACATGTTTCGAGGATATGTGAAGTCCGTCAATCCGCAGGGGCCTGCGTGGTGGATAATGCCCTAATACCCTTTGCCCAGCAGTGGCACATTTATAGGCTATTACTCTACTTTTTTTAAAAAATATCCCTATAAATAGGCTAACGCCCGATTTCTGAAAAACCCATCATGGATGATCTTCTTAATGATCAGAATGATCAATTCAAAGAGTTTAACCATCGTTTTAACAAACTTAAATAACATTTGAAAAGCCATTCGACAGCTGATTAGTTCACTTCTACGATGATAAGTGTTTCAGAAACCGTGCGTAAGGTTTATTCTCCCTGTTATAGGTACAGTTAGCATTCAAAATTAAATATGGACTATACTAGATCCAAATCAGTATAAATTATATTGATGCGTGTCTATTCCATTTGCATAGTTCCTTGTCCGATATGAGATTTGATTTACGTCGAGGTCAATCATTTCATATTACTTAGAAACATCTTGTTTTAAAGAGAATTATTAATTATTAGACGTTCAATTCAACGTGAGGAATTTCTGTTTCAGTCATACAGCTTTAAAGGAGGAATATATTTTCCTTCCCGAATTAATACCCGTGACAGTCCTCTCGCGATGTCGTTCGCTTTTACTTAGTTCGGTAGAGATAAGTGAATTTACATCGGTATCACACTTTCACATAATTGAAATTCAACAATATCAAGGTAATGTCGTATTCGTTTTAAACGACAGTGGTTTGTGTGTTACTCTTGTTCCCCTTTTCTGAGCCCGGCTTCGGTTAAAACCGAACTGACATAAACACAGTAATTTAGTTAGAAAGATAAAAAAAATATTTTATGCTTATTAGTGCACCAAAAAGGTTTCCACTCAGCGTTAAATTCACGAAGTTTAATAATAATAAAACTTCATGAAAGCTGATTTTCAGTGGAACATATAAGGTCGTGCAAGTGCTCACTCGTGCGTTACCTAATGGAGAGAAATATGAAATTCATTCAGTAATTCAAACGTAATAGACTGCTACAACCCTCGCAGAAAATATTTGGTAGTGGAAAGTATTTTCAGGTGATAAGGATTGAATAATGTGTGAGTGACATACGCTTTTTTATTTACGTGATATGTTCCGTCCAGGACGTATACTAGCAAGGTTCCGGGGACGTCTTCGCATACTTCGACGACCCCACCAGCGCTGGCCGCCTCAAGTATCCCAGCTTGGGGCACAATACGCACCCCTTCAATTAAGGCTCGCTGGAGCTAAAAGCGCGCCTTTCCACTCGGCTCCGTTTGTATCTGTTGATGCTCAGAGGCTGTGGCACGTGTAGACGTGGTCTGTGGAGGAGTAAGCCACGGCTACTTATCCTCTTCGCCACGACAAGACGAGAAACTGGTCGAAGGGGAAGGCAACATAGGCAACATGTGTAGAAAAATGGAAAAAAAAATTAATCGCATTCATTACATCGGAATTAAACAAAAAACTCGAAGGCCGAAAAACCTGTCAGATATTATCCAACTGCGGGTGTATATGACGAGGCAAATGTTCTTAGTGTCGGGAGACTGTATTTGTTACTTGTTTCAGTATTAGTACATAAATCTGTTCTTAAATCACTTCGACTTCCTGAAAAAAGAAGATCCAATATACCTACCGCGCCAACCAGGACAACTTTTGCTAAACGTTTTGGTGTTTATCTATTCCCTTGTATTTACAATAAATTAGTCAACTTGGGCAATCTTAAAGTATTGCAAGCCTAAAGTTTTTAAATTTACATTAACGGACTTTACTTAACAAACTTGACTTAACATAATTTTAAAATGGTCATATAATGAATCTGATATCGTAATGTCGACAGCTTGCTGAAATTGGTTCATCTTCACACACATACACACCATTTACACACAAGCGCGCGCGCAAACATACACACACCTTCCCTATTCCCCCTTAAAATTTTTTATTTACAGCCCGTAGTCAAATTGTAGATCTTATTATTCCCCCATAGGACAGGCAACGGCCTTAAGGCACATAATGTAGAAATAAAGTAATTTGTATTTGTTTGAGGTCAATTTAGCTTGACATTCTGTTTAACATAACTGTACGTCGATGTCCCTACCCTAATGGGTTCACAAAGCACTGTGTAATCACAATTGTCAATCAAAGTGTCCAAATGAATTTATCTAGCACTGACCCGACTTATGTATTGTGATCATAATAAATGACCGTCATATAAACATACTGTAACCTTGATCCGGAATTTAAATTTTAATTATCACACATTTTATCGTCTGTATGATTGTTAACGCAGCTAAGTCCCAATAAAATTTATGATAGATGTATATATTTGCATTTTATCATAATTTCGTTTCCATTATCTGATAACCGAATCGCATTACAACGATACACGCGACCGCGATCCCGTAAGACATGACTACTATCGGTAACGTAATAATTCTTTATAATAATTAATCAAATTCAAGATAGTGCGTCCTCATCGTCCCCTTATTGAACAATTCGGTGGCCTGTTAAGTTTATTCCGTTGGAGCTCTTAGACCCGAGCAGTCTTTGATTATTACAGTGGCTTCGGTTTGGCAGAGCTATGGCGGAGAATCAACATGGAAAAGTGGAGCCACCTTCAAGGAAGGGCAGCAGGGCGGGACCGCGGAGGGAAAGTGCCTTTGAGAAGCCTGTAGAGCTGGACGACGTGTTGGTCAACGAGCTCGGACAGTTTGGTCTCTTCCAACTGAGGAACATACTCTTGGTCGCATTGCCTATAATAGCATCGGCGTTCATGAGCGAGTATATATTTTCAGCAGCCGCCGTTCCACACAGGTGAGCCATTTTCGCACATGTATTTTATAGTTATACTAGCTGATCCGGCAAACGTTGTTTTGTGGAATTTCGTAAAATCCGATCTTAGCTGACCTCTACTCGGCGAAAGGAATATTCCTATCAAATTTCAAGTCTCTACGCCTTATGGTTCCAGAGATATAGTGGAAGGTGGATTATCGGTAAATCTCTTATATACATATATGTATAGATATATAAGTTTATCGTGAAATTGTTAAAATCCATAATTGGAATAAGCTGAGGTCATAAATAAATAGCGATCGATAGAATTAAATACTTTCTGTTAACGAGCTGTTATTTCCTATTTAACCATCTTAGCAGATGTAACTTCTAAATGTTATAGATATAATATCAGATAGTCAGTATTATATTTATGTTCACTATTCCTTCGCTTAAGATTGTTGGATGTCGCAGGTGTCAAATTCCAGAATGTGGTGAGAATGGAAAAGACTTCGAGTATAGGCCTGAATGGATTTTGAACGCAGTTCCCGAGACGAGCACCGATTTCGCTAGTTGTGAGAGATTCTCTCCGACTGGTGGCAACGGTACCTTAGACTACTGCCCCGCCAATCTTTTCGACAAACAGAATACTATCCCCTGTGACGGTTACGTATATGGAAGGACCAATTCTGTTGTGTACGATGTAAGGCATTGCGATATTCATTTAAATTTAAAAAAGTAATATTAAATTGAATGAAACCAATAGTTACATTTATTTTGAACAATTATTTTTACAGTTTGATCTTGGATGCCAGGAATGGCTTCGAGCTCTTGCTGGAACCCTTAGCAGTGTGGGCACCTTACTAGTGCTCCCCATCACTGGTTACATTTCTGACAGATTCGGTCGGCGTGTGGCCCTCGTCATAAGTGTCTTCAACTTGGCATTATTCGGACTCATCCGAGCTTTCTCCGTAAACTACACCATGTACCTAATTTTGCAACTCATGCAGACGACGTTTGGAGCGGGAACTTTCAGTTCTGCGTATATCTTCGGTTAGTCAATTATCATTTTGAGTTGCTTCGAGTTTAACAGACACCAATAATTCAAGAAGTGCCAATAATATATTAAACTGAAAATTACACTGTCCGCCTAAGACAGATCTGATGTTCATTTAATTGTAATTCATCTAATTTTCCATGGAAATTAGTTTGCCAAGAATCAATTTTAAGAACTAAATAATTTCAGCGGCGGAATTGGTTGGACCCAAGTATCGTGTAATCACTAGTGCCACATGTTCTTCGATGTTCGCCGTGGGCCAAGTAGTGCTCGGAGGGGTGGCGTGGGCCGTGGAGCCGTGGCGGCACTTGATCATGGCTCTTCACATTCCATGCTTTCTCATCATCGTCTACTTCTGGATTCTGTGTGAGAGTGTCCGCTGGCTGTTGTCGAAACAGAAATACGCAGAAGCTCGCGAAGTACTAGAGAACGTGGCGAGGGTTAACAAGACGCACATCAGCGAAAAATCAATGCAAGCTCTGATGAGTCCACCACCTCGAAATGAGTCAACGGTTTGTTCAGTTTTATGCCCATGCCTAAATGTCACAAAATATCAACATATCTCTGTCCCTAATTTTTGAAAAAAAAATATTTTATTTAAAAAATTTAGAAAAAATGTAATAAAAATTTTAGAAAAAAAAAAAAAAAAACAAGTGCACAATTCGAAAACTACAGGTTAAATAAACACATAATTGAATGGAGTGGAATCATGGCCTAGGACCTTATGCAGAAATATGATAGTGTAGTAGAGAAAACATCGAGCAAGCGGTTACACTGAGTTACGCATGTTTTTAATTTTTCAAGAGTACTCTTAATTTTTTTAAAGACTTGAAGCCAAATACATTCTAAAATACCAAATAGAGTTGGCGCTAATGGTGTGTGGATGAAGGCAAATTTGGCGTGTTTTACAAGTGGCTCGTACTTATTAATCTTTCTGTTCGATGCTCAGGACAGTAAGAGTATGATCAAAACGATCATAAGCTCGCGGGTGCTGCTGCGTCGCGTTTGTACAACACCCATCTGGTGGATCACGACGACATTTGTCTACTACGGTCTATCCATCAACTCGTCCAGCCTCTCGGACGGCATACACCTGAACTTCATTTTGACATGCGCCATCGAGATCCCCGGCTACATCACCGCCGTCCTAATTCTGGATAGGATCGGCAGGAAGGCCACATTGTCAGGCGGATTCTTTCTGAGCGCTGCGTGCAACATCGCGTTTGCTTTCATACCTTCTGGTGAGTAGCTGTGTATTTTTTTAAACAAATAACGTTCGGTTTGTAGCTTGACTCCACTTAATTTTCAGTGGAGATTATTCCTCCCAAAGAGGTACAGCTGGTTGTTATGTGACTTACAATAACAATGTCGACACGAGTGGTGTAATTTCAATTGCAAAAACAATATAAACGCGTTTAAGTAGCTATGAGTATTAGTTCAATACACCACTTGAACAGAGTTGCGTCAAATATAACAGCCATCTTTTTACGGAAAATATAAGTATAACATTTTTAATATTCTTTTATAATTCGCGAAATAAACAAGCTAGTGATATGAACAAAGATGGATTTTTCGCATAACAGAACATGGAAAGTAGGCACAAAATACCGCGCATTATGTAGTGTCGACGAAAAGAATGCGGAAAACTTATACATAAAAGTCGGTAGTAAAATGTTAATTTGGGATTAATTGAGTGCATAAAATTTCAAGCCGTATTAAGGGACATTTGCAGCCACTTACAATCATATCAAAAGCATGATAACAGCTTGTCAAATATTTATCAATTTTATCGCCGCACCGTAATAAACCAGAAGGCTATATTGAAATTATTCAGATATTTATTTGTAATCAGTACTACAAGGATAATGTCAATGTTTCTTAGGTATACTAATATGACAAAGATATAATTTACTTATACGTAGTGGTTAATCTCGGGATGAGCCAAATCAATATTTTTTGCTAACCTACTTTGAGTCCCACCGGCAACAATTAATTTAAATAAAAATAATTGTTATTTAGAAATCTAAATTTGCAGATAATATCGACGTTGACAATTTTAATATGCAGTTGATGAGTGCCAATATATATAAAATCTAATATATAAAATTCTCGTGTCACGGGGTTCGAACTTGAACTCCTCCGAAACGGCTCGACCGATTTTTACCAAATTTTATATGCGTATTCAGTAGGTCTGAGAATCGGCTACTATCTATTTTTTCGTCCCCCTAAATGTTAAGGGGGTAGTCCACCCCTAAATTTTTTTTTATTTTTTATATAAAACTTTTTGTTTCTATTTTTGACATAGCATACAAAAATATATACAACCCTAAATTTTCACCCTTCTACGCAGACGTAGTCGCGGGCAGCAGCTAGTATTATGATAAAAAAACACGTGCTTATAAATGTTTAGTATTTATTTTCGGTAGATTATTTATGATAAGGAAAATTTAAATGTTTTCGATTGTTTACACGTGCCAAGTCAGGGCATGTCCGCTTTTTTTCTTGATAAGTTATTCCTTAATAATTCTCTTATACGAATCTATTAAGATAAATCTGATATTATGAGAATTGAAACTGCTAAAGAAAAGGTCGTAAACAGATGCCTTTTAAAAACTCATAATTTATTTCAGATCTGTCTATTCTGCGATTGATCGTATATCTTCTGGGCAAGTTCGGCATCTCGGTGGTGATGACGTCATTGTATCTATTTACGTCTGAACTCTACCCTACGGAGTTCCGGCACAGCTTGCTGGCTTTCTCCTCGATGGTTGGCAGGATTGGCTCCATCAGCGCACCACTCACACCCGCCTTGGTAAGTCCTAAACTGACAGTATAATTACCGGAATGTTAACATGAAATTATCAAATCCAAATATCTTTATTCAATGAAGAAACATTACATTACTACCGCTAGTTACCGCTAGCGTACCGGTACCGGTAGTAGTTACTACCGGTTCGGAAAAGAAAAGCCCTGAGAAAGCAAAGACCTGAGAAGAGCCGGCGAAAGAAACTCAGCGGGACTATTTTCATATTTATTTGACAAAAACATGTTTACAATATATTAAGGTCCACTTGGAAGTACCTGGAACGGCCAATTAATTTCCAGACTGTGTGCCCATAGCACACAAACATTCCTTTACCTTTTTTTTGATTTAGCAACTTAATAATTTGTAAATTTTACTTTGTTTAAAGAAATTTCTTAGTGATTGTTTAAAGGCGCCAAGCTATAAACTGCTCGAATAGTCTCTTTTGGGGGATAAAGATTGTATTTGTCTTCCGCGTTTCCCCAAAATAGAATAAAAGTAGAAAAATACCAAACGGGCCGTATTTACATTAGTCAAAGTTATTATTTTATTTCCGGTACTACTGCTGAGTTAAAAAAGGCTAATATATTAATAAGCTTAATATGTGGCTTCATCGCAGTTTAGCATAGATGCCGAATTGTTTTTTTAATGTTATAAGGTGTTAGAACTAAACCAATGCACTATAGTAGATATAGTCTTGTTGACATCTTCATAATTTAAGAACTTTCGTGCATCATCAGCAAACAATAGTATGTCATGCTTATTGTGAACGAGATAAAGTAGATCATTTATACAGATGAAGAAGAGAAAAGGCTCAAGAAAAGATCCCTGTGGACCCCCCCATATTTAGTAGTCAACTGTCTGAATTCAATGGCTTAAGTACGATTTCAGAAGACATAATTTAAAACTATCTAAAGGTTATGTAATAAGAAATGAGTCCGTGGCACCGTTGTCAGGGCATTGGCTTCGGCGTCATGGGTCGTGGGTTCGATTCCCAAACGAGAAAAGTGTTTGTGTGACCCACAGATAATTGTTTCGCATCTGGGTGTTTGTCCACGTGGAATATATGTTTGTAAAAAATCTTCCTTACAACACAGGATAATGTTATCCTAATGTAAGGGCAAAGCTTTTTGTAAAAAAAAGTTAATTTCCAGAGAAATTTAGCATAAAAACATAGACATGTGTTGCAGTTAAGATAGGAAAAATTTAATGAACATTACCCATGCAAAACGCATTACTACAATGAATGTATTTTAATCACAACTATGACTGTATGTGAAAATCTGCTGCAGGCTTTAATAAGACAAACAAATCTTAATAGGAGGGTGTGTTCTCTTATTATATAGAATTTGTTCAGTTATTATATAAAAAATACCTTAACTAGCATTACGCCCCATTTTTATCTGTCGTACAGCCTACATATAATGAAATTTTCTTACCTTATTCATTTATTTTGCATTTCCTAAGTAAGGTAACTAGGGCTGCGATTATCATGTAAGTCGAGGGCTGATGTTAAAAAGAAAAGAAAAATATGTTCAAATTTGTTACACCAATTTCCAGATGGAATACTGGCACGGTATCCCGTCCATGATGTTCGGAGTCATGGGTCTGCTCTCTGGACTCCTGGCGCTCACGCAGCCGGAGACCCTCGGCACTAAGATGCCCGACACGCTGGCAGAAGCGGAGGCACTCGGCAGGCCCGAGTCCAAACTGCAAATGTGAAAATCACGGATCTGATTAGAGTTTAGCTCGATGCGAAGAATTCACGTACGAGTCAGAAATAACATGCATCCAAAAATTATATGCAAACCTCGAAGACGAAACGACCAATCAACTCTGATCGCTGATCTCCAGTGCATTTATAGATTTGTAAGTGCTTGCTCTTCAGACATAGCGAAGACGCCTCATTGAAACTGCCTTTGTTTAGTTCAGAAACTTTACCACTTATAAATATTTATTACTTGTTTATATAAAGGTGGGTGAAGGTTTCTGGAATTGGTTTAGTTGCAGTTCGCCTCGGAGCTCTAGTTTTTTTTAGTTTTCTATATATGATAACGTTTACTGTCAGCGCTGATATCATAGAAAATCAGCAGTTAGGTTAGCAAGAACTTAATAATTATGTTTGTTAAAGTAATTCCAATTTTAAAAGTCACAAGGTGCACTCAACTCCCATTTCTATATATAAATATTCCATAAACAGGGATAAGGACAAAGATAATAATTACTTAGTTAGCATAAACATAGAATTAATATATGAATACAAATTAGAATACATGTTAAATCATGACAAATAAATGTATATTTATTACCATCTTTATTTAATTTCAGTCCATACGTTTTCCTAACAAATATTAATAAAAAATAGAAGTAAGGTTTTATAAGGACTATAATTATCTACATACAAGTATCGAATTTAAATATTTTACTTGACTCCTGAATTAGAAAAATTATAAAGTATTTTTTTTATGTGAAAAGGTGGCATTGAAGCTAGCCGTCCACATGATTTTAAGTGATAACGCCGCCCATTGACGTTTGCATTACCCAAAGGATTGCAGATGCGTTGCCACCTTTTATTAAAGTGGGCCCCGGCTACCTCACTCAGCAGACGAAACGCAGAAGTATAACACTTCCACTTGACGCCCCCCTTCAGTGAGGTCGTGGTACTTATCAGGACGGAACAGCCCATTCGTGCAACAGAGAACATTGTTGCGTGGCACTACCATCGTTGTATGTGCCAGTTTGGCAGACATCAGTTTAAGCGCGGGGCTAAGCGAACGTCATCTTTCGATTGACACAGGTACTCACGTACGTACTGGCCACGGATGCTTTGGTACTAAAGACACACGAACAGAGGACGCTATGCCACCAATTGCAATGTGGAGGGGAATGGAATTCCATGCAACACACGCACGGTGAAATGTGTGGGAATACAAATGACGGATCGTGGTCTTGAGGATCAGATAGGAACTTTAACTACCAGCCACGGTGGCCACTGCGCTGGCGAAAAAATCTAATTTTGTAGCACCGATCGTTTTCAGCGAAAATGTCATGGTCCAGAACGAGGTAGCGGTGGAGAACCTGAAGTCTTCGACTCCGTGTGGGATCGGGGAGGGCCGAAGACGTCAGGCTGGTGAAAACGGACGTGACGCCGTGTCAGGCCTGTAGATTAGGGCTTAGAGAATAGGGTTAAGGTTTCCCCAGCTGCTCGTAAAGAGCGACTTAAAGGAGCACTGGGTTAATGCGGGATTGATTGGGCCGATCGAAGTGGGGGATCGTCCATTTTAGTAGAGCTGATAGGAGCAGCAGCACGAGGAGGTTTCGTGCATGTAAACATGTGCGCATCTGCCGCAAGTGCCGCGTTAATGTCGAGGAAGCTTCATCCAAGTGATCATGCGCAGTATCGAGCGACACCCGTGAGTTGTTTAGAAAATCCCGGTACCACTTCAAATGTGCTGAAGGTGGCTATATGGGGTTTTAGCGGGTACGAATCCTCTATTACCCCTCCCTAAAAAGACATTAGATTAAAATATTTTGTTGGTATCAGTACCTCATGAGTGCCTTTTCGAGTGGATATGTATTTCCTGCTGCTGCAATACAATTAAATCCATACTAATATTATAAGTGCAAAAGTAACTCTGTCTGTCTGTCTCGCCTTCACGCCAAAACTACTGAACTGATTTAAATGAAATTTGGTACACAGATAGTCTAGAGTCTAAGAAAGGACATGGGCTATTTTTAATTGGAAAAAGGGTTATAAAGAGTTCTTAAAGGGGATAGATATTTATTTAAGGGCTTGAACGCGAGCGAAGACAACCAATTTTTTGTGAAGGCGTGTTATGCCCTTTAACCCATGCCCTTTAACTAGAAATTTTATATTTTACAGAATTTAAGTTCTAGATTTATAAATGAAATGAAATTTCTTTTTACAGCTGTTGGTTTTTTTTATCTTCAGTAAGTAAAAATAATCTCGAAAATTGATTATTTGCTATTAAATTAAATCAGGTGCTCGTACGCAGCTAAAAGGAAATAGGAAATATAACAGGATCAAAAAATGAATAATTTACCAATAAGAGTATGTTTTGTGCAAATGAGAAAAATAATTTTTCGTCCAAAATCAATTTAATATTTAATAATACCAACTAAAGAAAATTTAATTATTTATTTGCGTAATAATTTCTTCGATAACTTAAGTACCCACTTATTTATGTCTAATATCGATGATTAGCATATATCATCGACAAATCTTTTAAACAATGACATCCATTCAGACTAGCATGTTAAAGTTAACACACATGACGGATATTATCTTAGTAAACAGAACTTTATTCCTCAAAATCAAGTTTCAATAAATGGGACGTACTTAAAACTATGGTTATTAGGATCATAATGAATTTTGGTTTCCAACCCAAATGAATTCTGAACGTGTTGCCTGAAACTAGTCCAGACTAGCCGTTTGTACTTTAAGGAAAAAAAGTTTGGTCAGATCACTGCCAAATCGATATCTTCAAGCGGGACTGTTATCGCTTGTTACGATTACTTTCTATGGAAAGAATAATTATTTATCGGAAAAAGAAGAAACTATTATTTATTACTATGAAGACTGCTAATACAAAATTATGATTCCAAAATAATTTTGGGAAGTTTTTAAAAAGAACTTTATATTAATTTTGAACTTTATATTTATTTATTTTGGAGCAATGCTTGGCGCATCCATTGTTATATCCTTTATAGCAAATAAACAATTTCGAATATCGTTTTACAACGATAATTCGAACGAGAGATGTGGCCAATACTTTTAAGAAAATTAAATTCATTTTTGCCGTTGTGGGAATCGAACCCACGCCTACGGGCTTCGCGCCCTGAAACTTTTCGTACATTTTCTACAAATTTTAATGTTTAATCCTAAGTGCAGAAATTAGCATTATAAAAATTTTAATTTTCAAATTAAGATGTAAAAATATATAAATATTTTAGATCACATTTTAACACAACGTTCTCTAGTCTCAAAATAAGCAATTTGTCTTAAATTTGTCTCTTAGTCTCAAAATAAATAATTTTTAATTTATGTACTAGACAACTCATACACACACTTTATTTTTGTAAATAAATACATAAACACCAGGTACTGGAAAACACTATGTTCATCACACAATATTATTTATAGAGTAGTGGGGATCGAAGCCATACCTACTGGCGCAAAATACATTCAACGTTCAATATCTACTTTTTGGCCATGGATGGGGCGTATGCAATAGTGGTCATTGCCCCTAGTAGATAAAGTCAGAAGTAAAGCCGACAAACACCTTATGTTAAGTGTTCTTATATTCGGTAGATTATGATAAGGAAAGTTGAAGTGTTTTAGATTGGTTTTCACGTGCCGAGTTGGGTGGGCAAGCTTTCTTTTTACAGCTTTTTTGGGTTCCATACAGAAAGGGTAAAACGGGACCCTATTACTCCGCTAGTCTGTCTCTCTGTCTGTATGTTTATCTGTCTGTCTGTCGGTTCCTCTGTCACCAGGCTGTACATAAATTTATTATAGATGATGTATTTTTGTTGCCGCTATTAGAACAATACTATAAAATAAAATAAAAAAATATGTAAGTGGGGTTCCTATACATACACACATGATTTCTTTGCCGTTTTTATAGATAATGGTACGGAACCCTTCGTGCGCGAGTCGGTTTTTATTTTGGCCGGTTTTTATTTTCATTGTTGGAGCACTCTTTAAAATATGAACGTATATTAATGAAACTGTGCAATGTGTAATGAAATTAATGATAGTTCTTCAATAACTACTACTAATAGGGTACTTTTATCTTATAATTTTTTTTATATATAAAACGCGTAACACAACTATAATTATACAACGATAATTCGAACGAGAGATCATCAGGATCAGCCGATTCCCACAGCGGCGACAATCTTTTCGTATTTTTCTACATGTTTTAATGTTCAATCTTAAGTGCAGAGATTAGCACTATAAAAAAACTTTAAAATTTATAAAAAAAAGCAATGGCGACATCTCTCGTTCGAATTATCGTTGTAAAACGATATTCGAAATTGTTTGTATGCTGGAAAGGATATAAAAATAGATGCGCCAAGCATTGCTTCAAATGCTAAATAACAATGTAGAAAGAAGGCGTTAAGATTTTCGTCGCTGTGGCTATCAGCCGTTTAGTTTAGTGGCTAGAGCGTCCGGCCGCGAATGCCGTGGGTTCCCACAGCGGCGACAATCTTTTCGTACTTTTTCTACATGTTTTAATTATGGACACTATGAGAAATTCCAGAAAAGAAAACGTCACAAATAGAGACTACTGGGATTCTTTGGAGGAAGCCTTCACCCTCAAATATAGGGGTTCAGGCTAAATTGTATTAGGTGTGAAATAAAAGGTTTATTATTTTTTGTTAATTTATTTTATTAGAAATAACCTCCTTACCGTCTGAATACAATAACTTAGCCGCTGATCTCACTGTGCCTTTGCTGTTCGCTGTTTGATTTGTTGCTATCGCATCTGTGTCAATGTGAGTTCAATGTCTGATATTATCTCGTCTCAGTGGCTTTCCTTTAGTTATACTTCATGCGTATAAGTACAGACTGTAGGGTTTTTGGTTATTTTTTGTCAAAATAAAATATTAATATTTTTTTTGAATTATGGAATGCTCGCTCAATTAACATTATGTCAAAGTATGAATAATTGAAAAAAAATTAAGTTAAAAGTAAAAAGAGTGCATAGAATAGCAATAAAATAAAAATTTATAATAAATGTAACATAAGTATGTAGTGTATGTATTATATGTAATGTATTTAAAGCAATACCAACATAACTAAGTTCTTCGATAGGAAATTACTTGTTATAGTGACCGTATGAGTTAAATGTTGAATGATTTTATATACAAATAAGAGGTAGATATGACATTATCGCACCGAAACTGAAGAACTCAAATTACGCTAATTGGTATAATTACAGTGCAACTCTAAAGACTGCTATCTCTTTCCGTATCATACGTTCTGTATTATCTGTCACATTCACTTATATATGTCATACAATGTGTAGCGGAACAATTTTTAGACGACGTGCAGTATGGACATGCGTCATCTATAGTAAAACATAATTGGTCGAATGTAATAAAATGTTTGGCCTTTGTTGGTTGTAAAAAAACAGCATTCTAATTTACGAGAATTAAAATAAACTTAATTTATGTCACAGTAATTTTATTGTCACAAATTATTTACATTTTTACAGTTAATGCCTTCTTTATAGCTACAATGATAAAATTTTGGCAATAAGTAATAATAATTAACGGGTTTCATGAACTAACTATGAAGACGAGAAGATAAATATAATATACTAAATATGAAAAAAGTATAAATTTCTTAGGGTGGGTGCAGGTTCGAATTCTGGCAGCGGCGAAAGATTTTTCGACAATTGCACTGCATCTTATTTTATCTTAAAGATTTTATCTTATTAGATACCGAAATAACTTTTTCACTTGGTTGCCACATATCATTATCGAAATGAATGTGTTGCATTTTTAGTATACGTCGAAGTGTTTATAAAGTAACAGCGAGCAATGAAGGAATATCAAATGCTATCCCTAACGATGGGAGACGTAGTAAACATTCCGGAAAAGGCTACACCAGTCACTAATAAGACTGAATTGAGTGAATTAAAGTATACAAGGGAAAAGCCAATAGATCTGGATGACGTACTCGTAAACGAGATTGGTCAATTTGGTAGATACCAGATTAAAAACATTTTGTTGGTATCATTGCCTATGCTAATGAGTGCCTTCTCTAGTGAATACGTATTTTCTGCAGCTGTAATACCGCACAGGTAAGTTTACATTTATATGCTGGTGTAGGATTTTCATGATAAGAGTAAAGGTAAAACCATTTATCCCGCCCAAAAATGCCGATGTGTTATTCATACTGTGCCAAAGGACAAGTCAACAAACAAACTTTCGAATTCATGAAATTAACGGACATATGAGATAGTTTTGTTATTGGGTTCAGAACAAATACTAAATATATAAAATCAAAATACTATTTAATCTATGAATTAAGTCTTATTCACGATATATTGTCGACAGCACTAGCTGCAAAGTTCTCGCTAAATACCAACGTAACTTATACGTATAACATGTCATCTTTTTCTACAAATTTTAATGTCATCAGGTGTCAAATCCCTGAATGCGGTGAAATTGGAAAGAATTTAGATTTCGAACCCACCTGGATTTTGAACGCGGTCCCTGAAACTAGTTCAGGCTTTTCTAGCTGTCAGCGGTTTGCAACTAAAGGAGTAAACGGTTCGTTGGACTACTGTCCACCTGATATATTTCAGCGTAATCATGTGATTGGTTGTGATGGCTACGTATATGGCAAGAATAATTCTGTAGTTTATGATGTGAGTAAACAATATAATAAACATAACTATATAAGAATAAATAGTCTAAATAAAAATAATTCTATCTATAATTATATCCTGTACACACAACTTAAATTCGACGACTTCGAAGTAATTAAAACAAAATTGTGAATCTAAACCATTCTCGAATCGACCTGAAGACTCAAAAAATTTTTTATTAAAATCGTTTAGGAGAAGTTCATACATACACACGTACTGTACAATTATATATATATATATATAAAGATATCTCAGGTTTTAATAGGACTAAACAAGATGGCTTCTACTTTGTGTACTCGTTATTGAATAACCTTATCACTTTTTTCTCCTCTATTCGACAACCGATTTTCCATATTGTGATTAGGAGCTATTGTCCTAAAGATTGCTAACCAATAAAAAATATTGTCTTCGTGAATATTGACCTGTGGCGAGCACTGGTTATAATAAAAATCTGTAGCTGTACTCCAGCTGATATATCTCCAAAGATCAGCCCCGTGAATGTAGTGTTCGTGGTGGCTAGACATATAAACTCGCCATAAAAGGTAAAAACTTCGAATAAGTATTGGTCGGTTGCAGACGTTACAAAATCTTATAATCTGTCTATTGTTTCTTATTATGTCGGAAATGTATGTATATCTAATGTATAAAATTCTCGTGTCACGGTGTTTGTAATTGACCTCCTTCGAAACGGCTCGACCGATTTTCGTGAAATTTTTTGTGCGTATCGGCCAGGGTGGAGAATCGGACAATCTATTTTTCATCCCCCTAAATATATTTTTTTAAAAGAAACATTGCCCTTACTTTAGGATAAATTTCACGTGGACAAAGACCCAGATTCGGAACAATTATCTGTGTCACATAAATAGTTGTCTTGTGTTTGAATTGAACCCACGACCCTCGACGCCGAAGCCCTTGGCAACTACAATGGACTACAGCATCAAATGCATGTCCGACCAATATTAAGGTTGGTCCACCCCAGAAAATTTTTTCTACCCTACAAATAATTTATATGGCAAAACAACGTTTGGTGGGTCAGCTAGTTGTCTGTATAAAAACCCCTTCCAGTTTGACTTAGGTTGCAAGGAGTGGATGCGAGTCTTAGCCGGCTCCATAAACAGAGCTGGGGCGCTGTTCGCTTTGCCAATAACGAGTTACTTCTCGGATCGCTTCGGCCGGCGGCTGGCGCTGGCGGTCAGCACGTTTAACTTCGCGCTCTTCGGTACCGTCCGAGCTTTCTCGACGAACTACAAGACGTATCTGGCGTTCCAGTTCCTGCAGACCGCCCTAGGTGCCGGCCTCTATAGCTCTGCCTACATTTTTGGTACGGTCTTTCGAATATTCTTTAGTGCTCAATGTCACTTGACTAGGTATGGCTGGATAAAGAGGAAAAGGTCTATTGGCCATTATATTGATAAAATATGATTTTAGACAGCGTTATTAAATAGCGTTTCAATCGGTAAAGAAATGAAGATACATATATTTAAAAGCACACCGTAATATACCAGCTGGGATGACGTCTATGTAAGCTTTATCTTTAGGGGTGTTAATATTGTTTTTAAAGGTTTAAAGGTGTGTTTTGAATTCTACAAATCGTCCCCTTTTTGAAAATAAACAGAATATGTTATTATTTTTCATATATTACGCTGGAATGAATCAATTTACCTGTCCATTTCTTGTGTCATTATAAATAGTTTTAGTGCAAATTTTCTCAATATATAGTTTTTTGTAGACTAATTTTAATGAAGCTTTTATACTCTTTCTAAATATTAACGAATGCAGCCAACAAAAGTGTGAATAGAATCCATACTATTTATTATAAATACTAAAGTATCTCCGTCTGTCTGCCTGTTTCGCTTTCATGCCTAAACTACTTAACCGATTTAAATGAAATTTGGTACACAGATAGTTTAGAGCCTGAGAAAGGACAAAGGCCATTTTTTAATTGGAATTTTTTTTAAAGAAAGATATTAGAAGATTAGATAAGAATTAAGGGCTTCAACGCGAGCGAAGCTGCGGACGAAAAGCTATTACAAATGTAATGCACATTTGTAAAACCACCGCGCGTGTTGTACTATCTAGGAGGATAAATTCTAATGCATATGTCAACTATTATCAGTTCTGGATGGATAAAAAGAGTTGTGTGTATTTCCGTGATAAATATAGTGATATTATTATCAACATCACTACATAGTATAAATCAAAGTATTCCCGCTGTCTGCCTGTCACTATGTATGCTTAGATCTTTAAAACTACCCAACGGATCTTGATGCGGTTTTTTTTACTTGATAGAGTGCTTCAAGAGGCAGGTTTATATGTATAATACATTGCACACGTGCGAAGCTAGTGCGGGTCGTTAGTATTTATACATATGGTTATTTTTGTTGTATTCATATTTGTAATCACACAAATTTGTCTCGTTATAAACTGTCTCGTTACTCGTAGGGCCACGCAGCAGCTAAGGCTGTTGTGCGAACGAACAGGCTTGTTGTGAACGATCAGGTGTTGCCGATCTAAATGGGCGGCCGTAATCACTTAATATCAGGTGGCCGCGTGCTCGCTTGCCAACCTTTTACATGAGAAAAAACGGCCAAGTGTGAGTTGGACTCGCGCGCTAAGGATTCCGTACCATTATCTATAAAAGCGGCAAAAAAATTATGTCTGTTGTATGCCTAACTTACATATTTTTATTCTTTTTTAAGTATTTGTTGTTATAGCGGCAACAGCAATACATCATCTGCCTAACTATCACTGTTCATGAGATGCAGCCCGGTGACAGACGGGCAGACGGACAGACAGAAAGCGGAGTCTTAGTAGTAGGGTCCCGTTTCACCCTTTGGTTACGGCACTCAAGTGGTGGGATTGCGGTATTGTACAGCTGTAATGTAAGCTGTTCATAAACTCTGGCTTCCAGCTGCGGAACTTGTCGGGCCGAAGTATCGAGTGCTGACCGGTGCAATATGTCACTCGACGTACGCTGTAGGCGCGATGCTCTTGGGAGCAGTGGCCGCGGTGATCCAGTCATGGAGATACATGATACTGATTCTGCACATTCCCTGCTTCGTCGTCGCTTCCTACTATTGGGTTCTTGACGAGAGTGTGCGCTGGCTTTTGTCAAAGCAAAAGTACGCGCAAACAATAACCATTCTGGAAACTGTAGCGAAAACTAACAACACAAAAGTAAGCGCAAAATCAATGGAGGCACTTGTTAATTCACCAATAGAAATAGATCAAAGAACTGTAAGTATCTATGTATTTACAAAGAAATCATAATTATAATCCCTACTTAATATTATAAATGTGAATGTAAGTTTGTTTATGACGCGTTCACGCCAAAACTACTCAACCGATCATCATGAAAGTTTGAACACATATTCTTAGATGTATTAAAAAGGAGACAGGATTCTTTCTATAAAAAAATATATATTTAAAAAAGCGACAACGCGGGTGATGTCGCGGGTGAAAAGCTGTAATAAATAAATGGTAACAGTGTGAAACTATAATTATTGTCAACAAAGTTTTGATGAAACAACTGAATTTACAGCAAAATAATAAAATTTGGGCTTTTAATTTTATTTATTGAAAACCAGTAACACTCAGTGTCAGTTAGCCCCTTTTCTATTTTTAATTATTGTCCATATATATGTATAATTGAAGCTTGATTATCCTATCAACTTTTTGTTATTAAGTCTTGTGAATCTAACAGATGGGTTAAAAAAAACGGGAGACACTTTCTTATATTCGTTTTTGTTTCGTGTATATGTTTACAGCATTGATGATACTACATTTGCTAATAAGAGCGATATAAAGGGACTAAACTTGACTTTGACATGCCATTTTGTGCTTCGCTCTGTCTAATACGTCGAAAACGTATTTGACAGGACGCTGTAAATACAGTAATCACTTTAATATTAGCTTGTTATTCACTTTCCCGTTCTCCATAAAAAAATCTCAAATTTCAATGTCGACAGACTGGTCCGGGCTTACTCGCAACTATATTCCGATCACGTGTTCTATTGCGTCGCGTCTGCACAACCCCCTTCTGGTGGATTGCCTCCATATTTGTCTACCACGGCTTCTCGATCAACTCGATCACGCTGTCTGATGCCATGTACCTGAACTATATACTCACCTGCGGCGTCGAGATCCCGGGCAACTTCGCCGCGATATTCACCTTAGACCGGATCGGTAGAAAGCCAACTTTGTCTGGAGGCTTCCTCCTATGTGCGGCTTGTAATGTTATTTTAATATTCTTACCAAACGGTAAGTGTAAATATGTACTTATTACTATATATAGATTTATATTATGGTACCTATATATATTGAGATATGGGCCTAAAGGCGAGTTTGCCTTTGGATGATTACATACAACTTTTGTTTTGCATTTTGATTTACTCGTAAAGTAAACTTTCTAGTTTCTAGTAACTCCTACCAACATTTTCCTATTAGAAGGAATATTTTAAAATGTAGCACTTATCTGCACCAATGTACACCACAATGTAAACAGCACCGAGGGAATACAGAGAGAAATCGTGAAAAATGGGAAGAGAACTTGGAGACGAATTTGTTTAAATTACCAATAGCAAAGTTTTGTTACGGTGATCTTTTTGTATTTTGGGAGCCTTCATAAAGTTCATCGTGGTTAAAGAAAGGGATAGACTTGTTTATATGCCAATGTTTCTTTGTCAGGTTACAAAATTTGGAGATTAATATTATACCTGATGGGGAAATTTGGCATCTCAGTGGTGGTGACGGCACTGTACGTGTACACATCGGAACTTTATCCCACTGAATATCGCCACAGCCTGCTAGGTTTCTCCTCAATGATCGGGAGGATCGGCTCGATCAGCGCACCTCTCACTCCGGCCCTAGTGAGTATTAATAGTAATCTATAATATATAAGTTGTTAATGTAAAGAGATGGTAAGCGAGCTGATGGTTCATTTGATGTTAAGTGGTAACCACCACCTATGGAGATTTGGTACACCCGTAGGTTTGCAGATGCGTTGCCACCTTTGTATAAAGTGGGCCCCTACTACCTCCGAAACGTAGAAGCGCAAATTATAAAAGTATAGCTCTTCCACTTCACACCAGTCTTCTGTGGGGCCATTACCGGACGAACCTGCCCATTCGGGCAACAGTAAATACTGATGCGTGACCCTACCACAGTACAAACCACAATAAGATTTGTGAAAACGATCCTATATGATGCGTTTTCGTTTGGTTTTCACTGTCAGTGGAGTGTAAATATTTGTTTATTTTGCGGAAAGTACCATATTTAACCACCGAGAAGCTCTTTTACTTAAATGGGGTGGATAGGAACAGCATCATATCTTATAACTTTTTCTTTATTATGATTATGTCTTTCTAATACCTCTTTGTGATGTACTTGGGTATTCCATATCGATTAATTATATCGCTCGGTGCATTTCACTCCACATCAAAATGTATGGTAATATCAACTTAATAAGTTGGATTCGCAGTGTTTACGAATGCATTGATAAACTAAACGTTGCATTTCGGCTTCCTTTCTCCTAATTCACGAATCTACTTATTTTTATAAAAAGTGAAATGACGAGCCAAGGTATCCCAATTAAAAAAAAATATTTATCACCACTGTGTTATTACCGTAGATGCTCTATTGGAACGGTATGCCGACTTTGTTGTTCGGTGGCATGGGTCTATTTGCTGGTCTCCTAGTCTTCACGCAGCCGGAGACACTGGGTACTAGAATGCCCGATACCCTGGCTGAGGCGGAGGCACTTGGCAAGATGAATGCCCGGAATTAAAATTTATTTGATATTGAAAGATAAATAAAAACCAATAAATAAACAAACCGTGTATAGTGATGTTGTAGTGACGATGAAGTTTTAAATAAATTATGAACTGTTTTATGTATGAATTGAACAAATACATAATATTTATTGCATGCATTGAATATCTCATATAAATGAAATAATAATTGCTATGTGTAAGTTTCAATTGCAAGAAACATTTTAATAACTAGATACTACACTATTTTAAGTAATAAATATTTAAAATGAATTTTACGTTGTTATTATTAATTTAATTATTTTTTCTTTTTAAAGATCAGCTTCAGTCATTGAATTTTAGTTTTTTTTTTATATGAGAAGGTGGCAAGCGAGCTGGTCGTTCACCTGATGTTAAGTGATAACCGCCACCCATGGATATTTGCAACACCCGTAGGGTTTCAGATGCGTTTACGACTTATGATAAAGCGGGCCCCGGCTACCTCACTCCTACCGTACCTACCAGACGAAACGCAGAAGTATAAAACTTCCACTGCCCGCCGGTCCTCTGTGAGGTCGTGGTACTTCCCCGGACGGCCCTGCCCGTTCGTAAAACAGCGAACCGTCGCGTGGCCCTACCACAGTTTAGATTTTCTAGTATTATTCTTTTTTAATCGAATATATGTTATATTCTTTTAAGATGCGATACATAAACAAATTAAAAATAAAACACGACGAATAAATTAAAAATTATATAAATATGACAAAGAAAAAAAATATTTGTAAAGACATTAGTACAACCATCGATATTAATTATATAGCAATGGCATATATGAGTTCTCATTACTAATTCTTTGTTATAAGAGGTTTTCCAATTTTAATACTTCTATTTATTATTATTATGACTTATTTATTAAGTTTCAATAAGCCTAAATATTACAATGGCTTTTGTAAGAGTGTTATTACTGATCCCATGTTATAAGAGATAAGAGGATTTCCAACCTAAATGCAGTATTTATACTTATTATTATTATTATGATTTATTTATTAATTTTCAGTTTGATCACGATGAACATATGTTTACAAGTGCAAATAAGAGCAAGAAAAACAATAAATAAGGTGAAAATTTTGTTTACATTGTTAGTATAGGACCTTTACCATATTAAAATTAAGATTGACACGAATCAGGAATATTAACTTAAAAATTAAAAAAAAGTTAAGTAACAGCCTATATATGCCATACAGTTGGGCAAAGCGTTCTACGTACAAAGGGTATTAGAACATAGTCCACCCCACGACCCCACAGCGGGTCGGCACACGTTAAATGTCCTCGTAATAATTTTTTGGTATTATATTGAAAATATGCAGGTATCCTCACAATGTTTTCCTTGTTAATTGCAATTTTACAAACGATATTTCATTAAAATTTTGAACCAGCACTAATTTGAATTTTATAAAGGTAGTTCTGCAACCGATGGAGGAATATAATTAGTTTCGCATAACCTGCAGTCTTAGGAAGCCTTCCATAACACAATTTGTATATTGTTATTATTGTGACCTTTGCAAGGCTTTTGACTGCGTAGGTCACACAATTTTTATCCGTTATATCTTACCGATAGGGAAAAAAAGTAATCATAAATGCTAATTGTCATCAGAGTCAATAGTATAAATGGGTGTTCTTCAGGGATTGATCCTGGGTCCATTCGTTTTTAGTTTAGGTCTCAAATAGTTGTGTTTGCAGATGACACTTCATTGTTTAAACTTGACAGGAAAGATAAAACACTAGAGCAAACCAATAAAGTAGATACTAGATTTTAGGATAAGGATTTCAGGAGTCTGTATTGATGAGAGCCCTTCGCTTCGCCCCTCGAGGTTTCAACAACTTCTCAAGCAGATAACAAACACACAGCAACAGCTAAATTAGTAAATCTTATCCTTTAAACGAGCAATTCTTGTATATATATATATATATATGATTGACATCTCGGAAACGGCTCCAGCGATTTTCATGAAATTAAGTATGTGCGTAGTAGATTCGGGGACGAAAAATCGATCTGACTAGGTTTCATTTTTAGAAAATGTCGTTTTATCCCAGTTTTCAGGGAATGAAAAATATCATATATCACCGAAAAAAAAATTATAATAGCTCGGTCGGTAATCGGGCGGCCGCTAACAAACAGCCACGAAACAGAAGGCTGTGGTTCGTATCACGATCATTTACACACTTATTTTTTTTTACTTTTTTTTCGATTCCTGATCATTGCTTTCTTTATCTTTAAAATATGTAAAAAAATCGTCCGTTCTTTATCTTTTATTTTTTGTCGATTTGTTATTTTTTCCCTTTTTTTTTAAAGTTCTTTCTTTTGTGAGAAACACCAGTTAATATTTTCTTATTATTACGTCGGTAAGATCGAAACATATTTTGCATATTTCATTACTTAGTAATTTGTATCTAAATGTACCTAATTTCCAAAATACACGATTTACCAAAAAAAAAAAAACAAACCGAGAAATGCTCGGTCCTCCAGGTACTTATTTTTATTTTCACAATATATTTGTAAATATTAAATGTTATATGGTCTTTTACTTTGGGGTTCCGGATCCGGTTTAGATACAATATTTGTTTTACAAAGCAAGCGATATGGGCTGTTTATGGTTTTGGTGCTACCTGAGTCACTATGGTATATTTTTAAACAAATAAACGTTTTAACGTTCCCGTTACTATTCATAATCCAGAACATCGTGTACGTCCGTGATGATAACCATCTTTAAAAAAAAAAAACCACTAGATCGCGTCGGTGCTGTGGTAACACTCCGGCAGTAACGAGGTTTGGACTGACTTTTTAGAAAGTCGTTCCTTGGTAGATGTATTAACTTATAATAGTAGACGCCGTGGTCGAAATTCGACCAAGTTTGAACAATATTAATCTATTCTCAAATACATTACACAGTAAAGAAAAGAGTATATGTGCGGGTCAAATACACGGTAGTGTGCGTAACGTTTTCTATATTGATTCAATGTAACAAATATAAGCATTCTGCACTCCTTCTCTATATAAACTATAAGTGTGGGAAATTTCATACTCCTCCGTCTGCGCAATTTAAAAGGGTACAAAAAGGGGTACAAAAGTTATTGCTTCACGTATTTATAATTATATACATAATAGGTCGGATCCAAAAACAACAAATTGTAAGCAATATCAAACATTTAAAACAAAAAAGAAACCCTAATTGAAGGGGGCTACTATAATATCTAGAATACAATAAGTACAAGGATGTGTGGAACCCTTGACCTGAACTTCCAAGTCCCTTGGTTGCTGCTGAAATTATACCTAACTAATTTTGTATACATATATCATTTTCATGTCCAATAATAACTTAAAATAATCCTTAAATTGTTTATAGTGCTAATCTTTGCACTTAAGATTGACCATTAAAATATGTAGAAAATGTATTTTTCTGTCTTCGGCATTGCGCGTCAGGCCGCGAATGCCGAAGACGTGGGTTCGATTCCCACAGCGGCGACAATCTTTTCGCACTTTTTCTACATATTTTAATGTTCAATCTTAAGTGCAAAGATTAGCACTATAAACAATTTAAATTTCTAAAAAAGCAATGGCGACATCTCTCGTTCGAATTATCGTTGTAAAACGATATTCGAAATTGTTTGTATGCTGGAAAGGATATAACAATAGATGGCGCCAAGCATTGCTTCAAATGCTAAGAAAAAGATGTAGAGGAATGCGTTAAGATTTTCGTCGGTGTGGCAATCAGCCTTTTAGCTCAGTGGCTAGAGCGTCAGGCCGCGAATGCCGAAGACGTGGGTTCGATTCCCACAGCGGCGACAATCTTTTCGCACTTTTTCTACATATTTTAATGTTAAAATAATCCTATTTATTTTTTTAGATTTTAATATTTATTTATCTAATATTTACAAGATTAAATCTATCTACAATTAAATATTATCTAATAAACCTAATCCACGCAGCGTGGTGCCAAGAACGCTAGCTGCATTTCCTCGCTCAATAGTTATGCTTAACTTTTGAGCGAGAAAAGAACCAGCTCTCTTATCACCAGCCGCAGCGTAAAGCCTAGGACATAAACCTTTAAAAATTTTGATGTGCGGGGACCCCACGGACCCAAAGTTTCACCAGCCAATAGCACAAATACATAATATAAACATAGATACTCATATTTGCGCTATTTACTTACTTCAGCTGCCTCCGATGGCACCCCGGCCCTGACTGAAGTACCCCTTAGATGAGAGGCAGCCAAAGTGTCTACACAAGTAGCATTCCGAACAAAGGTTTTACCTCTCTCCCAAGGGATCAAAGTCAAAAATCTATTTTTAATAACAACCTTTGAACATTTTCGTTTATACAGTCACAGATAATACATAACTTATAGTGCTACCCCTTTGAATTGAGGAACTGTCAAAGTGTTGTTAATTGCAGATGGTCGACTTGTTTTACGGCCAGTTTCAATATTCTATCTATCTGTAGATTTTTTTCCTAGCGATAGGTATTTGACATAAGCTCCATAATACTTACGTCAAAATTCTATCACCAGTAACCAAATCTACACATAGATAGAATATTGAAACCAGCCGTTAGGCGGATTGACTAACATTTAGTTTGATTGATTTTGGCGCAAATGACTGACAGTCTTTAAGTGACTGTTTATTTAATTTGTTGTAAAAAAAAATAGAAAAAATTACCTGCACTGACGACGTGTGTTAAATGAAACTAAAATTTGGGGCATTTTCGACGTTATCTTTTGAGGATAAGGTTAAATTGATTGCGAGAGGACACCTTGAACCTGGGTTGGATTTAAATAAAGTAAGGGTAATTTTACTCATTCTCTTAATAAATAGTTTTATGTATGTACACACCAACGAATTGTTTTGTTTTTCTTGCATTTTGGTCTTAATATAAAAAAACCGTCCAAGTGGGAGTCGGACTCGCGCACGAAGGGTTCCGTACCACTAAATCTATGAAAACAGCAAAAAAATATCATGTCATGAGAGCCCCACTGAAATATTTTTTATTCTGTTTTTTAGTATTTGTTATTATAGCACCAACAGAAATACATCATCTGTGAAAATCTCAACTGTTTAACTATGTTCTTTAACTGTTCATGTGATACAGCCTGGTGACAGACGGTTTTACCCTTTGGGTACGGAACGCCAACAATGTTTGGGCCTTAAACGGCTGCTGAGATTCAAATAATTTTCACAAAGTAGTCGCTAAACACGATTCTACAGAAAAAAACGTTTGGATCTGTATGAATTTCCAAAATTTTGGTTAAAATAGAACTGAGATTAGCTTGAATAGCTTGTTTAATTTCGATAAATATTGAAATGCATAACGCGAAACATGATATGTCCTAAACACCTGAGAACGCACTAGAACCTTGAGAACTGCCAATAATCCACGAGAACCTCAGAGAACCCTCGAGAATCTACGATGACCTGCGAGAAACTCCGTTGACTAAAGACAGTTCATTAGAACCCTCTTATTACGAGTACCTTCTGATCATACAAGGTCCTCCACATAAATGATGGGGTTTAGTATCATCCTGAATTAATTCATAATTGTAAACCAACTCAGTAGAGTTGTTAACGGATACCAAGTTTATAAGAAAAACCATCTCATTTTCAGATAAGTAATGCTTCGTAACCAGGCAAGTGCAGAGCGCGCACGGCCTGTCAGAATGGCCGTACCAGCGCGTAGACCTAACCTGACGTCAAAAGTGGCGGATGACCACATATTCTATTATTTAGGGTTTATTTTTATGACGCAATTGGTTTAAATAGTAAGCGAATCAATTGTTTACTCATTATGTTAAAAGACTTTAACAATTAAGTTTGATGACACAGTTGATCAATTGACTTAATTCAACTAATAATTACTGTGCGAGAGACGAGCTACATTACTATTCCAGCCGTTTAACTGTACGGATCTATTTAAGTGACGCTGTTACTTTGTGCTAGGAATAAACTCGTGTAAAGTGTTATTTAGAGTTTTAGTTAATCCGTATATTGTATTTAAAAACAACTAGGCATCTTATTAAAAGGTTTAAGGAGTCTTATTTTATCCCGCTAAATTTAATAATTTAAAAAAATATTTACGACAATACATGACTTCAAGGCTCGTTTAGTAACGGATGTAGAGAACGTGAAATTTAAAATTATCAAATTTTGAAGAAAATCCTTTGTTTTCCTAGACTAGTTCAAACAGAGTTATCAATGACATCTATGACCTAATTTCGTTTGAAAGTGTTCAAAAGATTTAGTTTTTTAGATTTTTATCTCCGATAAAACTATTTTACAGATGATAAATAATGCTAGATAGTAAAAGATTCGATGTCAACGTAAAAAGAGTCCCCTCTTAAGCAGTTTGTTCTAACACCTCGAATTGTGATTAAGTCACAGGTTTAAGACATGGCTTGTTTCGCAATTTCATATAGGCAGTGGAAAAAAGGAAATCGGTAAAAGCAAATCGTGTTTAACGATTTAGTGAACAGGACAAAAGTGAAATGAACAAAAAATATCAACAAAAAAGTTGTTCTTTGTTTTGATCATACGCCGGTTAAAGGGTCCCGGTGGAAAAATGGCTCCTAATTTAGACGACGTACTAGTGAATGAGATCGGACAATTTGGTAGATACCAGATAAAAAATATTCTACTTGTTTCGATACCCATGATAATGTCTGGTTTCGCAAACGAATATGTATTTTCCGCTGCAGCGATACCACATAGGTAAGTAAAAAGCAACCAATTATACATTTTAATGATTTCATCGGCCATTTCGAAATACGTTATGAAAATGACATTTGGATTTCAGATGTCAAATCCCTGAATGTGGCGAGGTTAGCAAAAGCGTTGCGTTTGAGCCCGAATGGATCTTGAACGCAATTCCTCAGACAGGTTCTGGTTTCTCGAGTTGCCAACGGTACGCTCCGACCGGAAACAACGGCTCCCTGGACTACTGTCCAGCTGACATTTTTTATCAGGACAATGTAATCGCTTGTGATGGCTTCGTTTATAGCAAAAATAATACAGTAGTCTATGAAGTAAGTACGAATTCAAAGACAAAGACAAAAAAAAAATACTTAAATTTTGTTCAATCTATATCGGATATAGAAATTTTTAATATTGAATTGAATAAAGAATACACAAGCGTATGCTTGTTTTAAGCTTCAATGGAATGTGACAATTAATATTATTATAATGGTAACTGGAATTATAGAACTGGCAGTTCACTTGCTACATCCGTAAGGTTGCAGATGCGTTGCCATCTTTTAATAACAATTTAAATAATAATACATAATACATATTACGTAAAATAAAATAAATTGCAATTTCTAATATTTAACATTATTCAAATATTCTAAAAGAATTAGTACCTACACAAAATAAAAAAAATTAATTACAATTTTTAATTTTTTTTTTAAAGTTCGACTTAGGCTGTCAGGAATGGATGCGTGCGTTGGCTGGCACCCTAAACAGTATCGGAACACTGCTGGTGTTGCCAATAACAGGATATATCTCTGACCGCTTCGGACGTCGCGTGGCACTGGTCGTGAATATTTTTAATTTCGCCCTCTTCGGAACAATTCGAGCTTTCTCCACTAGCTACCCTATGTATTTAGTGCTTCAGATCCTCCAGACAACATTAGGCGCTGGCTTGTACAGTTCCGCATACATTTTTGGTACGAAATTTACCCATTTAAAATAGGTCATGTGAAAAGAATGTTTTATATTGACTGTTATATTGAATCGTATGTTAGCGACAGGCACTGATAATAAGAGAGAGAGCGTCGGGTGTTGCATGAATGGGCAGGTCCGTCCGGGTAGGTACCACGACCTCACAGAAGGCCGGCGTGAAGTGGAAGTATTATACTTCTGTGTATCGTCTGGTGGCTGAATTAGCCGGGGTCCACTTTATTAAAAGGTGGCAACGCATCTGCAACCCTATGGGTGTTGCAAATATCCATGGGCGGCGGTTTTCACTTACATCAGGTGAACCGCCAAGTCACTTGCCACCTTCTCACTTTAAAAAAGTGAAAGTATGTTAAGGATTTTATCACTTTTTATTTGATTTTAATTTCCGCCGTCTTGGTCATGGTTATCAGGACAGAATGAGGCGTTTCGCGTCCTAATATCAGAGTTGATCCGGGCTAACGTAAATTACTCAATTATTTATTCTATTTTCTCTCTAAGATCCGCAAAATACTTTCGTTCAACCATTAAGTCCTTATGTAATGAAACGTAACAAAATACCAAGTGACACGCAGTAAATTTCTTCCAAAATAAATAAGTTAATTTAGTAATACTCGTTAGGAATCAGTAAGCTTTTAAAAAGGTTTTAAAATATAACTTCTAGTTGAGTCAGATTTCCGAGACAAAATATTGACGATCGTCACCAATAAATGGGGTGAAATATACTATACTGGCCTAACTTAAAGAAGCATAAGAACACAAGATGAGTGTAGATGACGTAGTTGTACAGTTGCTGGACGTAGTTGCTTTAGTATGTATTCCTTTATATGTTATTTTATTATTATTATTAATTCAACGATGGAAATTAAATTTCAGCCGCGGAACTAGTCGGACCGAAGTACCGAGTACTGACTGGAGCAATATGTCCGTCTATGTTCGCCACTGGCTTGATGGTGTTAGGCGGCGTGTCCTGGATGATACAGCCCTGGAGGTACATGATATTGGCCTTACACGTCCCAGTTTTCCTCACCATATGCTACTATTGGATCCTTGGCGAGAGCGTTCGGTGGCTTCTGTCAAAACAAAAGTATACGCAAGCGAGATTCGCTTTACAGGAGGTGGCGAAAGTAAACAAAACGACGATAAGCGAAAAGTCACTGGAGGCTTTGGTTAATCCTAAGCTACCAACTACAGTTCAATCCTCAGTAAGTACTTATGTACGCACGTAAGAAGTTATACTTCTGTAGCGGAACGAAAGAAAAATAATTACAAAAATATATCTCATGTGCACAGTACTCTTTATTTCGGAAAAAGACAATAAATTTAATTGAAAATGGTTTAAATAAATAACTTGGAACTAAAATTTCAAAAAGTCGTTATTGGTTGCCGCAGTAATATCGTGAAGTAGTCCACGTTGCAATCAACTTCATCATGTCGTTTATGTCGGTGCGCGTGTATCTTTAAAACATTTACTTTCATAATTTTTTTCACACACGCCAAAAGATATATAACTCAAAACAACTTGTTAATAAATTTAGAAAAAAAAAATAATAGTATTGGATTATAAAATAAAATAATGTGTACTTTGTAAATAAGGAAAAAATGATAAAATAACTATTTTTTCATAATAAACATTTTTATATTTTAAGGATCGTGTAGGATTAGTAGCATCGGTTTTCCGTTCTCGTATTCTCTTGCGACGAGTCTGCACTACCCCGTTCTGGTGGATAGCGGCCACGTTTGTGTACTACGGCCTCTCTATCAACTCAACTGGCTTATCCAGTGCCATGCATCTGAACTACATCCTCACGTGTGGCATTGAGATCCCCGGATACTTTTTTGCTACGCTGGTTCTGGATCGTATCGGCCGAAAGCCTACCTTGTCCGGGGGCTATTTCTTGAGTGTGGTGTGCAACTTGACTTTTGCGTTTTTGCCCAAAGGTCAGTACTGAAACTTACATCTATATATATTCACATTGTGAACAATGTTTTGTCATTACAATCGTCAATTATAACACCAAGATATTAAATATTCATCACGCGTGAGAGTTCAGTAAGTAAAATTCTGGCATATGCTTTAGCATATCTTGGGTCTCACTCAACGGGCATAACGTAACTGATTAAATGACTTTTTTATGCCAGTTTTTTTTGAGATCATGTTACTTTCCTGATCGAACTAGCCTGTGCCTGGAGAAAAATTCCATACGTAGACTGATGTTGCTTTTCTAAAGAAGAAGTTATGCCTTTATAGTGTCGAAATATTTGGTAAAAGACTGTACTTAATATTTTAGACTGTAATCTGTATCTCAGTATATGTCGTGTCAATATAAACAAGAATAATTAAAATCTATTACGGCTCAACACATTACTCTTATATAGGTATGTTAAAAATTATTAATTATTAATTTGAAATCATACACATAATTGAAACGCTTTTCATTAAACAAATATGATTCCGTGTTAGTAATTAATCTAAACAATATCAATTATCTTGTTTTTTGTTTTTAGATCTCAAAACTTTGCGGCTAATATTATATCTTCTAGGCAAGTTTGGTATTTCGGTGGTGATGACGTCAATGTACCTTTTCACATCAGAGTTGTACCCTACTGAATACCGCCACAGCTTGCTAGCTTTCTCCTCCATGATCGGTAGGATTGGCTCTGTGTGCGCACCTCTCACCCCAGCTTTAGTATGTATTCCTTTATTCTGTTTCTTTAAATTTTATGGTTTTTAAAAAAGACACGACCACGGTTCATAAGTTCATAACCGATATCGATATATAAAAAAGCTATAAAAACCTCGAATAAGTATAGAAACAAACACAATATTAAAATCAGAGTCGATACAGAAATATGCTTTTATTCAAATTAGTTTGTGCTGATGCTCATATTATATTTTGAAATGCATCCATGCTATTGTTAACTATAGTTTCCTTTTTGTATGGGCCGAGGTCTATATCTCTTTACTCTTACATACCTACATAGGATGGGCTTCTTATAAAAATTAACACAGTTCTCATTTCTTATACTTTGAATAGGGTGTGTAAAATCCAAACGTATTAAATTACTGAAATAACCCAAAATACGTTACAGATTTTATTACAGTGTCTTCCAATTCACCCTTTTTTTTTAGATGGTGTATTGGTATGGTGTACCATCTGTACTATTCGCCGGTATGGCTCTGCTAGCAGGACTTCTAGTTCTCACTCAGCCTGAGACTCTAGGAACTAAACTGCCCGACACATTGGCCGAGGCAGAAGCGTTAGGAAAGACGAGTGCCAAGCAATCAACATAAGGATAAATAACTTGAAATATTTTTTATCGAATAGTGACACTATATTTTATGTGTATATTAATTCCCCTGTCAAAATTTGAACCTCCGCCTTTCTGGCAAAAATTTTCCCCTAACAGTGGTGAAAACTTTTATGACAGGTTTACTACAATTTTTTAATCTATTAACTTAATATAATAAATGTATAAATTTAAATGTATATAGTGTAATTTTTTTTGTTAGCTAAGTTATGCATTACCACAGCAAGTGTTAATAAAGCTTTATACTCTATCTTCTTTTCCGTTCCGGACTATAATACATATTCCCTACCCTAGCGCCCGCATCGTCTGCCCTCTTCAACCGTTTTTTGGTCGTTTGCTTTCCTCCGCCAATAGCGGAGCATTATTTTCACAAAGTGACTATTTTTCCTTAAAATTATTTAAACAATGCAGAATTATCTGATTACCTTCCCTAACCTTAATTTTTTTAAAGATGTAAAAAGTCTTATAGTATGTACATTAAAATGTTTTGATAAGCAGAAATTAAACGACATTAATACCCGCAACATGTAAAAGGAAAGAATGTAATTATAGATTTTATTCAATTTAAGTTATTTTACATCTAAGAAGCCAATCACAGTTGAGCGAGTACCTGATATATAGAAAAAGAATAGAGGAGTCAAATTCAGAAGATTAGTTATTTATTGTTGCGTGTGGCTATTAAACCTTTTCTGAGTAATCCTGTATGATTAGCGGATAGGCTTAGGGACCTTGCTAACTATTATTGAATCTTATTGTTTCTAAATGTAATTATGTTAATGCGACCATGGACACAATCAACTCTTCTATATTAAAGTATGTTCTCACTTAAGTGACAATGATTTCTCACTTAAGTGAAAATGATTTGTCTTGGTAATAAAGTTTTTTAAACGTTAACCTTTTTTGTACTGTTAGCCAATATGGAGTTAGTCCAGAAACGTTATGACAGGGGTAATACATCAATATATTTAACACACTACGCTTTCATCAGAGAAGATATGACGATTACTAATAAAAGGGTTGTCTTCGATACTTGTGGTAAAACTCGTGTCACGGCGTGTCATTAATTGTCTAAAAGATGGGCCAAAATTGCAACAGGATTTGCGTCACATTATGAGTTGGAGAAAACATCTAGTGTCTGATAATAGATAATATGAAAATGTATCAACTGCGGTCAGAGTAACAGATGTAACAGAGAGGCAGACTATCAATTTAATGTGGCACCGGGTATCGAACTCAGGTTGCTCGAGTAAAATGAGTTAAAGGCGACACTGAGCTATTACACTGAGCTCTACCATGCCAAAATGACTCCAATCTAATTAGTTTCCAAAGTTTTGAATGTATTTGTAATACCAGAATTAGACCAATTAGACCCATAGGTCGATGGGAGGGCTAAAATATAGGCCGTAAACCCATATGACACAAGATCAAACAACCTAATTAATTTGAACCTTGCCGTCTGTTCGTGTTACACATATCAGAGCATGAGCAAAAGGTGTCGACTACGTTCTACTATTAGCTACTATTAGCTTGAAAACATGACAGGCAGGTCATTATGTTTGTATGTATGACTACTAAAGCGTTACCTATTGAAGTAGTCTGTAATTCTTCATCTAGAATCTTTTAGTTTTGTTGCTCGTCGTGGTCACTTTAACAAAGGATTACTCCTTGTTGGTGAATCCAAAAAACTTTGGAACTTGCTTCAATTCTTGCTGCACAAGGAATGGTCTGCCACTCAAGTAATTTCTGAGGAGGTTATAAAACGTACTAAGTTTTATATCAAAAGTGTCATTGGTGATTCGGCTCATTGAACTTATAAATAGACCTTTCCTCACTTAGATTGAGACGTGTCTTGATTCGCGGCCAATTTCTGTGTTAACTTATGATATATATACGATGATATATATATGATATATATATATACGATGCGGAGAATCGAATCCATTAATATGGGAGGATACCAATTAACTATGAGTTTTCAAAGTGCATTAAAACGTCGAGATAAGAGAATAGAGAGATAAACGATTGCTACGATAATTCGAACGAGATGTCGCCATTGCTTATTACCAAGTTAAATTTTTAATAGTACTAATCACTTCACTTAAGATTTAACATTATGCTGGAACATTATGTAAAACGATATTCGAAATTGTTTGTATGCTGCAAAGGATATAACAATGGATGCGCCAAGCATTGCTTCAAATGCTATAAAAACAATGTAGATAAAAGACGTTAAGATTTTCGTCGGTGTGGCAATCAGCCGTTTATCTTAGTGGCTAAAGCGTCAGGCCGCGAATGCCGAAGACGTGGGTTCGATTCCCACAGCGGTGACAATATTTTCGTACTTTTTCTATAAATTTTATTTTATTACTAAATTCCAATTAAAAGGACTTACTGAATTGTTGTAGAATTTTATAACATGTGTTTTAGGTTAAAGTTGTTTTTTTTTAACGTTGCCCTTTAATTAGGATAACATTAGCTCGTAAGGACATTTTACAAAAATACTTGTTTTATCGTGGACGAACATCCAGATATGAAACAATTATCTGTGGGTCACACAAATAGTTGTCCCGTGTGGAAATCGAATCAACAACCCCCAACGCAGAAGGCACAACCTTAGAATGTGGGCCACAAGAGTATATTTTGCACGGTTTGTGAAGGACTTTCTATCCTTAGTGGGCGGCATGTGTTAACTAAGTAACCACTAGCCGTTCACATCGCTTACGTTGTGTAAGCGACACATACGTTCAATTATTATTTTTATTTAGTATTAACGATCGTTTGATAAACGGTATTAAGAAATTGGATGTTCTGAAGAATAATAACATCTTGTCCTTGATTTCATCTTACCAGACCAATAAAAGTTTGTGCCAATTTATACAACCTGATTTCGATTAAAAACGTTCAAAACATTTTGTTATTTATTACATATTATATATATATATATAGTTATTATAATCTGTATCTCGTGAATCCCTCTACGATAAAAATATTTTACGGAGGTAATCCTCGATAGTAAGAGATTCGAATTCAATGAGAGCAATTTAATCAGTATGATGTAATATCTCAAATTGAGATAATGTCACATGTTTAAGATATTGCTTATTTTTCTTTTCGGACTTTTATATAAACAGTGAATAAGATGCATTAAGTAGTAAAAATGTAGAACAAATCGCACTAAACGTTTTAGTGAAGACAATAGTGAAATATACAAATCAAATCATCAAATATCGTCAATTGTTTTTTTGTTTTTAACATATGTTATTTAAAGTAACGCGTTGGAAAAATGGCTCCTAATTTAGATGACGTACTAGTGAATGAGATCGGTCAATTTGGTAGATACCGGATAAGAAATATTCTACTTGTTTCAATACCCATATTAATGTCTGGTTTTAAAAGCGAATACATATTTTCTGCGGCGGCGATACCACATAGGTAAGCAAAAAGTATCCAATTATAGTTTTAATAATTTATCAGATATTTTGAAATATTTTACGACAATAATATTTGCATTTCAGATGTCAAATCCACGAATGTGGTGAGGTTAGCAAAAGCCTTACATTTGAGCCCGAATGGATCTTGAATGCAATTCCTGAGTCCGGTTCTGGTTTCTCGAGTTGCCAACGGTACGCCCCGACCGGAAACAACGGCTCCCTGGATTACTGTCCAGCTGACATTTTTTACCAGGACTCATTTATTTTTCAAAGTAATTCTAAATTTTTTCAAACATTATGGACACCTTTACAAATTCCTGCCTTACCGTCTCAATACAATAACCGGTTCACGAGCACTAAAACTTTTCGCTGAACACATAATTACTAATCCGCTTATCAATAGGGTGACCACTCTTAACGGGATAAACAAACGACGTTTGAACTGATATTATTTTGGTTATTTCTTGTCAAAATAAAATATTTAAATATTTTGAATTATGGAATGCTCAATTAACATTATGGCACAGTAAGTACTTTGTCTAAAAAAATCATCCTGTACAAATTGCTTTGAGAGTTTTCAGAAACGATTTTTATGGCAATTATCATACATTTGCAACCTGGAAAAAGAAGATCTAGAATTTTACCGAGTTATTTATAGTATTCAACAATTATGAAAGTATTAATAATATACATATATAAAAACGTTTAAAAACTTTTAAGTTCATCATCATCATCATCATTTCAGCCTGTCCGAGTCCACTGCTGAACATAGGCCTCCCCCATACACTGCCATGAAGTACGATCCTGAGCCACCTGCATCCATCGACTTCCCGCACATTTGCACAGGTCGTCACTCCATCTAGTGGGGGGTCGTCCTACACTGCGATGGCCAGTACGAGGCTGCCACTCGAGAACCTTTCTTCCCCAACGGTTATCGGTTCTACGAGCTATATGTTTTATATATACTTTTATACTTTTTTATTTTTTATACTTTTAAGTTAAACGGTTTTATTTTGTGTGCACTGAAAACTAGAATATTGTATTGTCATCTAAATTAAATGTGTGTACCAAATTTCTTAACGATCTGACAACGGGAAGGTGCTATAATTTCAATTTCTAATTTTGAACCAAATAAACAAATAAATTCCGTACGGGTCGAGCTAAATAAAACCGTTTAAAAAACAATAAAATTGCAATTTTAATTTTTTTCGATTTTTTAAAGTTCGACTTAGGCTGTCAGGAATGGATGCGTGCGTTGGCTGGCACTCTAAACAGTATCGGAACACTGCTGGTGTTGCCAATAACAGGATATATCTCTGACCGCTTCGGACGTCGCGTGGCACTGGTCGTCAATATTTTTAATTTCGCCCTCTTCGGAACAATTCGAGCGTTCTCCACCAGCTACGCTATGTATTTAGTGCTTCAGATCCTCCAGACAACATTAGGCGCTGGCTTGTACAGTTCCGCATACATTTTTGGTACGAAATTTACCCATTTAAAATGGGTTATGTAAAGAATCATATTGACTAGCGTATGTTCGAAATGAACACTGATTGATTGAGAGAGAGATAGAGTCACTGAAAGAGAAATAAATGGTATATTTAATAATAATCTTTAAGATTTAGTAAGTAAATGATGATCTATGGGGCCTATATTCAGCAATGAGTTTTGTGTTGAGTGTTGTTTTAGTAAATATTAGGAATTATTCAATGATGAAAATTAAATTTTAGCCACAGAATTGGTCGGACCGAAATACCGAGTACTAACTGGAGCAATATGTCCGTCTATGTTCGCCACTGGCTTGATGGTGTTAGGCGGTGTGGCCTGGATGATACAACCCTGGAGGTATATGATATTGGCCTTACACGTCCCAGTTTTCCTCACCATATGCTACTATTGGATCCTTGGCGAGAGCGTTCGGTGGCTTCTGTCAAAACAAAAGTATACGGAAGCGAGATCCGCTTTACAGGAGGTGGCGAAAGTAAACAAAACGACGATAAGCGAAAAGTCACTGGAGGCTTTGGTTAATCCTAAGCTACCAACCACAGTTCAATCCCCAGTAAGTTTTTTATTTGCTAACAAAAAAAAGCTAATAAATTAAGAAAACATGTTGATAGTATTGGATTATAAAATAAAAATAAAGAAATTACCAACTAATTATTTTTTCATAACAAATATTTTAATACTTAAAGGATCGTGCAGGGTTAGTCACGTCCATTTTCCGTTCTCCTATTCTCTTACGGCGAGTCTGCACTACCCCGTTCTGGTGGATAGCATCCACATTCGTGTACTACGGCCTGTCTATTAACTCAACTAGCTTATCCAGTGCTATGCATCTCAACTACATCCTCACGTGTGGCATCGAAATCCCCGGATATTTTTTCGCTACGCTGGTTCTGGATCCTATCGGCCGATAGCTTACCTTGTCCGGGGGCTATTTCTTGAGCGTGGTGTGCAATTTGACTTTTGCATTTTTGCCCAAAGGTTTGTCCTGAATTTTTCATGTAATATATATAGTCTCGTGAACAATAAAATCGACTAAAACGTCATACACGTAGTTGAATAACTTTAAAAAAAATAACTGATTCCAAATAAAAATGTTCTTTTTGAATTATTAAAGCCTCTCAAAAATCAAATTTTATCTTTTCTCAAGAATACGAATACTAATTAACTTCTTTGCGCCTATTTACAAAAGTACTAACAAGAGGTTATCATGCGTTGGAAAGCTTAAGATATATCTTTTCTTGTTATTTATTTCTTTAGATCTCACGATTTTGCGGCTAATGGTATATCTTCTAGGAAAGTTTGGTATTTCGGTGGTGATGACGTCATTGTACCTTTTCACATCAGAGTTGTACCCTACTGAATACCGCCACAGCTTGCTAGCTTTCTCCTCAATGATCGGTAGGATTGGCTCTGTGTGCGCACCTCTCACACCAGCTTTAGTACGTATTCTTTAATTCTACGTGTTTTTTACATTTTCTGGTATCACAAAATAAACTTTGCTGTGCAACATGTTCGCTGTTACACGAAACGGCAGTTCCGTCCGGGCTAGGACCACAACATCACAAAAGACCGGCGTGAATTAGAATTGTTACATTTCTGCGTTTCGTCTGGTGAGTGAGGTAGCCGGGGCCCATTTTATTAAAAGGTGACAACGCGTCTGCAACCCTGGGAAATGCAAATCTCCATGGGTGGCGGTTATCACTTAACATCGGGTGAACCGCCAGCTAGTTTGGCCACTAAAAAAAGTACGGAATCAAAATCAGAGCTCATGTAGAAATGTACTTTTATTTTAAATAGTGATGCTGATGCTAGCAGCAGTTCTGCAATACATCCTTACTTTTTTTTTATGAAGTCAGGTCTTACCGTTTAAATTTAAATATTGACACAAGCCTTCTTTCTTTTACTGTGAACAGATTTCCAGTAAAGTCTAAATGTATTTAACTACTTAAGGAATCCAAAATGCGTTTCACATTTTTTACAGTATCTTCAAATATACACATTTCATTTTTGTAGATGCTGTATTGGGAGGGTATACCATCTGTACTATTCGCCGGTATGGCTCTGCTAGCAGGAATTCTAGTTCTCACTCAGCCGGAGACTCTAGGAACTAAACTGACCGATACATTGGCTGAGGCAGAAGCATTAGGAAAGACGATTGCCAAGCAATTCACTTAAGGAATTAATTAGAAATACACGTAATCAGCGACAATGTTTCTATCATATTCTAATTGTTTATCACAGTGACACTATATCTTATGGGTAAATAGGAGTAAAGACAGCTGTATGTTACAAATGTTATGTATGGGCATAAACAGGTACTAATAAAATTGTATTAATAAATGGTTATTTATTAAACGAAACTTAAACGCACTTTTTGGGTTAGCTAACTTATGCATTATAATTATATATGTTATTAATTGCTCATGGCACCATGGCCCTTTTTAACCGACTTCAAAAAAGGTTTTTCAATTCGACCTCGGCATATATTTTTTTACTAAAACACACTTGTGTTCGCGGATAACTTCGTCGTTTATGAACCGATTTTGACGATTCTTTTTTTTTTGGAAAGGAGATATCCCAAGGCATGAAAGGCGTCCATCGCACGAAGGCGTTATGTCTATAGTGTTAGCGCGACTTCTGTCTATAACTATAAGCTCTAAATTGCGTTTTTTAAAAATTTCAAATTCGGTTTAATAGACAATTTTTATAACAAAACTTGGCTAATAAAGAAGTTTGTGTTTCGTTTGGTTTCCCTGCATACTGGACACGGGACGGAAGTATCTATCAGGAAGCCGGGGAAGCATGGGCCCTATTTGATTTGACCAATTCTCGGTGCTAGAGATGGGCGTCAGAATTGTAATTGTGTTTTTTTTTTAAATACTTAATATTAAATTACTTTTGTTCTGATGTGTTTTGTCTTGATTTCCTGCAATATGTGGGAGTAAATACTTGATAAGGGACTAAGTTTCTATCAGGGAGCCGATACCGTTGCACGATATTTGCATGATATACAATGAACGCGCGCGGTGCCAGAGTCGATTTCAGATGGTAACAACCCATTCTACGAGACGGGGGTTCTGTCAGCTATCTGCTGGGCGCTTGTTGTGTATAAAGTGAGCTGTTATATGAACCATTTTATATGTGCAAACTATATGAATAAATGTATTTACTGATGATAAAAAGTGTTTCAAATAAGTGAAGATTATTGATAAGAAATTGATTAAAAAAAAAGTTGCCAAGGTATTGGTTGTTGGTCCCACACAGGACAACTATTTGTGTTACCCAAAGAAAATTTCGGATCTGGTTGTTTGTCTGTCTGTTTGTTGTGTATGGATACTGTTATGCTAAAGCAATTTTTTTATACATAAAACTAAAGGTAAAAAAACTTATAATCCGAATAAATATTTCAGCATTTAGATTTTGGGATTTTGAAGTTAATTTTTCCCGCTGCTCAATTGACATATTAACTTTTGATGAAAAAAAAATAATTCAATTCATTTCACGGATAATTTCTTTGATATTAATAACGGTTCAGGATATATTGTTAATGTTGCTTATAACCAAGTAGGGATATCAGATGTAACACATCATATGGGGCTACTGTATGGTTCAACTGAAAATACAGTTGATCTATATACCAAAGACATGCCAATAGTTCGCAAATCAATCCCAACGAATATGACTTCATAATGTTAAATTTTTCTCATCAAATGCATGCAGTTGATAGTTTTCATCGGTTAAATTATATTGTCAGTATATTAATAAATTTATCAGAAACGTCAAGTATTAAAGGTTATCGTGTTTCTTTAGTACTATCTGCTATGAATACTACAAAAACAACTTTACAATTTTTTAAATGTACTTACCACAAAATGTTAAACGTATTTGGTTCCGGCGTTTTCAAGACGAGTGCAAGCAGTGCGCCGAATAAATCCTTAGACGACATATTTTTTTGATGTGAAGATCATTTTAATGTGTGAGTATTTTAATGTTTTCTGTTCAAACTTTAGGTCCGTGGGGTCCACGCACATGAAATTTTTTTAAAAGTTTATGTCCTAGGCTTAACGCCGCGGCTGGCGACAAGTGAGCTGGTTCTTTTCTCGCTCAAAGGATTAGCATAACTATTCAGCGAGGAAATGCAGATAGCGTTCTTGGCATCGTGCCGCGTGGATTAGGTTTATTAGATAATAAGTAATTCTAGATAGATTTAATCTTGTATATAATGGGAAATATATTTAATTTTTTTTTCTTTCTTTATTCATACATCCAATATAATCTTTGACACACTTATATTGAATCTTTAGCATATCGAAGTTCAGCTAAAGTTCTGCCGCTTAATGTTGGTAAAGACTCCGAACGCGTGAACGGAAGCATCTTCCGGGTTCGAATCCCGCAGCTGTTTTTGTTCATTTATCTAAATAAATCAAAATTTAAAATTGCTTAATTTAAAATTAATCGAGTTATAATAATTGTGAAGGGATATCGCTGGATAGGTAATCTTACAAGAGCAAAGAATTGATAGAGTAACCGATATTTCACTATTATTAAATACTAAACATAATGTACATACTAATACAATTTTTTGTTGCGTTTATAAATATTATTACATTGCAACAAGTTACATACATTAAAGTTTTCATTTAATTATTTTTTAAATAGTTTTAAAGAGTAGTGGACACATCCCTAGCCCAATCCAAGTTTGCCATGTTGAAACCGCCTATAATCATAAATTTATCACACAAGTTACCGAAAACAATTTCGGAGAGTTGTTTCGAAAACATTGTCAACTGAGTCTACAAAACGTTCCCTTCCCTGCCTTTTGATATCACATGAATACTGTACATAGATGTAATTTGTACCTAACAGTTTGTTTTTGGATGATGGACTCTCAATGTTTCCCCTACATCTTCAGCATTCGAACACCATTCCGTGCGAGCTGAGACAACGAATTCTCGTTGAACAGCGATCAGAACACACACTCTTATAGAGTGTTTGACCTTCAAATAATCTCCATACCGTCTCCAAACGATATATCTATCAACGAACAAATCCTTATCGTTTATATCATGTATTAAGTTTTAACCACGTTTCAATCGATAAGTCTAGTATCAAACAAATCATCATCGTTTATATTTTGTTTTAATTGTTTCAATCAAACGATATCGTAAGCATACATATTAATGCCCCAGTAAAATGCCGAAGTTTTTATTCGTAAACCAGGTACGTTTTGATATTAAATTTTAGGGACCGAGTATCCTTTATAAGAATATAGCATATTAATGCATAGGTGTTGATAAGTTTAAGAGATGTAATACACTACACATAGTTGTAATAATAAGTTAGATTTATATAAATAAATATTTTAGGACACATTTTTTACACAACGTTCTCTGGTCCTAAACTAAGCAACACTTGTACTGTGGATACTAGATAACTGATAAACATACTTTTCTTTTGTAAATAAATACATATTATACATCTATAATATGTATTTATTTAAAAACATACCCAGACACGAGAAAAACACTTTGCTTTTTTTATTTTTTCACACAATATTTTTCCAGTAGTGGGGATCGAACCCACGCCCTCTGGTAGAGGTAGGTACACTACCCACCACGCCATTCGGGTCGTCAATTTGAAATAAAATATATCATAGGTTATGGCAATATTTATGTCACTCAACAAGAAGAATTGAATTTGATAAAATAAGGATGGAGGTAAATATATTAACGAACACAGTAAGTACTAGCAATAGGCATTTAAAGAAAATGGCGGAAAAATACTCAAAAAAATGATACATACGTAAAGAAGGAGGAGGAGGTAAGCGAACAGATGTTTCTCAAACTTTGCTGTGAGTAAGCGAAATAATTGTGAGAAGTGAAGGCATACTAGATACTGCACTTTCTTAAGTCCGATCCTGATTTATTAGCCAGAGTATGTGTGGATTTATTCCTACAAATATTTTGCACATAAAACTAAACCCCTTTCCTTAGCTAAAGTATTAGTTTCATTTAGCAAGAGAATTGATGATTTGATTGCAGACCGCAGGTCCATCTTACTCTCATCTTTATTGCACACATTACAAAATGATTAAGCAAATCGTTTTATAGATCTTGAAGAAATTAGTATACAGATTTAAAAGAATGCTCTCCGAATACATAACCTCCTCCTTTGAAATCGGTTGAAATGTATAAAAATAGGTTGTACTTAATCATTGTTATTTATGGGCTATACACACTTTGCAAACATAAACTAAGTTGATCACTAAGAAATAATAATTACGGCGTCTATCACCAGGTGTTTAGAACTATTTTTTATGTGAAAAATTGCCAAGTAAGGTTTACCTAATGTTAAGTGAATACCGCCGCCCATGGACATCTGCTATACTCGAGGGTTCCAGATGCGATGGCAACCAGACGAAACGCGAATGTATTCTACTTGCAATTTACGCCGGTCTTCTGTGAGGTCGTGGTACTTACCCGGATAGGCCTGCCCATTCGTGCAACAGCCGAGGCTGCGGCGTGGCCCTAACACCGTAAAAAAACTAATAGTGATAAATATTCACATTTTTTACTTTAATAAAAAAGGAAAAATAAATATGCTATAATTAAGCGTTCCTTCTTTTTACGGGTCACGTGATCATCCTCAGTCATTTACCGACACTTGTCGCAATACTCAAGGCCCAAATTTAACGCACAAACTTTACCATATTTTAGTCGATTTGAGATAAGAATAAATTAAAAAATAAAAACATTCAACAGCCGAAATGAAAGAAAATGAAAAAACCTTTAATCAAACATCGAACGATAGAGAGTTTAGCAATGAGAAAGAGAAGACGATTGATCTTGACGACGTACTCAAAAACGAGATTGGTCAATTCGGTAGATACCAGATCCGAACAATTATCCTTTTGTCACTACCTATGCTGATGGGTGCATTCTCTAGTGAGTATGTATTCTCCGCGGCTTCGATTCCACACAGGTAAGAAGTAAATAATATATTTTAGTGTAGTTTATGTTAAGTATCTACCTATACTTAGGTAGTCTCCAACTCATAATTTTTGCTATGCGATAAACGATGGCGAGCCAATAAAAATACCGTAAGAAAGCGAAAGAAACAAAAAAACTACCCTTTCACATGCTTAATATTAGGAATGATATATTAGTATACAAGAATTATTTTTTTGATTTTACGCGAATATTATACATATTAAATGAAACTACTTAAGGGATTTTATCGCGTTTTTTATTTTAATTTAAAGTCTGTCCCGTGACCATGAACGCTGGAAAGGGTTCGAAACGTTGGGAATTTAAATTAAAATAAAAAACGCGATAAAATCCGTAAAGTAGTTTCATTTAATATATTCAAGAATTAGTTTAAAATAGTCTCATGATATATGGTGTCAACAATACTGAAATATATCGCGAGATGGCAGCGTAACCTAGGAATTTATTATAAACAGGTGTCAAATTCCGGAATGCGGCGAGGTGGGCAAAGACTTTGAACTTCAGCCCGAGTGGATTTTAAATGCTGTTCCAGAAACAAACTCTGGTGGTCTCTCCAGCTGCCAGCGTTATAAACCTTTAGGTCTCAACGGCTCTCTAGATTTCTGTCCAGCTGATATATTTAATATGAATAACGTTATCGCTTGCGAAGGCTATGTCTACGGAAAAAAGAATTCTGTTGTTTATGATGTGAGTATTTTTTAAAGTTGCTTTTAGTGAATACTTTCATCACCATCACTTTTATGTAACATCGTATGGATGACCATGTATTTAACATTTAATATGATTTTGGTCATTCCTATCAAATTTTTATCAACTTATATATATATCCTTAGATACACGATATATACTTCTATAAAACAAAACTTTTTATTTTAAGTTCGACCTAGGCTGCCAAGAATGGATGAGAGCCTTTGCTGGCACTCTAAGCACTATCGGAACATTGCTGGTTTTGCCAATCACAGGATACTTTTCCGATCGCTTCGGTCGCCGACTGGCACTCATCGTGAATACTTTTAATTTTGGTCTCTTCGGCTCCATCAGAGCCTTCTCTACGAACTACACTATGTATTTGGTGCTCCATTTCCTGCAGACATGTTTGGGTGCCGGTTTATACAGCTCCGCTTACATTTTCGGCAAGTATTACATGCCATATAACAGTTATCTATACAAAATATTGTACGCTATACGCGTGATAATGTAAACACCGATAACAAAAAGTTGGCCAGTGCAGAAATCTGGCGCAGTATTATTGTTGAATTATGTATTTTATTTTCAATAAAGTGAATATTATTCATACTACGTCTGTTAGTATTACTATTACAGCCTTAGTATTTGAATCCAGAGAGTTTTAGTTTACTGAGTTTAATGACTTAATTCGATTAAGAGCATTTTAAAAACAGTATATTTGTTTAAGAACATGGTTAACGGCAAAGACAATACAAGTAACAATTTAATTTCAGCTACGGAACTGGTTGGACCTAAGTATCGAGTGCTGACTGGCGCTATATGCCCCTCGATGTTCGCTGTGGGTTTAATGGCCTTGGGAAGTGTGGCGTGGGTAACAGAATCCTGGCGACACATGATTTTGTTCTTACACATGCCTTGCTTCCTCATTGTCTCTTACTACTGGTTTCTTGGTGAAAGCGTACGGTGGCTTTTATCAAAGCAAAAGTACAACCGAGCAAGGTCTGCTTTGGAAAATGTAGCGAAAACAAATAAGACAGAAATAAGCCAGAAGTCAATGGAAGCGTTGCTGCGTCCAAAAGCCCAGATGACAGTTCCCAAAGTTAGTACTCATTGTTAGAGTTGGAATTATTAAGAGATTAGTTGATGATAGCACGGTTGACAGTATAAAATCTAAACATAGCTGAGAGTTACGGTGTTATGTATCGGTCCATCATCTTGAATGAACGTTTTTTGTGAAATCAGAGATAAATGATACGGAAACAGAGTAAATAAATATAAATTTATATTTAATAAATAACTTAATTATTATTTCTTTCAAAGGGAGGGCGCCATTTGGTCAAAGAAGTTCTTCGATCTCGTATCCTTTTGCGCCGAGTTTGCACTACTCCCATATGGTGGATCGCTTCTACGTTCGTGTATTATGGTCTTTCTATCAACTCAACTAGTTTGTCTAGCTCTATGTATCTGAATTACATCCTCACCTGCGGTATAGAGATTCCGGCGAACTTCACCACCATCCTCATCCTAAACTGGATAGGCAGAAAGCCCACTTTATTTGGAGGTTACTTTTTGAGCACAGCTTGTAATTTTCTTTTTGTCATTATTCCTAAAAGTAAGTACCTTTAATAAAAATATTAAGATATTACAAACGATTCTTTCTCCTTTTCTTCGTTTTCGTGAACACCAACTTGGTAAAACAGTCGTGTTTGTAAAAAGTCATTGTTCTAAGATTTTAACTGTTGGAAGGGCCACGCAACAGTTTCCACTGTTGCATAAATGGGCAGGTCCGTTTAAGTACCACGACCTCACAGAAAACCGGCGTAAAGTAGAAGTGTTACATTTCTGCGTTTCGTCTGGTGAGTGAGGTAGCCGGGGCCCACTTTATTTAAAGGTGGCAACGCATTTGCAACCCTAAGGGTGTTGCAAATGTCCATGGGTGGCGGTTTTTACTTAAGATCAGGTGAACCGCCAGCTCCACTTTTTCACATAAAAAAGGTGCAACTGAAGAGTTATGCCTGTACTTGTTTAAATGTTTTTCTTGTCGTTAATACAGTCGAATTATTTTAAAATTGCTACTAATTGCCGTAGACTTGAGTATGGCACGATTATTATTATACCTGCTGGGAAAGTTGGGTATCTCAGTAGTGATGATGACACTGTACGTATACACGTCGGAGCTGTACCCAACTGAGTACCGTCACAGCCTACTAGCTTTCTCCTCCATGATTGGAAGAATTGGTTCGATCAGCGCACCTTTGACTCCGGCTTTGGTGAGTACAAGTCTTTTTACTTCCCTACAATGCTATTGACCTGCCTATTCATGTAACAGTGAACACTATTGCGTGGTCCTACCATATAAAGATAAATTTAAAAATTTATTAAAAATTAATTTGTCGAAATTGGCTATTTCGTCTCAACTCGTAATCCTGGACAAAACTCTTATAATACTAGCAGCAGTAGCTACTTCCAGAAGTAGTGTAGTTCAATCTGAATAATATTGTATTGTTACAATAAATTCGCTAATGTTAGTTCGCTAATATTGTATATCATATGTTATGGATCCTTTAATGAAGAGACTTTGTATAAGAAACGTTATTTTATTGCACAGATGGTGTATTGGCAGAGTTTACCGTTCGTTCTGTTCGGTGGCATGGGTCTGTTAGCTAGCCTTCTCGTCCTTACCCAGCCGGAGACCCAAGGAATGAAACTGCCCGATACGCTGGCTGAAGCGGAAGCGATTGGGAAAACTGTTGTCAAATAAAAAAAACGCCAGTAATTGAATATTTTAATAGGTATAATCGATATTAAAAGTATTTTAATGTAACGTCTTAATTTTAGGCGTGATAGCTCAGTGTCCGGGCGCTCGCCTTTAATTCAATATACTCGAGCAACCTGAGTTCGATCCCCGATGCCGGCACCAATGAAGTTTTTAACTTGAAGTGCTGACTTATCACGTGCTCCGCGGTGAAGGAAAACATCGTGAGGAAACCTGCATATTTTCGAAATAATAACAAAAAAAAAATATTTCGAATATATGTGAAGTCCGCCAATCCGCAGTGGGGCCGCGTGGTGGACTATGCCCTGATACCCTCTGTATAGAGGAGGCCTTTGCCCAGCAGTGGGACACGTATAGGCTGTTACTTTACTTTACCTTATTTTATAATATATTAAATATCTTGGCTTAACGTAATACCTGTGATTATTTATTAACTTATGCGCACAGTAGAACAAAGTGTAGAGAAATTGAGGTAGGGGCGCAGATATAATGAGTAGAACGAAAAGATTATTCATAAACTAAATAAACATATCTTTAAATTAACTATTTGATAATTCAAAAAGTTAATTACATGAATAATTTTATTTTATTTTATACATCAACTAACAAATATTATTACAGACAATACAATGGCTTATTGTAGTTATCGAATACAGTTTAAGATAAACATATAACTATAACTAACTAAATGCAAACACTGAAAATGGAATGTAGCCAGTGTGAACTATTGAGCAACCATTGACGTCAGGTAGGCGGCCGATCGTAAAAAATAGTCAAAATCGCTTATTGTGCCGATCCCATCTGGTGGGATAAGAGCAGGAGAATGATGATGAAAACGGAACAATTGAATGCTAAGGTATTGGCTCCGGTCTCGGGGGTCGTGGGTTGGACTCCCACAAAGGACAATTATTTGTGTGGCCCACAGATAGTTGTTTCGCAACTGGGTGTTTGTCCACCACTGGGTGTGTAATTTTTGTAAGTAAAATACCCTTACAACACAGACTACATTTTAACGTAATTTCTATTAAAATATGTAGAAAAACATTAAAATATGTAGAAAATGTTCAATCTTAAGTGAAAATATTAGCACTATAAACAATTTAAATTTGTAATTTCTATTATTAAAATCCTCACTAGAAAAGTAAAAAAAAAAAAACAATTTTATTACTAATTTAGTTTGAATTTGGGTAAAGTATCAGCCTTTATCTGCGCCACTGCTGGACAAAGGCCTCCTTTGTACGTAGGGTATTCATCACCGGTCACAAATCTGTCGGTGAGATACTATGCGTATTTTCACCGCAAAGCTTCAAAAATTCCTTGCAAGAACTCAACTCACATTTGTTTCTAAACCACCGTGAGCATTCGCGTCTCCCATTTTGCAACGACCTTTGACAGATTCAGATGCTCATGAGCGATAGTGTGAACATTCAGTTCAGCCCTTTCTACTAATATTTTCACTCTTATAAGGGTATTTTGTGTGTGGCACTAATGGTCGATTTAGAAAAAAATTACTATCGTTAGATGAAATGTATGAGTCGATTAACAAATGATTTTTATTTTTATCGACATTATTATCACACATGACATGACAAGAACATAATTATGTTTCGTTTTGTTGCAATTGTAAGTAATGGAATAATTAACCACTACTGAAATTTAACTTCTAATCTTATTTCAAACAGTTATAGAGTTTTTATAAGAAATAAAGTTCTTTAAACCGAAACATGACTTTTCCATATTTTATTAATATCCAATGCATTTAAAAAGCTTATTAGATTGATTTATTTTCATAACATTGAGAACATATATAATTATGTATAACATATTTATATAATTCTAATCTAGGGCCACGCAGCAGCCTCGGCTGTTGCACGAATGGGCAGGTCCGTCCAGGTAAGTACCACGACCTCACAGAAGACCAGCGTAAAGTGGAAGTATGACAAATACTTTCGCATTTCGTCTGGTGAGTTAGGTAGCCGGAGCCCAATTTTCAAAAGGTTGTCAACGCATCTGTAACCCTCGGGTGTGTCAGATGTCCATAGCTGGCGGTATTCACTTAACATCAGGTGAACCGTCTGCTCGTTTGACAACTTTTCGCACAAAAAAAAATAATTATGTTCTCAAAGGTTACTACAATCGAAAGTATAAATTTTTTTACCTGTCCACTTCACGCGGAATGCCCCAAAATTGTAATCAAAAGGGTCGTTTACCTATGATGTGCGCACAAGTAGACTATTTTGAAAAGGGACAGGTTTAGAGCGAAGTTGTTGACGATAATTCAGCAAAGAGGATTCAGCGGTGGAGCCACCCTATAAGGCAGAATTTATTTCACTATTTAAGTTGGAATTGACAACTTTTGATCAGGAAAACAACGTCGCAGAAAACATTTGCCTAAAATTGTTGTTCTGGTAACGTGTACCATCTGTACTATCCACTGACATAACTGTGCTGGGTGGACCTCTACTTTTTACTTTGAGTCAGGCGAGAAGTGAATGTTTCTCTTACTCACTGAGAGCTGGAACCTATCTACGACAATTGTTGCAAGCTGTGGCTTGAACCATACACCTCACTACTTTTTACTCTTCATCTCTCTCGACTAAGCCTTGGAAAGAGATAGAGTGAGTGGACTGATGCTGCAGTATAAACCTACAACGCACTAAATTTTAAGTTGTGTCGGTGTGTAAGATGTGGTGTCCGAGGAGTGGGTCTCATAGACCGAGATGCATATGATGGTGCCCCTCGCTAGTAACCGCTTCACTGTCTCTGTATTTCTCTTCCTCTCTTTTATATACTAGGCCGTTCAATTTTTCTTGCAAAAGGTGGGTTTTATTCATAAGGTTATTATGAAAATTTTCACAAACATTGATGACGTCTCTCCTTGGTGGAATTAAACCACATTGTAATTTCCTGTTTATTGATCTACAAATATAAACAAATCGCTCTGTTACTAGATCAAACAGTTTTAATAAGAAAAGAACAAATGAGTATCAGGTATTAAACTCACCGTTGATGACTTGAATTATCTTTCCCTGGGTAACTCCTTATGCAGGTTCACACGGCTAGCACGGTACTAAATAAAAGAGATAATTTTTCACTAATCACTAAACTTTAACACCTTAATAACCAAGAAACGATAAAATTATTCAGATCATAAATTACGGATAACGCCTGCGCGCCGCGAGTTGATGCAATGAGCCACTGGTGCTAATTATTTCTCCTTAATAAAAAATCGTTCTCGATAGCCAAAGGGCTCGTCGTTCTTTCGTGATAGATTCTCAATAGAACTTTAGTCACCGAGTCACATCTCCTAAAGTATCAATTAATATTTTTGATAATAGAATTTTATAGTTATAAAATTTTCTGGACAAGGTGATAAGTTAACCCTGTGACGTTTAAGACGAGATGTAGAATCATTGATGTCGGCGTGAGTAACACTGAAAGTTCTTAGAAAATTATAAAACTTAATGTAGAAAGTTGTCATTGCTTTTATTGTTTAATCTTCAAAGGCTATAACCATTTCCATGGTAAAGTTAATGGACTTGGAACCTAACATTTGTGCCACACATTGCATCTTGTAACGGTGCTCTATAAACCTTCGGAAATTAGTTAATATATGGAGGAATCAACGTAGTTCTTCGGCAGTTCTTGATATTGGCCAATCTCTAATAGCTGCCACCTTATTTTTCTTCGGAAATGTTCCTCTTATTGACATACATGCCCAAACACTATCGAAACGTCTCCTATGCTTTTTGAAGTGTTCATCAGCATGTCCTTTAACTTAAGTCGACCTAAGAGTATTTTACAATAAATCTTTGAAACTTGAATAGACCAAATAGTGTTGTGATTGTTGTTTCTTGAATAACGCTCTTTTCTACAGATATTTGGTTGTAAGCCTTTTGGAGATCGAGTTTGCTGTATATATAACAAACAGCTGATTATGGTAGACTGGAAATTTAGCCGTCAACCCAATATTTTACTTTTTTATTTCCTTTCCTCTTGTTTAGTACTTCTTTTTTGTAATTTTATAATTTTGTCTTTTAAGTTAGTGTCAGATCGGTCACAGACTTACGGCTCGTAGACAAAGTATTGCTATTAACATTACTACATTTTTATATCGCGTTAGAACTGTTTATGTGCCTCAAAGCCATTTAAACTGAATAACTTCATTCATCAGCTGTTTATTTTACCTGAATATAGTGACTGTAGAAAAAGTATACTGTGGAAGGCACCATGGATCATATAAATATGGTAATTTAACTACAACGAGATATTGATGAGGTATGCAAATGTATTACTAAGAATACATTGAATTTTAATACAAGGCTGTACTTTTAACATCATTTAGGCGTTTGAGTACCCCGCGTCACCAACATTACTGCTCCTGAGGAAAGTCAATGCATTTCAACGATAAAATATTAATAAAATGTCACAAGATAACTATCGATAATGCGATAGTACAGCACTTAAATGAAACCGGTACTCATAAAAACAGTTATTAACCTTATAAACCTTAAAGAGTTAACGATAAACACTAGATCGTTCCAAGTTTAAAATAAATTATTTCAGAAAAAGTGCTACAGCCGTAATGAAAGAAAATGAAAATTTCATTAGTGAATCAACGAACAAAAGAGAATGTAGCGATAACGAAGAGAAGAAAATAGATATTGACGATGTTCTAGTAAACGAGATCGGTCAATTCGGTAGGTACCAGATCCGACAACTTCTGCTGTTATCTTTGCCTTTGCTGATGGGTGCCTTCTCAAGCGAATATGTTTTCTCTGCGGCTGCGATTCCACACAGGTAAGTGAAAAGCAATACAGTTAGCCCAAACTCTTGAAGACTCACTCGAAGTCCAATTTCGAAATCTACTAAAATTTGCAGCAAGGTAGTCATTAGCTTTCAGTCTGCTCTTCGCAATTTTATTTTAGAAAAAATTTAAAAAAATGAAGTGAAAACAAGTCCGATTTAGCTTGAGAAACTATTAAAGGACTATCAACCCGAAATATGGTATAAAAACAGTGATGCATTTTCTAGTTATATGGCTGCGTAACCTAGGCATTCCATATCAACAGATGTCAAATTCCCGAATGCGGCGAGGAGGGCAAAGACTTTGAACTTCAGCCCGAGTGGATTGTAAACGCTGTTCCTGGAACAGACTCTGGTGGTTTCTCCAGCTGCCAGCGTTATGAACCTTTAGGTGCCAACGGCTCATTGGAGTTTTGTTCCGCTGACATTTTTAATCGGAATAACGTGATCGCTTGCGACAACTATGTGTATGGCAAGAATAATTCTGTTGTTTATGATGTGAGTTGTTCATAACGTACTTTAATTACTATCACTTTTAGAGAAACATTGCACGTACTTCATTTTCATCCACATTCTGACATCTGAATTATTTGGATTTATGTACAAATATTAAGAAATAGTTTTTATTAACCATTTTATCTACAACTAGCGACCCGCCCCGGCTTCGCACGGGTGCAATGTATTAAAAATGAAATACATATAAAACTTTCTCTTGAATCACTCTATCTAGTAAAAAAAACTGCATCACGATCCGTTGCGTAGTTTAAAAGATTTAGGCATACATAGGGGCAAACAGACTGCGGGATGACTTTGTTTTATACCATGTAGTATATAGTACCATGTATAATATACAAAGTCTATAACAAACCGTGCCGGCCAGGCTCCTTCGTACCGATAATGATTTAATAATTTCGTCCTTATGACCCGGTACGATCACGATCATGAGCCCACGACAAATATGTTTAAAAATTCTTCGATAACTGAGACATACTTTTCGTTGCTATGGAACTGCTCTTTTTGATTTTCTGAAAACAACTAAAAATTATAATAGTTTAAGTTAAAAAATTATAATAATATTGTGTCGATTTCTGTTTCTTAAACTAACAAATTATTTAATGTCTTTATTTGGTTTTTTCCAAGCTACCACAGGAAACCACAGGCTCTTTTTGGTTTTTTTTTTTACCTTTAATATATGTTAGTTTTATCTCTCTGTGTAGACAATACTCGACGGGCTTTTTATTCTTTATACATCACGATTTCAATTTTTCTATATATATTTTAAGTTCAACCTAGGCTGCCAGGAATGGATGCGTACATTTGCTGGTACTCTAAGCAATATCGGAACATTGCTGGTTTTGCCAATCACGGGATACTTCTCGGATCGCTTTGGACGCCGACTGGCTCTCATCGTGAATACATTCAATTTTGGGCTCTTCGGCTCTATTAGAGCGTTCTCCACAAACTATACGATGTATATGGTACTACATTTCCTGCAAACATTTTTAGGTGCCGGTATAAGTAGCTCTGCTTACATTTTCGGCAAGTGTTACCTCCAATATAACAATTATCGATCCAGTGAGTAGTGAATGATGAAGATAATACAAGTAATAATATAATTTCAGCTACGGAACTGGTTGGACCCAAGTATCGAGTATTGGCTGGCGCTCTATGTCCCTCGATGTTCGCTGTTGGTTCAATGATTTTGGGATGCGTGGCGTGGGCAATAGAATCCTGGCGACACATGATACTGGCTTTACACATGCCTTGTTTTCTTATTGTCTTTTACTACTGGTTCCTCGGTGAGAGCGTGCGGTGGCTAATATCTAAGCAAAAATACAGAAAAGCGAGATCAGCGTTGGAAAAAGTAGCGAAAACAAATAAGACTACAATCAGCCAGGAGTCAATGACAGCATTGCTGCGTCCAAAAGTTGAGACGACAGTTCATCCCACAGTTAGTATTTTTGCTAAAGTTGGTATTATTAATATTGTAGTTAATAAATCACAATTGATGGTATAAAATTCCAAACAAAGCAGAAAGTGATGACATTATGAATTAACGATATTTGTCAACTCAAAGATAAATTGTACAAAGATGGTGTAAAATAAGGGGAAATTATTATTTTAATTAATTAAATCTATTATTTTATCCACAGGAAAGCCGCAATTTGATCACAGCAATTCTTCGATCACGTATTCTTTTGCGCCGAGTTTGCACTACTCCTTTCTGGTGGATCTCTACTACGCTCGTATACTACGGTCTCTCTATCAACTCAACTAGCCTTTCTAGTGCTATGTATCTGAATTACATCCTCACCTACGGCATAGATATCCCGGGAAATTTAGCCACTGTCCTCATCTTAGCCCGGATTGGCAGAAAGCCTACTTTATCTGGAGGTTTCTTGATAAGTGCAACTTGCAACTTTCTGTTTGTTATTATACCTAAAAGTAAGTGAATTTACTTACTACTCGTGTTAAAACACTCCATTAATTTTTTAAGTGAACGTAAAACCGATACAATAGTCTTAATTTCTTTACGGTACTTTCTAAGTGGACATTTATGAATTTGTTGAAAGAACTTTTACTAAAGTCGTTAATACTACTAAATTGTTTCAATATTTAAAGTTCTATTATACATATATATTTAATAAATATTTTGTTTTAGACTTCAGTGTGGTCAGATTGTTATTATACCTGTTGGGAAAGTTCAGCATCTCAATAGTGGTGACGTCACTGTACGTATACACATCCGAGCTCTACCCGACAGAGTACCGTCACAGCCTACTAGCTTTCTCCTCAACGATTGGTAGAATTGGTTCCATAACTGCACCTCTGACTCCGGCCTTGGTGAGTCAAGTCAAGAGACAAGTCTTTTAACTACCCTTCAATACATTTATATTCTGATCTCCCTGGTATGTTATCAGTAAACACCTCTTTGCTTACCAAGTAACCAAATCCATTATTTCTTAATTAAAAGATTGACATCCAGTTAAAGATAGCGATTAGATTAACGAATAAAATAAATCTCGTTTTAATTATTAATCCTTGTTAAAAGATATTAAATAAATATAACCGCAGTAACTACTTGTAGAAGTAGTGTAGTTGAATCTGAATCAAATTGTGTTGTTAAAAGTAATTCGCTACTGGACCAGTTGATATTGTATCTCACATGTATAAACCGTATTGCACAGATGGTGTATTGGGAGAGTTTGCCATTCGTGCTGTTCGGTGGCATGGGCCTGTTAGCTGGCCTCCTCGTCCTTACCCAGCCAGAGACCCGCGGAATGAAACTGCCTGATACGCTGGCTGAAGCGGAAGTGATTACAAAAACTGGTGCATAATAAAAAAATGCAATTATTTAAAAAATTATAGGATATTTTTTATGTGACAAGGTGGCAAGCGAGCTAGCTGTTCACCTGATGTTGCCACCCATGGACATTTGCAACCCCGTAGGATTTCATATACGTCGCCACCTTTTAATAAAGTGGGCTAACGACACCTGACTCACCAGACGAAACGCACCAGTTCGACTTCAAGCCGGTCTTCTGTGAGGTCGTGGTACTTACCTGGATCTGCACATTCGTGCAACAGCGAAAACTATTGCGTGGATCTACTACATTTATTATATTTAAAGTATTTTAATGTAACGTCTTAATTTTAGAATGTATTTATGTCATTATCTTTGTTTCACGTAATATCTGTGATTAATATTGTTCGACAATTACAAAGTGTAAAAGTCTGAAGGATATGTTGAAAATGTATTAAATTTCATTGCTTTATACCATAATTTTCTCTTAAGAACTCGCACTGCGTTAAAAGAGAAATTTTATCAAAGCTTCTGTGAGTAAAACAACACAAATGATTTATTGTAATCTTTTAGAAACAGATTTTAACTTAATACAGAATTAACCGTCTGAGAAGGTATGTATTATGAATAAGCACATTAAAGTCTTCTGTAAAACAGGAAACAACATCTCTAAGGTGACAACGTCAATCATAAATGTTTATAAATTTCCTCAGTAGTGTTATTATTAACCGACTTCAAAAAAGGAGATGGTTCTACGTTCGACTGTATGTATTTTTTTAAGATTTATAAAAATACATACTTCTCAAGCGGACACTGGGATTCACTATTATACAAAAAATGATCTGATACATAAACTCGCTCGTTCGAGCTTAGGTGAGATATATCGAGTGGGCACAACGTCAAGAATCTGAGTCAAATTCTGGAAACTAGCCGTCGCCACGAGTAGCCGATGATCCGTTCATGCAGACACGTAAGAACATTGTAGATTATAATGTGTGTGTTCTAGTGGAAGCGTAAGATGATACAACCCTTTTCTGATGGCGTAGCGGTGTCAAAAAACTATTTTTATTTTTTTAAAGCATTGCCCTCGCTTTAGGATAACATTATCCTGTGGTCGTTTAACAAACCTAAATTGCACGAGGACAAAAATCCAGATGCGAAACAACTATCTGTGGGTCGCACAAATAGTTGTCCCGTGTGGGAATCATCATCGAATTTTAAATTATCACGATAATGATTCAGCACACCATGTTAAATCACTTTTTTTATTTAAACTAAATAAATTAGCGGAACGCAGAATACTGCAAGACTCCTACGAGTACAATGGGCAACCATTACCGAGCATGTCAATATCCTATCCTTCGGTAACCACAGGCTTATATTAAACCATTGCGGAATATCTCGTGTGGAGTTAATACTGTTGATTAAGTAAAATAACACTTATACCTGTACCATTAAATTGTAAACTGATCTTTTTAAAAAAGAGCAACTGTTCGGTTTCTTCTCAACAGAAACTGCTTTCCGAACCGGTGGTAACTTATTTTACATTTTTGGAGACACTTTACTTTTATTTAAGTTTTATAACGCTTTATCGCGCGAGTATTTCATTTCTGTTGTAAAGCACGAATATTTTCTTGATAAGTCGTCTTATCATTAAATTCGTAAATGCTACTAGGAAGTCGGCTTATGGCCATATAATAATTTAAACGGAGCGAATTCCGTAGTGCAATATGATGTTGTATTATATGATAAAATTGCAGTTGCGAGACAACAAGGTCAGTCATCATGATTATCTTTAACACAAGATTTTTAATATTCTTTAAAAGTGTATGCTTATGTTCCAGATCATGATTCGTTTAAGAACGATATGATGGAAATAAAAATATTTTTATTTTATTTTAAAAATGTTAGTTAAGTAGTCAGTATTTCAATAAGTTAATCGAATGCCTCAAGATGATACTTACCCTGGTAAATGTCGTCATGTCATCAGTAAATGTCATCTTATAGCATTTAAATAATTAGTAAAAATTTTCGTAATCACTTAGAGATAGAAATAATATTATTTAACTATTACATATATTAAGCAATATAATTATGTGGCTTGTTTCTTCATAACGTTAGACCTAGTATACTAAAAAAAATAATCATATAAATTTAATATTAATATCATGATAAACCTAATATTTAAGATTGAAAATTTCAACTTATCTATCTCAGCTTCTTTTCTTTTCACTTAGTAAAACAGTCGGAAAAATCCAAAATGCGTGAGCTTTTTATCGTAATCACTTAATAAAATGGATAGTATACAGATTTATAACTTGTTTATTCATAACAATGAATTTTAGGTTATAAGAGAGTTTGTCTTAAGAGCCAAACCCATTGAACGGTTTATTCACATAATAAAGTATCTATAAATTGTTTTTTTTTTTTTATAAAAATCATTTCAACAAAAAAGAACCGACTGCAAAAAAAAAAATAAAAAGTCAAAATATTTTGACAACTGATTAGTTAATTTCTACGATTTTCAGTGTTTCAGAAACCGAACAGCGTACAAGTTTATAGTACTGAAATCCATATTAGATAGAGAAATAGCATGATTTATATATTTTGCTTCGAAGTGTCAGTACAGCTGCAAATCCTAAGCGTTTCAGAAATTATATAAAGCGAACTACAAACATTACAACGCTTCTTCATAAGTTAAGTTGAATACTGTGTCTTTCTTTAATAACGCAGTTAATGCTTTAGTTATGTGGGTGAATTTTTCGCATAATCTCGAAAAATGTTTTATATCCTAGGGAGTTTTAGGTGTAGGAAAGACGAAAATAGTTTTGGTGCAATCAAGATTTGGTAAAAAATCTTTATCTCTTTTATAACACGTCCAAGATAAGCCAACTTCACGTCGCAAAATTTCTAATTTATGGGTCTGGTTCTTTTCTGGCTCAAAGGTTAAGCATAACTATTCAGCGAGGAAATGCAGCTAGCGTTCTTGGCACCATGCCGCGTGGATTAGGTTTATTAGATAATATGTAATTTTAGATAGATTTAATCTTGTAAATATTTGATCAATAAGATTGTAATTAACTGCAAAAAAAAATTATGGGTCTGCGTCTCATGCATTTTATACGGGATCTCATTCATTACCTCTAATGAGAATTATACAATACGAACATCTTGGTAAATATAGGAATGCAAACCTTATAGGAACGTCATTTAATAGGAGGAAGAGGATATTTCGGAAACTGTGACATCATATAATAACATAATCTTATGCGATACACCATTTTTGCTTACATTTGACTTCTTCTACTATCTATATACGCAACAAGAGGTGAAGGTGAACACATATTAACAGTTGGAATATATAAGAAAGTAAAAAAAAATAAGTAACGGCCCGTACGTCTCACTTGGGCAAAGGCCTCCTCTGTACAAAGGATATTAGAGCACAGTCCAATACACAACCTCACTGCGGATTGGCAGACTTCAAATATCTTCGGAATATGTTTTTTACATTATGTTCTGAAAATATACAGCTTTCCTCACGATGTCCTTCTTTATAATTAAATTTGCTCTGGCATGAACTCAGGTTGCTAGATTATATTGAATAAAAGCGAGCGCTCGGACGGTTAGTATCACGGCTCTGCCTATAATATCTTAAATAAAATAAAAAAAAATCATATATTTCACCGAACTTTTACATTATTCTAAAAAATTAATAATGCATAGGTAATTATGTAAAATATTGAACTTGAAATTTTAATTTTTTATGATTTTTTAAAAGTTCGCCTTAGGCTGTCATGAGTGCGTGCTGGCACTCTAAATAGCATATATCGGCACACTGCCTGTGTTACCAATATCAGGGTGCCTCTCCTTTGATCGCTTAGGACGTCACGTGGCACTGGTCGTCAACTTCGACCCTCATCGGAACAGCTCAAGCTATTTCCTCCAACGATCCTGTGAATTTAATGCTTCAGATCCTTCAATGTGCTGCAGGTGCTGTCTTATGCAGTTTCGCGTACATTTTTAGTGTGAAATGAACACATTTACAAAGGGTTTGGTTTGATGGTTCCCTTCGCTAGCACCCGCTTCATCTGTCAATCTATTTCTCTTCCTCTCTAAGCTTAGCCCGTTTGAGTGACTTAATGTCCTGCACCTTGCACCTTAGTCCAAACACGTTGACTGTTGTTTATAAGTTAATAATGCTCACTAATCACAAAATTTTAAAACCTTTATAACCTATAAACGATAATATAATTCAGATCATAAATTACGGATAGCGCGTAAGCGCACTGCGAGGTGATGCCACGAGCCACTATTGAATCTATCTCTCAATATTAAAATGTCATTCCCGAACTCCAGAGGGCAAGAATTTTTTTTGTCATATATTCGCTACAGTTCGCTTGTCACGGAGTGATGTCAGAAATTGTTAATTATATTTTGAATAGTAAAATTACATTATGATTCTTTTCTTTCTTTGTAATGCTTGCCAAGTCAACCCCATGCTCGATGCTAATCTGGAAATCTAATCGCCACAATAGCCTAAATAATAATAAAGGTTAGTTGCTTTTCTTGCATCCCTGAGGGACCTATCTTCATATTAGAATTATTTTAATCAGCGCAGTAGCGTGTTTTAAATAAAGGTAAGCGCTTAAATTACTTTGTAGGAAGTAAAAACTGATATCCCAATGTTAGGTAGTTTTAATGGCACATAAGACACAATTTAATAACGAATTGGTAATCGCTTAATTCATTACTTATTATAAATTTAATTTATATTTAATTTAGCTTTTTACTTTTTTCCACTATTCTCACTTGATCAAATTTAGATTTTTATTCCACGCGTTTCCATTAATTATTTCTTCATATGAATTATATTTTATTTTATTAGATATTTGGTTCATTTCACTTTAGCAAGTCAATCACATTCTTTTAAATATAATTGAGCCTACAGCATGTCTAGCTTATTCAATTCAATAAATTGTGAACTCCGTTCTGTGTGAACCTACCCAAGTCACCACAAACTACGAAGTTAGTACTTTCCTATCTCAAAATGTATTATTATTGAATTTATGTATAAAATACGAAGAAACTTTTCGCCGGCCTAATCCCGTACCGACCTATGTACAGCGTGTATGAGTCAAATTAAAAACAATAATAGTACTTGTAATTTTTTTTAAATTACAATACAATATTAGATTAAATAATTATTAATTTAAATTGTTATTAGTATTATATTTAAGTATAAGTGAAAATTATGTACAAAAACATACCTATAAAAGTGTAACTGTTAGCATGTGTTAGTAACACATGCTTACGATATAGTCACACTACGGCCGTAAACGATATATGCAGTATTTTATATACAGTAAGTTATATTACCTATATGCCAATGCATTTCAAAGATAAAATATTCATAAAATGTCACGAGATAATTTTCGATAAAGCGATAGTACGGCACTTAAATGAAACCGATACTCATAACAACAGTTATTTAGTTTATAAACCTTAAAGTTAAACATAAAATACTAGATCATCCAAGTTTAAAATAAATAATTAGAGACGATCTCCTACATCCGAAATGAAAGAAAATGAATCAACGCACAATAAAGAACGTAGTGATAACAAAGAGAAGAAAATAGATATTGACGATGTTCTTATAAACGAGATCGGTCAATTCGGTAGGTACCAGATCCGACAACTTCTGCTATTATCGTTACCTTTGCTAGTGGGCGCATTCTCAAGTGAATATATATTCTCTGCGGCTGCAATTCCACACAGGTAAGCGGAAAATTATTTAACTGAGTTTTTTTTAATGTAAAGTGAGTGAAATGTAATGAATAAATTAGCCGACGCCAAAACTATTAAAGACTCACTCAAAGTATAAATTCGAATTCTAATCAGTACCTCTTAATTTGCTTTTCGCAGTTGTATATCAGAAAAATTAAAAGTATAATTTATTAGTCACCAAAGATCATACAGTTTATTGATCTAATATTTACAAGATTAAATCTATATAAAATTACATATTTTCTAATAAAGCTAATCCACGCGGCATGGTGCCAAGGACGCTAGCTGCATTTCCTCGCTGAATAGTTATGCTTAACCTTTGAGCGAGAAAAGAACCAGCTTTCTTGTCACCAGCCGCGGCGTTGAAACCCAGGACATAAACTTTTAAAAAATTTGATGTGCGGGAACCCCACGGACCTTAAGTTTCAACAGCAAATTGCACAAATACTTAATTTAAACATAAAGACTCATATTTGCGCCATTTACTTACTTGAGCTGCCTTCGATGCCGCCCCTGCCCTGACCGAAGTACCCCTTAGATGCGAGGCAGCCAAATGTCAAAGGATGCCAAAAATACAGCTGCATATGCTCGCTAAATGGCTGCGTAATCTAGGAATTTCATATTTATTTCAACAGATGTCAAATTCCTGAATGCGGTGAGGAGGGTAAAGACTTAGAATTTCAACCCGAGTGGATTCTAAACGCTATTCCTGAATCAAGCTCTGGTTTCTCTAGTTGCGAGCGTTATGAACCTCTAGGTGGCAATGGTTCATTGGATTTTTGTCCCGCTGACATTTTTAATCGGAATAACTTAATCGCTTGCGATGACTATGTATATAGCAGAAATAATTCTGTTGTTTATGATGTGAGTTGTTCATCCTTTTATTTCTATCACTCTTATGTAAATGTAATGGAATTATTCTATTAAATTTTCATCATCTTTATGATATATACAATATTAAGGAGTAACAATTTAACGGTGGTAGGGCCACGCAGCGGCCTCGGATGTTGCACGAATGGGCAGGCCCGTCCGGGTAAGTACCACGACCTCACAGAAGACCAGCGTAAATTGGAAGTATAACAAATACTTTCGCGTTTCGCCTGGTGAGTTAGGTAGTTGGAGCCTAATTTTCAAAAGGTTGTCAAAGCCTCTGTAACCCTCGGGTGTGGCAGATGTCACTTAACATCAGGTGAACCGTCTGCTCGTTTGACAACTTTTCGCATAAAGTAAAAATAAATAAATAATTTATTTTAATAACAATTTAGGACGACCCCCTACTAGATGGAGTGACGACCTGTGCAAATGTGCGGGAAGTCGATGGATGCAGGTGGCTCAGGATCGTACTTTATGGCAGTCTATGGGGGAGGCCTATGTCCAGCAGTGGACTCAAACAGGCTGAAATGATGATGATGATGAATAACAATTTTATCTACAATAATACCCGTGATCTAACAACGCCGCCATTGCGGCTCCTTCGTTCCGATGATTTAATAATTTCGTCCCTATGACCCGGTAACTCTATCAGGATCTTGAGCTCGTGTATAATGTTTGTAAAATATGTTTATATAAACGATCGATAATTGAGACATACTTGTGAATACTATGGAACTGTTTTTGATTGTCTGAAAACAACAAAAAAATTTAATGTTACTGAATAATAAATTATATCGATTTCTATTTCTTAAACTAACAAATTATTTAATGTCTATATTTGGTACTTTTTTCGAAGCATACCAACAGGATATTTTTTGTTTTGTTTTTAAGATCATAAAATCAGTGTTGTCACTCTATGCAGACAAAACTCAACTGATTTTATTCTTTGTATATAAAAATTCCTCTATTTATTTTAAGTTCAACCTAGGCTGCCAGGAATGGATGCGTACATTTGCTGGTACTCTAAGCACTATCGGAACATTGCTGGTTTTGCCAATCACGGGATACATATCTGATCGCTTCGGACGCCGAGTGGCACTCATCGTGAATACATTCAATTTTGGGCTCTTCGGCTCCATTAGAGCGTTCTCCGGCAACTATACGATGTATTTGGTGTTCCATTTCCTCCAAACATTTTTAGGTGCCGGTATATACAGCTCTGCTTACATTTTTGGCAAGTGTTACCTCCCATATAACATTTATCTATCCAGTGAGTAGTTAACGGTAAGATAATACAAGTAATAATATAATTTCAGCTACGGAACTGGTTGGACCCAAGTATCGAGTATTGGCTGGCGCTATATGTCCCTCGATGTTCGCTGTGGGTTCAATGATCTTGGGAGGCGTGGCGTGGGGAATAGAATCCTGGCGTCATATGATACTGACCTTACACGTGCCTTGCTTTATCATTATCTCTTACTATTGGTTTCTCGGTGAAAGCGTGCGGTGGCTCTTATCTAAGCAAAAGTATAGCCAAGCGAGATCTGCTCTGGAAAAAGTAGCCAAAACCAATAAGACTAAAATTAGCCAAGCGTCAATGGAAGCACTGATGCGTCCAAAAGCTGAGACGACAGTTCATCCCAAAGTTAGTATTTATTGCTAAAGATAGTATTATTAATTTTGTAGTTAATAAATCACAGTCAACGGTATACAATCTTTAACAAATCAGAAAGTGACGATGTCATGCATCAGTGAATGATATTGAATGAACGATACTTGTGAATTCAAAGATAATTTGTAGAAAACTGTGTAAAATAATAGGAAATTACTTAATTTTTATTTTATCCAAAGGGAGGGCGCTATTTGATCAGACAAGTTGTTCGATCTCGCATTCTTCTGCGCCGAGTTTGCACTACTCCTTTCTGGTGGATCGCTACTACGCTCGTGTACTACGGTCTTTCCATTAACTCAACAAGCCTTTCTAGTGCTATGTATCTTAATTACATCCTCACCTGCGCAATAGAGATCCCGGGAAATTTTGCCACTGTCCTCATCTTAGCCCACATAGGCAGAAAGCCCACTTTATGTGGAGGTTTCTTCCTAAGTGCAGCTTGTAACTTTCTGTTTGTTATCATACCTAAAGGTAAGTGAATTTACTATGTATATCAAAAAATTGCATTAGTTCTTTTGGGTAAACGTAAAACAAACAACAGTCCAAATTGTACCAAATTTCTTCATAGTTCTTTATATGTTAAAGTTTTTTAAATTCGTTGAAAGAAAATATTATTAAAATGCTTAATACTACCAATTTTTCTCAGTATTTATAGTGCAATTTTTGTTTTAGACTTTAATGTGATTTATTTAAAGAAACATGTACTAAAGTCGTTACACACCAAACTCACACCTACCAAATAGTTTCAATGTTTAAATTACTAATTTTGTTGTAGACTTTAACGTAGTTCGATTGCTAATATACCTGCTGGGAAAATTCGGTATCTCAATAGTAGTGACGTCACTGTACGTATACACATCCGAGCTCTACCCGACAGAATACCGTCACAGCCTACTAGCTTTCTCTTCAACGATTGGTAGAATTGGTTCGATAAGTGCACCTCTGACTCCGGCTTTGGTGAGTACAAGTCTTTTAACTACCCTTCAATCCAATTGTCTTAAGATCTGCCTGCCCTACCCCCCTTCAAAACGACTGTAAGCCAAGCCTAGTTTATTTTTTTTTTAATTAAAAAAAGGCCATTCAGTATAAGACAGTGATGAGATTAGTGTTAACTTATAGCTTAATAAAATCTCGACTTCACTAGTAATCCTAGGTAAAAAAACTATAAAAGAAAACTTAGTAGCTACTTGTATAAGTAGTGTATTATTATTATTATTATAATATACTTTATTGTACACCACAAAGAATTTGATACAATTAGTATGAAATAAGTCTTAAAAGCTAGGTACAATAAGGCGGTCTTATCGCTAAAAAGCGATCTCTTCCAGACAACCTTAGGACGAGAAAAAATAAACTAATGAATAGTGGGAGATGGTGTGCTCAATAAACTTACTTAATACCAAAATAGACTTAAATATAATAAGAAAAATTATAATAAACATACATTAACATAAATAAATATATAATATATATAAATAAATACACGAGAGAAGAATTAAATCTGAATATTGCCATATGGATTACAAAGCGATAGATAATGTTGTAGTGTAGTTAGTAATCTGAAAAAAAAATGTTATGTAAGAATCAATTTTCTATTGGACCAGTTGATTATGCATATCACATTTTATAGATCCTTTAGTGAAGAGGTCTTGTCCAACTAATCAATCCTATTGCATAGGCGGTGTACTGGGAGTATACGCCATTCGTGCTGTTCGGTGGAATGGGTCTATTGGCTGGCCTCCTCGTCCTCACCCAGCCAGAGACCTTCGGGAAGAAACTACCCGACACCCTTTCAGAAGCGGAAGAACTCGGAAAAACTGGTGCCAAATAAAATGGAAAAGCGAAATTATTGAAACAGTCTTACCAAGTAATTAATTAAGAGCTAATTGTATAATCAATATTTAAAGTATTTTAATGTGGTGTCTTATTATTCGAATATTTTATCTGACGTTTAGCTTACTATAGAAGTTTAAAATCTATTTAAAACGGCACCTTGCGCCACGAACTAAATTTACTAGATAATATGTAATTCAGATAGATTCAATGTTGTAAATGAACATATCTGTAATAATTTAATTGAATGTTAAAAATACTATTTTAACACATATTGCACAATAGTTACAAATGTAGTATAAAGTCTGAGTGAGATGTTAAAAACTAATTAAATGAAATATTTTTATACCACACTTTCCTTTTAAGAAAAAATCACATTCATATTAATGGTTTGTTTTCACATTGACCAGATATAAATGTATGTACAGCAGTTATTCTAGGATTTAACGAGATGCGATTTGCAATTGCTAAGCGAGTCACTTTCACACTCTACAATGCTGTAATAAAGTTGAAAATAGAAATGCCCCATTCACGGAAGACAATAATTTTGTTTAATATGTCATTATTTTGATATCATTGTCCACTTATCGATTGTGTTCCAAGCCGGGGTTCTAACCTCTATCTGGGGGGCCTCGTGTCGTATTTTTTGCGTTATTAAAATATCGCGGCTGTAGATATTATTGTCGGAAGGGGTGGTGCTAAAGACGTAAAAAAATTTCAATCTCAATAAGACTTATTTCTCAAAAATAAAAGTCAGCTCCAGTTTCTATAGAAACTTGACCAATGTTCTTTCCATGTAACGAACGGTAGAGGCAAAAGCAATAAAAGTCTTTATCGTGTGGATCCTGACAAGTTGGGACAAGCAACGATAGGTGACGATGATACATAATTATAACAATGTCAACTGAATATATACTCGTATGTAAATGAAATAATAATAATGTCAAGGTGCATGAGAAATTAAACATTTAACACCCACCAAAACTATACGTTCTGCACAAGCCAGTTTGCTTAATCATAGACATTTATTAAATGGTGTCGACACCATGCTTTCGAAAGCACCGCTAGAGTTTGGAAGTCACATATTAATATTAAATATTAAATTTAAAAAAATCCCACTGCAAAAAAATTTTATTGTATCATTCCACAGCCTCTGCTGATAAGTTATTAAAAGACATCGACATTATCAGCGCTGAGGTTAAATTCTACGCTTACCATTTAGATAGGTCGTATCTGATATTCAGTCACCACTCACAGTAAGAACACCGACTGCGTCGTTTTAATTATAATATGAGTGAAGTAATTAGAGATTCTTGACATTGGAGCGAGAGTTTTTCGGGAGTGAAGTTGTTTGATGTGCTTTATAAAATAATTAAAAAAATGACCGAAAATGAGGACAACGCTGAAGACCTAAAAAGAAACGGAAACAATAACTCTTCGGCTAACTCAATGCGGAAACCGATAGATTTGGATGATGTGCTTATAAACGAACTGGGCCAATTCGGTTGGTTCCAGTTCAAAAATATCATCCTTGTATCGATACCAATAATTATGTCTGCCTTCATGAATGAATACATATTCTCAGCCGCCGCAATTCCTCATAGGTACGTCTAAATATTTATTTTGATAATCTACTCCATAACTTTCACCAATCGAAAGTGAATCTTGTGTTTGTTTCTTAATCGTTATAGTAATTCTTTTAAAAACATCGCTTCTTTTAATTCGAACGGAATAGAAAGAGTTTCTGCTTAAACTTGTGTGAAACTTGGTAAACCGATTGACGTAAACCGGGTAAAACAAAGGATGAATGATTACTTTTACTAATTTTCTTCTTGTACATTTGTAAATACAAAAAACAACAAATACAAAAAATTACGAATTAATTGGAAATAAACCTCTCTCTAAACAGTTTTAATAAAATTGTTATTTGCAGTAGCATATGAAATATGTGCCCTCTATTTTCAATCGGTGAAAATTTAGCGTGGAATACATACGAGAAACGAATTAACTGCATATATGATGACATTTTATCTGCTACTCGTAATATTATGATGAATTAATAATAAAAACTGTTTCGTGTACTATTCCACAGTAATCTAGCATTTTTCTGAAGTAAATAAAGTTTGTTACCTATTCTACTCAGTTCTATATTCCTGTCCGGTTTATAAACTATCGTTATACAAAAAAAGATGTCGACCCAGCACTAATGCTGCGCGGGGGAAAAATACAACGAATACACGCTACGATTATGTGTTTGTTACTTACAAAGGTAAAAGATGTTTTTGCTCCTGTCCATAGTCTATTAAACTTCGTCGAACGCAAGGGTTATTAGAACAGGCAGACTCCACAAGCTTCTTACGACACTGCATCGGTTAGTGCCGCACATGAACCCGCAGAGATTAAACTCATGTAAAATAAAAAGCAATCATGGAATCGTATTCTTCACATGGTGTCATTTCAACAATACTGCTACAGTATCTATTCGGATAGTGGTAACAGGAATTTAATCTCTACAGGTGTCAAATTCCGGAATGCGGCGAGGTGGGCAAAGACTTTGAACTTCAGCCCGAGTGGATTTTAAATGCTGTTCCAGAAACAAACTCTGGTGGTCTCTCCAGCTGCGAGCGTTATGAACCTTTAGGTACCAACGGCTCATTGAATTTCTGTCCAGCTGATTTATTTAATCGGCATAACGTGATCGCTTGCGACCGCTTTGTCTATGCCAAAAATAATTCCGTTGTTTATGATGTGAGTGGTTATCTATGAAATTGTTTTTTTCTAACATTCTTTTATTATGTTGTATGTACGTGTATCTATTTTGTAGAAAAGTAATTTTAATTGCGGTGTGGCCACGCAGCATCTTCTGTTTTGCACGAATGGGCATGTTCGTCCGGGATAATTTCATGAATACAGCCTGGTATCTCTATCAAGTTCGTATTTCGTTGAACAAATACCTACTTTAATTTACATTTGTTGTTTACTATGTAACCGTTGTGAAAATTATAAAGTTACTGAGTAATAAATAATATTTTATATTTGAAAAATATTTTTTCTAAATGATAATATTCTAAAGTATAATTTTTGTGTTTTCTTATAGTATTTTTTTATTTATTGGCAATTTTAATTGTATAAATTACATAATCGAACCTAGCCTTAAAACAAATAGACAATATTTGTTTATTGTATATCTACAACTATTACGCATGTTTAGCTTTATATACAGACTAAATTTTATGAATTTTGACATAAAACGATTACTTTTTTAATTTACACTTTTTCTTTCAAGTTCGATCTAGGTTGCCAGGAATGGATGCGCGCATTTGCTGGCACACTAAGCAGTATCGGAACAGTGCTGGTGTTGCCAATCACAGGATACTTCTCTGATCGGTTTGGACGCCGAGTGGCTCTCGTCGTAAATTCATTCAACTTTGGACTTTTCGCCACCATAAGAGCTTTCTCAACCAACTACACGATGTATCTGGTGCTCTATTTCTTGCAGACATGTTTAGGTGCCGGTGTATATACCTCCGCTTACATTTTCGGCAAGTGTTACTATCTAAATTATAAATTTAGTAAAAACTATCCGTACCATAAATTACGTGCAATTATATAAACGAAATGGTTTTACCACTTATATGTACTGATAACGTTTTAACAGATCGAGAAATTGCAACAGTTTTAAAGATTAACTGTTATATGTCCAATACTCGTTCATAACCTTTGTTCGCTATGATCTCATGGCGTAATGCAGAGTTTCGTTGTTTCCGTGGAATCTGATTCAAATTGTATTCCGTATACCAATATTAAGTTTATTACTTTGTGGAGGGCTCGCTGCTAGTTTAGCGTTAAAAGTGGTTAAAATAATCGGGTATCAATGTTCGAATATTTTTACAATATGTAAAATAACAGCCTATAGACGTATGCATGTCCTACTGCTGGCCCATCCACCAATAACCCACGGATTGTTAGATTCCAAATATCTTCCAATATTTTTTGTTATAATTTCAAAAAACGTGTAGGTTTCCAACTCAAGATTTAAAAAGATAAAATGAGAAACCTCAGCCACACGACCCAGAACAGTCTTCTTGAAAAATTGAGATTACTAGATCATTCCTGTACCTCGATAAGGTTGACTTAACACGACATAGGCAAGGAATTTTGAGTATCATAGCGAATTAAGGCCCAGAGTAAAAATTGTTTGGTCTTAATATCAAACCTCAATGTTGATATAGGGCATTAAAAATACGAATAAAATACACAGTGATTATTTTGCAGCGAGTGGTTTATGACAAAAACAATACAAGTAATTGTATAATTTCAGCTACGGAATTGGTCGGACCCAAGTATCGAGTATTGACTGGCGCGATATGTCCTTCGATGGTCGCTGTGGGTTTAATGATCTTGGGAAGTGTGGCATGGGCAACAGAATCCTGGCGAACTATGACACTGGCCTTAAATGTGCCTTGCTTTCTCATTATCTCTTACTACTGGTTCCTCGGTGAGAGCGTACGGTGGCTTTTATCTAAGCAAAAGTACAGCCAAGCAAGGAACGCTTTGGAAAATGTAGCCAAAACAAATAAAACTAAAATAAGCCAGGAGTCAATGGAAGCATTGCTGCGTCCAAAAGCTGAGACGACAGTTCACCCCAAAGTTAGTATTTATTCTCAGGATTAGTATAAATAATATTGTAGTAAATTAATCACAGCCGACGATATAAAATCCTAATCAGCGCAGAGAGTGACATTATTGTACATCGGGAAATGACCTTGATGAACGATTTACGAGTTCCAAGATAAGTTGTAAAAAAACCATGTGAACAGAAATTACTTAATTATTATTTCTTCAAAGGGAGGCCGCAATTTGATCTCCGCAGTTCTTCGATCTCCTATTCTTCTGCGGCGAGTTTGCACTACTCCTTTCTGGTGGATTGCTACCACGCTCGTGTACTACGGTCTCTCCATCAATTCAACTAGCCTGTCTAGCACTATGTATCTGAATTTCATCCTCACCTGCGGCATAGAGATTCCGGGGAACTTCGCCACTGTCCTCATCTTAGACCGGATAGGCAGAAAGCCTACTTTATCTGGAGGGTACTTCCTGAGTGCGGCTTGTAACTTTCTTTTTGTCATTTTACCTAAAAGTAAGTGAAATTACTACGAATGTATAAATATTATATTCCTTTTGAGAATCGTAAAGTAGACACAACAGTTGCATTTGTAAAAAGTCTAACTCTACTATCTAACTTCCTATATGCAGAGTTATGAATTTGTTGAAAGAAACTTGTGCCAATCGTTACACTACCAAATAGTTTCAAAATTAATTTAAAAATACTACTTTTGTCGTAGACTTCACCGTGGTCCGATTATTAATATATCTGCTGGGAAAGTTCGGCATCTCAATAGTGGTGACGTCATTGTACATATACACATCCGAGCTCTATCCAACTGAGTACCGTCACAGCCTAATGGGTTTCTCCTCGATGATTGGAAGGATTGGTTCGATCAGCGCCCCTCTAACTCCTGCCTTAGTGAGTAAAAGATGCTTTTTATTTCTAGATCGACCCTCAATGCGTTTTAAATTCTAATGCCCCACGTGTTCTTCATTATTATCACCGATCCACTCCTACATGTAAACATCCTTAATTTTATTTCTCTATTTTTCAAGTCAATCTATCAATACCAGCCTACTGCCGTCCACTGTTGAACTTTAGCCGACCCCAAAGTGCGCCAACAATCCCGGTCCTGAGCAGCCCGCATCCATCCGCTGCCCGCCGTCGACACATTTTTGAAACGTCAATACCGCAATGCCTCAAGTCCAAAGTGTTTAACCAGTGCGTCGTACCAGTACGGACCGAAACATGTACACTCACCGTCGGGCTGGTCCACAAATTCAAGGCTTTCTCTGGCAGACAAGATTCGAAATGAAGTAATTCGCCAGAGAACTAAAGTTACCGACTTTGCGCGCAGAATTAGCACGCTGAAGTGAAAGTTGGCTAGCCATGTTTCAGTGAAACACATGTTAGAGTGGACACCACGGCTAGGAAAATTATATTTTTGGCTATTTTTCAAGTATTGATTGTAAAATGTCATATGTGAAAGTGTATTTGTTGTAAAAGAAGCACACTAGATGGCGCCGGACTTTAATTGAAATGCAATCAAAGCAAAGTAGATAGACGGCACGAATTTTCGAAGGCGCAAGTTCGAATCTTGGCTGTGCAAAAATTTTCTACACAATCTAAATATAATTTTTTGTATATATTTACAGATTTGTAAATGATGAGATTTTTATAACTAACCCTATTGCATAGGCGGTGTATTGGGAGAGTACGCCATTCGTGATGTTTGGTGGCATGGGCCTGCTAGCTGGCCTTCTCGTCCTCACCCAGCCGGAGACCCGCGGAACCAAACTGCCCGATACCCTGGCTGAAGCGGAAGCACTCGGAACTGTTTCCAAATAAAAAGAATATATGAATGTATAACTTGTTTAATGATTAATTGTTTTAATCCAGTAAAAAAGAAGAAAGTTTCCATTTCACACCTAATTTTTCATATAAATTTGTCTTAGTTATCTAGCCTCTCGTAAAGTCTGTAAATAATTTCGTGAAAATATGGAAGTGTAATCTATTAATATGCATAATGCACAAAAATTACAAATAAAGCCTGAGTGAGGTGTTAAAGCGATTAAATGATAAGTTATTGATAAGATTATTTGGTGTTAAGAAGAACTCCTTTGATATTATTTTTTACTTTCTTTTTATAAGGAATTACCCAATCCTTAACTGTTATCCCACCAGATGATAAGTAGCGATATAGCCGTAGATAGTAAACTCAGTATAAGCCTATTTACTCTTGCCTTAAAGACACAACTAACGTAAGGTCTTCAAGGAGATGCAAGTCTAAAGGGTTACCAATTTGTGTCTCCATCAAGAAAAGTAAGTGTAGCTTTTCAGCCTCCAGATACTGAACTGACGGTGGGATTGAAAGGAGGTTTCAATGCAAACTTAGAACTTTAAAGAGGTACACTTTTAGTGTGAGGACGTGCAGCTGCTGTAAGGACACTCCTCTTACTTAACCCCATGTCTTAAAAAGGGTTAATAGGATGCATAGAAACGATAACCCAACAACGCAACCGGGGTCACATTGCTAGTGGGAGTTTAATCTAGAGACTACTGGTAATAATCATGGTCTCTTCGGTGAAGAAATATAACTCTTACGGCGACGGAGTGTTAAGTATAGGTGAAATCATAATTTTAGCTCAATTGACCATCAAAGAAAACTCGCTAGTGACTCCTCTCGATCAAAACAATTTTTTTCAACTCGAAGAAATGCCACTTTCTCATTCTTGAATTGAAAAAAACAGATATGATTTTTGCGGGTTATCTATGAAAAGTACCAAACTCATTGTCCATCTATAAAACACCAAACTCTTGTTATCGTTTGGATCGAGTACAATGCAACAAGTTTTGGTGGTGTTTTCTTGTTTTTATATGTTGCGATGCGACAACCATAATAGTTGATCGATGGTACACAAAAGACAAGTGAAGAAAATCACTTGTCTTTTGTGTCTGTGGTTCACATGGCCTTTCCTGCTACAAAATAAGCATCTCTTTGCGCTCCTTTTGGTAAAATGTTGAATATTTTTTGAATATTAGTGACGCGCCTGCTCTAATAAATTAGCAAATGTTTTTATATCTGATCGTGCTATTTTCTCTTTTAATTCCAATTTTAACAAGTCAATGTGAGTTTCCTCTTCTTTAAGCCGTTTTGATGATAACTAACCAAGTAGGTTTTCTACAAATAAATTTATCTATATTTTCATTTTTGCCTTGCATTGTAATAAATAAACCCGAACAATGATAGTTCAAAGCGATGTCCAAGTTTTAATTTCGGAACGCACCCCAAATACTTGTGTTATCTTTCAAAGGTTATGGTAATCTTAACAATACTTCTTCGTCCGAAATCTTTTCGATATTTTTATATGCTTTCATAGCTCTAACAAATTCTTCCACTTCACTCAGATTGTATTCTCCATAAAACATTGTTTTTACTTCTTCTACTCTAGCAATTTTCATTTCCTTGCTGGCTTTTACTTATTATTTAATTTGGGCTGGTAGAATTCGTTTTTATTTTTTTTTTATTGATAAATACGTTCATGAACGAACAACTTAGGCTAACGGTATAAGAGTGGACTGAGAGCTTATATTTTTTTTATGTGAAAAGTTGTCAAACGAGCAGATGGTTCACCTGATGTTAAGTAAATACCATGGACCTCTGCTACACCCGAGGGTTCCAGATGCATTGATAACCTTTTAAAAATGGGGCTCCGGTTACCTCACTCACCAGACGAAACGCGAAAGTATTTGTCATACTTCCACTTTACGCTGGTCTTCTGTGAAGTCGTGGTACTTACCCGGACGGGCCTGCCCATTCGTGCAACAGCCGAGGCTGCTGCGTGGCCCTACCACCGTAAGATTATTTTCATTCTTCTTTTTGGCTAGCTTTATTGTGCCTAACTTAGAAGTCAATTCTCCCGTTTTATTTTTTAAATATTTTGCTTAATTACGTTCCAATTCGTAAGTTGCTCGTAAGTAAGAAAAGAATAGTAGATATTACTAACGACTCTCCGTTATATCAAACATCTGGACTCATATTGACTAATTAATTGACTTTAACGTTAAAAGTAATTTTTGTATTGTTAAAATATATTGGCTTGGGCGTTTTTTACGTAAAAACATACGAAGATCACTATTTATGGATTTACTGATTAAATGTTTGATCTTAACCTCAAAAGTATTTTTTGCATTATTAAAATATCGAGGCCATTTAGACGTAACATTTAAACGGAATTGTGTTTTCTACGTAAAAACGCACCAATCTCACTATAGTTTATTTTTGGACACTGAAAACAAATGTCAGGTCCAGCTTCTGTAGAAATTTGGCCGATGTCCTTTAAAATACACACCGAGACAGACGTGTCGCGAATTATTTTAAGTGGATATTTTAATGTTATTTGCATTAATTTTGCATTATATTTATAATGCATTAAATACAGTGATCCCTTTGATTGAGTTTCTAGATATCAAATTTAATTTAAAAATGTGCAACAGTCGCACTGTATCAACAACAAGATAGAAAACAGTAATTGAAGTATTGAGTATTTGTTACTAGACTAGTTGTTGTAATGAGTGTTTCAAAGTTATATTTATCACATCAAAACTAAAGTATTTATTTCATACTTCAATGACCGTAAGCATATCTTATCATTAATCGAAAATTCAAACGCGGAGACTGTATAAGTATAAAGTTTGTAATATATGTGAATAAAATACTCGTACATGGTAATTTTAAACTTGGTATCAATGTCACCAGACATAAACCCTACAATCAGCCAGAAGTAGGCTGATGTAATTGTATATTTGTCTCCTTATCTTTTAGATTACATTTTTGAGGGTTTCAATTCTATCGCGTGTGAATTGCACGCATGTTTCTTTTTTAAATTAAATTTCACATTCCAGTCTCCATCTGCTGATAAGTCTTTCAAGTAAAGATATTATTAATTAGTAATTGATAAATTGGTTAAATTACAAGATTAGCATTTAGATAGACCGTATCTGATACGAAATTAGTGCGTTGCACTTTAATTACAGTCTTGTCGAGACAACAAGAGGTTCTTGGCATTAGTGCGTGGAGTTTTGCGGTAGTGGCGTTGTTCGAAGACTGTTATTAAATTAAAAAATGACTGAAAACGAGAACTGCTCTGAAGGGCAAAGATCGAACGAAGTCACCAACTCTTCGAATAACGCAACGCGGAAACCGATAGATTTGGATGATGTGCTTATAAGCGAATTAGGCCAATTCGGCCGGTTCCAGTTCAAAAACATCCTCCTCGTATCGGTACCCTTAATTATGTCAGCCTTCTTGAGTGAATACATATTCTCAGCTGCCGCAATTCCCCATCGGTATGTTGAAATGATTATTTTAATACATCTACTCAATAAGCCCCAATTCGGCCCAAGTAAAAATTTGAATCTTGTATCATTTTCATTCTAATATAAACTCCGCTCTTAAACGTAATGAACAATCTTTGATGAACTTCATCAAAGAACAAAAAAAATATGCAAAAAATATTATTTACCTCACTGGTTGGTTTTTGGAACGAGTTTTTGGAACGATACTCTTCTATTTGTTGACTATTATCATACCTCGGATGGGCTCAGTGAGGTAGGTCCAACTACGATAAAGTGATCGCTCGAAGAAGCCAACTCAGATTGGCAGCCTTTGGGTAACCACGCGATATCTTCTCGTCCAAGATTCCGCAGTACCAAGGTGTCAAGGTGTTACTAAATAAATATCCTTATTATTCTTACTTCCTTACTAATGTTATAAACGTGAAAGTTTGTATGTATTGCTGGATATTTGTTAGTCTTTTCCGCAAAAATTACTGAATAGATTTTCATGAAACTACAATAATATAGCTTATATATCAGAATAACACATTCATAAAGATGTTCTGTTAATTGTCCAAAATATAGGTAATGATAAGTGTCAACTATGTTTGAAAAAATTCAGCTATCTGCCAGATATTCTGGTGTATATTAATTAATATTGGAGAGTAAGATGCTTCAGGGGCCTTGAGGCTTAAATAACCTCTAAAATGTCTGCTGCAGAAAGCAACGGGAAACTACTGCACTATTTTTCCCAAGAAAACCACATGATTTCATCATGTGTTCATGATCCATTGAGGGACCAAGCAAGACGAGACGCGGGCGAAGCCGCGGCTAACAGCTAGTAATTTATACGCAATATCCCATCACCACGGGCTCTGTAAAGTATTCGAAACGGCAGGATTTAAAATTAAACTCCGGTAGTTTTATTTAACAATGTATAGTTTCCGCGGAAACACAAGAAATCATTTAAATATAGCATCAAGAAATCATTTAAATATGGCTTAGAGGTCGATTTTATCCATCTGTGATCATATACGAAGAGACTGAAATAAAACAAGACACTATTTCCGTTCATAGACCGATTGATGTTACTTTTTAATTTCTTTGTTCATGATTAATTTGAATACGTATTTCATTACATATTGTGTTAATTACAGAATTTTCCATTGTATGGCTTTAAGGCATCAAAGTTTTCCTGTTTTTTAAAAGAACAAAATCAAAATCAAATATCTTTATTCGACATAGCAATATAACAGCAACGCTCAGCAACAAAACCTCTATACTACAATAACATTATTGGAGAAAATATCACGAATAATAACGTTTGCAGATGTCAAATTCCTGAATGCGGTGAGAACAGCACCAATTTCGTGTTCGAGCCTGAATGGATCCTAAACGCAGTTCCTGAAACTACTACGGGATTTTCCAGCTGTCAACGTTTCGAGTCTTCCACATCAAACGGCTCTTTAGACTATTGCCCGGCTGATATATTCATAAGAGACAGCATTATATCTTGTGACAGTCTTTTTTATGCCAGGAATAACTCCGTTGTATACGATGTAGGTAGAACGAGTAATGCTACAATTTGATTCTTTAAAAATTAATTATTTATAACTCAATCTTTCTAATGACAATATATCTTTCTCTTATCTATCTACAATACCAACGATATCGATTGTTAATCCAAATAATTCCTAAATTCCTAAGCATTACGTGTTCCTTTGTTTATAGTACGTAATTAATTCGAGTTTTATTTGTTTTATCTGTGTTACAACTAAATCATTCGAACTGACACTGATGTGATTAAATATCGGTTGTATTGATTTCTTATTAAAATGTTTTTATTTTTTTAAAGTTCGACTTAGGGTGCCAGGAATGGATGCGGGCGTTGGCGGGTACTCTAAGCAGCGTTGGAACTCTGCTGGTGCTGCCTATAACTGGGTACATATCTGATCGGTTCGGGCGGCGCATCGCACTTGTAGTCAGCATTTCCAACGTAGCACTGTTTGGTCTCATTCGGGCCTTCTCCACTAACTACACTATGTACCTGGTGCTTCAGCTTCTACAATCAACACTTGGAGGCGGCACTTTCAGTTCTGCCTACATATTTGGTCAGTAGTAATAATATTTTTTTATACGAGAAAGTGGCAAGCGAGCTGGCGGTTCACCTGATGTTAAGCGATGACCTCCGACGATTGACATATGTAAATCCGTAGTGTTGCAGATGCGTTACCAATAGGTGGTAACACTACGGATAAAGGGGGCACCGGCTAGGTAGCCATTTATACTTCTGAGTTTCGTCTGGTGAGTGAGGTCACTCACCAAACACTGAGAAGTATGACATTTACTCTTCACGCCCGTCTTCTGTGAGGTCGTGGTTCTTACCCGGACGGACCTGCCCATTCGTGCAATAGCGTGTTGCGTGGTCGTACCACCAAATGTTTCTTCTTCACCTCTATTCCTTTTCGAAAACTAATAATATTTTAATGATTTACCGTACAAAATATACACTTCTTATGCCCGTTTTCACCATCATCGATCCCTTTAAGGGACTACCTAAAAAAATTTAAGAGCTCGTTTCGTTTTCATCACTGCTTATGCCTCACCTAAAGTTTTAAGCGGTAACTTAAAAAATATGGGCTCGATGTTCGGCCTTTTAGCGCTAAGTGACAGTTTTGATGAGTTTTTCATACTTCTTTAGCAATTAAAGATTTAAGAAAATAAATGTACATTTAAAAATGTAATTTGAGCTATAAAAAATGAAAAACATTTTTTTGTGTATTTATTTATTTCGTGTGTTAAAACTTAAAACTAAAAATACGATGTACCGATTAAAAATATTTTACCTACCTAGCTAGATGTCCCCTAAATAAGTAGCCCCTAATTTGGTGAAAATGATTTTAGGTGACGAGCTAATTTTTATAAGGCTGCCCTAACGTAAGGGATTCCCTAACGTTAGGGCAGGCTTAGTAAGAGAGCGTTTGAGGGTACAATGGTGACAGCGGTCATTAGAATATTAAAAAAAAAACATTGGATTAAAACTAAACTATGTATTAGCACTTTCCTATATGGACACGAATACGACACGTTATTCGATAAAACGATTTTCCGAAAATTTAGCTATTAAACTTTATTTTAAAAGTTATATTTCTTTAGGCGCGTTATGAAAAAATGATGAGAGTGAAATTTTAAGTTGCACTGTAACACAAAAGTCACACCTTTGAAGTTGCCCGTTAAACCGTTTATTATAGACGCCAGCATATTCTCAATCACATCCGCCCGTTACAGTTCTCAATAAAGAATGTAGATCGCGCTTTCATAATTTTATTATTTATATCCTTTTCCTGTCTTTTTAACATTTTATTTTAATTAATGATTAGGATGCAATTAAAAACTATTTTTGAATAACCTTTTAATGTTAAAATAATTTGGATTTCCAAGTGCGGTAGTATTTACTGAAGCAGTCTATTATTTCAGCTGCTGAGCTCGTTGGTCCGAAGTATCGTGTGTTGACTGGAGCTGTGACTTCGTCCATGTTCGCAGTGGGATTAATAGTGCTTGGAGGCTTGGCGTGGGTGGTGCAGTCGTGGCGCAACCTAATCCTGGCTCTGCATATACCCTGTTTCCTCGTAGTATCTTACTACTGGTTCTTAGGAGAAAGTATTCGTTGGCTTTTATCGAAACAAAAGTTCACAGAAGCCAGGGCCGCTTTGGAAGAAGTTGCAAGAGTTAATAGAACCCAAATTAGCGAAAAGTCGATGGAGGCATTGCTGAACCCACCGGAACAAACAGAACAAATCACAGTAAGTAGTGATTTAATTTAATTATGCATAATTTTTTAATTTTACTCTGTCTTTCGCGAAAGATATTTATAACCGACTAGCGACCCTCCGCGGCTTCGCACGGGTGCAATGTATTATACATAATTATGAACCTTCGTCTTGAATCACTCTATCTAGTAAAAAAACCGCATCAAGATCCGTTGTGTAGTTTTAAAGAACATACATAGGGACAGACAGACAGCCGGACGACTTTGTTTTATACTACGTAGTGATGCACAGCAAAGAGACGTTTACATTTCAAGTGACATTTTACCACAGTCACTCACTTGTTTTGCCTTCCCAGAACCCCTCCGCTAACACTTAAACTTTATGGCATGGTATTAAAGTTCAAATTGACTTTTAAGTATTATTACGAATCTTTTGTACGGGAATATAGAAAATTCTTGTTTTTAGACTTAAATTTTTATCTCCGTAAGAACCATCTTCTTACTTCAAGGAATATTATAAAAAAAGAATTAACGAAATTCGTCCAGCCGTTCACGCGTAATATACGTCGGTCACGGTGAAATCGTTTTTTCGTAAAAATAATAAAAATCGTTATTGTAAAAAAATAAATTTAATTCAATTTATTTTATCACCTTTCACCTAGGTAATATAAAAGCGAATTTTACTATACAATTTCTTGTACATCGTTCGACTTATGGCGACTTTGGCGTGTAACTAACGAACTTTTAACTAACGAACATGGTATAATTATTTGAGTACCTACTGTTGATGGGCTAATTTATACCCTTCCGAATATCCAAACTAAAACCAGGATATTAAAAAAGTTTATTTACTTCTCAGGATGGGCCAGGACTGATCACTTACATAGTTCGCTCACCAATACTCCTACGCCGGGTCTGCACAACTCCTTTCTGGTGGATCACGTCGACTTTCGTGTACTACGGCCTGTCCATCAACTCTACCAGTTTGTCTGATGCCATGTACCTGAACTTCATCCTCACCTGTGCCATCGAGATCCCGGGCAACTTCGCCACCGTTCTCCTCCTAGACCGGATCGGCAGGAAACCAACATTGTCCGGCGGGTTTTTCCTCAGCGCGGCTTGTAACATCATTTTTGCGTTCACTCCCAACGGTAAATCTTAATTTACAAATGTGAGCTAAAGTTCCTTCCTAGTGTACAATGTAGGGCTTACCAAAGCGGCTACCCGTCTTGAATATAAAAAAAAATAATATATATAAATAGCAAATATTTACTGTGGTGTAATCACTTAACAGTTTCAGCTGCAGTAAAAATTTGCCGATTTAACCAGGGGTGCCACGGCTCCACAGAATAACGGCTATAGTCTGTGAGCTTTGAAAAAGAGAAATCATACCTTCACCCTTTCTGTTGGAGGTGATACTTATCACCAACCTTCAGGTGAACCGCTTGCTGGTTTGCCATCTTGTAAAGAAAAAAAAGTAAAATAACAGTCTATACATGTCCCACTGCTGGGCAAAGGCTTCCTCTATATAGAGGGTATCAGGACATAGTCCACCACGCGACCCCACTGTGGATTGCCGGACTTCGCACATATTCGAAATATATATTTTTTGTTATTATTTAGAAAATATGCAGGTTTCCTCACGATGTTTTCCTTCACCGCGGAGCACGTGATAAGTCAGCACTTAAAGTTAAAAACTTCATTGGTGCCGGCACCGGGGATAGAACTCAGGTTGCTCGAGTATATTGAATTAAAGGCGAGCGCCCGGACACTCAGCTATCACGGCTCTCTGAGTTATCACTGCCATCTTGAATAGTGACTAAATAATTGCAAATTATGTTTCATGTTTCATACTTTCTATCAGATCTAAACGTCCTGCGGCTAGTAATATACTTACTGGGGAAATTTGGCATATCAGTGGTGATGACCGCATTGTACCTGTTCACGTCAGAACTGTATCCCACCGAGTACCGCCACAGTCTTCTCGCCTTTTCTTCTATGGTCGGCAGGATTGGATCCATAAGCGCACCTCTCACACCCGCCCTGGTACGTTCCAAAAGTATATTTTGTCTCTAACAGTATGTATTAAAAAATAAAGTTGATGTAAGATTTGATTCTGTAATCTCCAATCTATCACTCATTAATTTAATTCACATCATGGTCTTCTTTATTTTATACTCTTACGCTGATTGTTTAAAATCTTAGATAGACTTGGTTACTGGCGATAGCATTTTGGCATAAGTATTATGGAGCTAATGTCTAATGCTAAGTAAAAAAAAATACCTATTGTTTGTAACCAAATCTATCTGTGGATTGAATATTGAAACTGTCTCTAAGATTTTAGATAGATTTGGTTATTGGAGATAGAATCTGACGTAATTATTATTGAGTTAATTACAAAAACGTAATCCTAAACTTTCTGGTACCGATATGATAAAGAATTTAGTTACGTTGCAGATGATATTATTATAATGAGTTGCAGGCATGTTTGAGTTTCATGGTGGAGTTTTAAGCTATTGTTATTTTACAAGAGTTACAAAACGACGTCTAAATATATGTATGAAATAGCATACTGTTCAAAACTGAATTCTAATTTAGTTTGCTCGCATGCAACTGGTATCAAAATAGGAAAATAGAACATTGCTTAATTAAACTTTACCGTTTTAGATGGAGTATTGGGTGGGAATACCTTCAGTTATGTTTGGAACCCTGGGCCTGCTTTCTGGTTTGCTTGTCCTCACTCAGCCCGAAACCCTCGGAACCAAGATGCCCGACACTCTAGCAGAGGCGGAGGCGTTAGGGAAATCCGATCAGCAGAGGAAGAAATAGACTATTTGGTGGTGTCCGTCGCACTAACGTTATGAATCCCAAAGCTCGTGTGTAACTGTTCGTTCTAACTTCACACCACAACTGCTAATGGGATTGAAATGAGATTTGAATTGAAAACGGATTAAGTGTTGCTGATAGCTGTGAGCAGTTGCATGCTATGATTAAAACGCTTTTTGGTTTCGCATCTCTGCAATATGACATTGTGCATTTTCAACTTTACAATAATTTTATTCCGTAACCTCCTAACACCTCGCGAGTGAAGGATAAGTTATAGTATTTACACTAATCGGTAATATATTAATAAATTTTTTATGGTGAATTATATCAAATAGTTGAAAATGGCGGTTAGTAAAGTGCAAATATAGCGAATAGACGTGTCCAGCATCTATTATTGACATAAATCAAATATTCGTGGTACAAGAATCTCCTCAAACGGTGTCAAAGCAAAATTATGCTTTTAAATAAATTGATGACCTTTTCCAATAATTTTTCCATTGTGATTCCTTTTTGCATTAAAAGTTAAGAAAAGAAAAACTAAAATTAACACATAATTAACTTAAAGTTGTTAATAACGTTTTGACATTTTATTTTCAACTATTATCATTTTACGTTTTAGCATTTTATTTCATTATATATTTTAAATCCTTCCTTTCATCCATCCGAATGGATGCTTCTGACTCAGGATCGTGCTTCGTAACAGTCTGCGGGGGAGCCATATGTCTAGCAGTGGACCAAAACAAGCTGACATGATGATGATGATTAATTTTAAGCTAAAGATATAGAGAAAGAGAGATATAAGAAAGAGATAGAAATATAAAAAAAATAATAAGACCTCCCTTAGATCGATAAGGACAGATGAAACACATTTTCAAAATAATCACTACACATTTTCTTTATTTGGTACAAAATATTTGTTGTGTCTTTTTGTTAATAAAATTCATTATAGATAATATATACAAAATTATAAACACACTGATAAATATATTGGACACTTTTTTCTCGTACCATTTCTAACATTAGTGGTTATTCTATTACTTTTTCTTTCACAAACATGAAACCATAAAGCTTTCTTTGATAATGAATCACGTAAGTTATCTTTGAAGACCGGGACAATTTTTTTATGTGAGATGGTGGCAAACGATCTGGCAGTTCACCTGTTGGTAAGGAATACGGCTGCCCATTAAAATTTGCAACATCCGGCTACTTCTCTCATCAGACGAAATACAGCACTTCCACTTCACGCCTATGTTCTGTGTGGTCGTGATGCTAATCCTCAGCTGTTGAGTGGACCAACCACAGATCTTATTCATTAAATATATACTAAAACATACTCGCAATTCTTCTAATAGAAATGGAGGACTTAGTATCGTAAAAATCCATGGAAAATACATTTTTCCTTCATCGAATAACTTGCATCATGCAACGCTAACGAAAAGAATACTTAAACGCAGAATTTGTTTTTGTGTAACGGTAAGGTATTTCTGCAAAGAGTGAAATTATGCTGGTGTTTTTGTATTAACGAAATCATACAATCAAAAATTGCCATGCAATCGTCAAATTTGTCAAAATATTGGCCATCGTGATGAGATAAAATACTACAGTTGTTAAATATATACTTTCTAAGAATTTGGTCTATGATTTCTTACATTTACGTACATAATAAATTTCACATTGTTAAATAAAGAGAGTTTACAGATTTTATGGCGTTTAACTTTCATTTAAACGTTATGGACGGACTGGATATGGTAGTCACAACCAGCATGCTTGTTAATTAAGAACAGTGAAGCGAAACTAGATCTGTAAAAAGTTATATTTAACAATGTTACATTTCCCTTATCCTAATACGCGGGTAAACAAATGTAATGTCGATTAGATTTGTTCACCCGCGCAAAACCGGGGCGAACAAAATTGTATGAAAAAAAAAACAAATTACCGTAATGAATTTTCCGAACAATTTTCTCGGCTGAAAAATTAATATGGAAACAGTGAACACGAAAAATTATCATTACAATACAATTAATTAACTAAACATTTTGTAACGTCAATTGTTAAAAAGATGCTCATTTCTTTAAGCAAAATATGTTAATACATTAATAAATACTATAATAACCTTACGATTAAGAGTTTATAAAAATAAATTCACACTTTGTATTTAACAACGTATGTAATCTTAATAATATGTAAATGGTCCATATATTTCTAGAGATAAAAATTATTTGGTACAATAAGATCTTCTGTCATTATTTTAAAATCCTTTAAAGTCAAATATATCAGAATATCAACGATTGATTATATCACCAGTAGCATATGTGCTTTACTTTATGTTATAGTTATCTATTATTCACAATAGACCGCATTTATTTTTTACTAGTTTGCTACGAACTTGTTGGGAATAAGAAATTCCTTGGAATTGTTAGAAATGCATGTAACATGAGGTTTTCTATCTCACGGAATTGGAAATACTTGCAGATTTTAACTCGGTTTATTACGACATCGATTGCACTGAACTTGAAGACGTATGCCTGGACAATACAAGAACGGATTTTTCTTTTTATGCTATAAGTAAGTTAATTTGAGCAATTTGAATAGTAAAAGTTACACAAATACAACTTGAGCAAATAGATAGGTAGTACTTAGCACTAGAAAATAAATAAATACAATATTCCTTCCTGCATAAGTCAGACTTATATCTTATAAACCATAATTCAAAAGCCAATTTACTCTAGCAATGCCAAGAAAATACTTTCGTAAATAGAATTAAAGTGAATAGGCTTTTAATTTCTTATTGTGCTAACCACCACTGACTCCGCTATTTACCATGTTGGGAGGTCAATTAAGCATCTATAAGGACAATACTTTATGTATAAAGACGTATACGTTATGTTTACAACTTGGCGATGATCATTGGCGAGTTTGATCCATATGGCACAATCCCAACGGACTGTATGTAATTAAAATGACAAACAATGAATTAGCAAGTCAACTATTTCACAGGACCGTTCATCGTAAACACTTATATCATACATTTCCACGGTTTCTTGTTTGGACGGTATGGCTTATTTAAACAGTTCAAACTACCGTACTCTAGCGTCACGGTCAACTATTGGGACCTCCAGCATCCTTCGTTAGGACGCAGTGACCCTTTCAAGCTGACCCTCGGGAGAGTGGTTGGCGTCCAGCCTCTCGGCATCAGAGACTCTGTCTGGAAGCGGCGTCCGGCTTGTGTCCGGCAAGAGGAGCGCCAGCATCGCCGGACCCAGTGCCACTACAGCGAAAACAACGCTAGGCAGCCCGGACATATACTTTTCCTGAAACATACGCGGTCAAAATATTTTCATTTAAGTAATTAATTTAGGTAATAATGAAACGTCTCAACTCACGTTAAACCGGTGTACAAACCGACTAGTTTAGTTCAGTTTTATTATTATGTTTATAATGTCTCACGAAATTTTAATTATTTTATGAATGAATGAATGAATGAATATTTATTTAGTTTCAACATATATATTTATATTTTCATTACATATATATTTTTATTTATATTATATTTTCATTTGATAAGAAATACAATAGATATATCAATTCTTTTTGAAAAAAATGATGAAAAATTTTTTGGCCGCTTCGGGAATCGAACCCACTTCTTCCGGATTCACGCACAGTGGCGAATATCTATAAATTGCAACGTTTCTCCTAAATGCAGAGAATAGCGGTATAAAATTTTTAATTTCATATTGCAATGGTGACATCTCTCGTTCGAATTATAGTTGTAAAACCATATTCGAAATAGTTTGTATGTTGTAAAGGATATAACAATAGATGCGCCAAGCATTGCTTGAAATGCGAAAAGACAATATCTACAGATAAAACATTCAGATTTTCGTCGGTGTGGCAATCATCCGTTCAACTTAGTAGTCTAGGCGCGAATTCGGGTGACGTAGATTCGATTCTCGCGGCGGTGAAAATCTTTTCGTCCTTCTTTGTACAAATTTTAAGGTTTTATCGTAAGTTCAGAGGTCAGCAATAGAAAAAAATTTAAAAAAGTTTATATATATTTTAAATTATCATCAAACTATCTTACATACGTGTAAACAGACTCCCATTCAATCATGAAAGTTTTACGACAGTGGTCACCAAAAGAGAAAAACATTTGGTTGAGAAAATTAACCGCCATAAATTAATGTTTACCATTATTTATTGACACTTGGAAATGACTACTCGGCAACCCTAAAAAAGGAAGGACCAATCCATAACACCGATCATTGGTCCCTTAAATCTCTCGTACCAAATCTACGATCACCCGTTGATCAGATAGAAGCGGTAGCTTGATCAGTTGATATAAATGTTTGTTTAAGTGATCGAGTACCATGGACTGAAGTGAATGAATGAATGAATGAATGAATTGATGAATACTTTTATTGTCCACCACACATAAAAGGATACACAAAATTAACAATAGACAAACAGATTAATGGAATGCACAATTTAGCGGCCTTATCGCTTCATAGCGATCTCTTCCAGGCAACCAATGGCGTAAAAGAACGTTTACACAAACGCACGGGGTGCAATAGTAACATACATATTATATAACTAAATCAAATACATAAAAAATACATTCACATATATAGATATATACTAGACCTCAAGCAATATAATCATAACTAGTAAATACAATATAAACATGAATAATGTAGTATTTAATCCTAACGATACTCGAGTGACCGAGACAGATAATGCTCTTTAACTGATTTCTTAAGTGGTCGAGTTAGAGATCGAGTACAAGTAGTTGCGTGGCTATACCACATTTTCGTTGCAAATGAGTCAAATGATACAAATAATTAGATTCGACGTACCAACAGCGGCGCCTGCGGAGCAAGCACCGAGCCCAGCCGGCCAAAAGTGTGGGCTATGTTTGTGAGTGAATTGCGCGAGGTGGTGGGGAACACCTCCATCGTCACCACCAGCATTGAGAACATGCCGTAGCTGCTGCACATCTTGCCCGCCAGGTATAAAACGATGGACGCCCACGAGAACGCTAGAATGAAGGAATGAATAATTCTTTATTGTAGACTGCAAGATAAAAAAAATCATTAAAATAACAATTACGTAAGGGTTGTACAATGGGCGAGCTTACTACTTAGTGACATAATATATATAATCTAAACCAGATTTAAAGTCAGAGGTAGTGACATTCTTAGATATGAAGGTGATCAAAATGGTTAACCTGATTATGGACTTAAAAGAAGAAAAAGACGTAGATCCAACCCAAGGCTAGCGAAATAAAAGTAATTAGCTTATCAACAAAGCCAATCGATCCATCATATAAATTTTTGATTAATCTACTTTGATAGTTCCTATTCATATCGGAGATTACTTTGATGCTATCCCGTTTGAATGTTAAACTGTACGATAAGGCTATGTCAGTAACGTCTTCGCTCTTGACTGTAATGAATATACTTGTTTCACTTATTCTGGACAGGTAATTTACTAGGTCTGTTTAAATATTAATGTCATGAAGAGAACTGTCAAAAACTAACAGTGGGAAGGTCATATTAAGTAGCAGCAATTGTTGGGCAATGTCCTCCTCTATACGGAGAGTATCAGGGCATAGTCCACCACGTTTTCGAAATATGTTTGTTGTTATTATTTTGAAAATATGCAAATTTCCTCACAATGTTTTTCTTCACCGCGGAGCATGTAATAAGAAAGCACTTAAAATCATATAAGGCTAAGGCTAGCTACTTGGCTAAAATATCGTAATTGGAATTAACTAGTTCATTACAACAGGCGTATTTTTACTGCAACTAAAATACTCAAAAACAAAGCGGAAACCAGTCACTCACATTTGGGAATGAAGGCTGAAGCCATAAAGAACAACGCGCACAGACAGTAGGCGAGGCATATAGGCGCCTTCCTCCCGAATCTCGTGAGGGTCAGCGCCGTGATGATTCTCGTCGGCACGGCCACCAGCATCATGGCGGAGAAGTTGAGGTGCTTGTTGCCGGAGATGCTGGTGGAGTTGATGATTGCGCCGCTAAAGACAAACATGCAGCAGAAGAAGCTGACGGAGATGAGAACGATTCGGAGGGCGATCGTCTTCGAGCGGAGGACGGAGAAGATCGGCGGTGGGTCCTCGTGGCGTGGCTGCACTAACTGGAAATTAGACGACTGGTTTAATAACGGGCTCAGTTCTTCTAAATCTAGCGATGGCGGTGGAGTTTTATAACACAGGCCCAGTTTAGATTGTTGAGTCCTAAACATGTTTCGTGAGCCTGAAACACACGCATTTACATATATTGCTAACAGGAGAGATTCAAAATGTTAAGGCTGTTAGATTTTTAGTATAACATGATGCTAGTTATTGTCAAGCATAGTTAAAAACTTTGAAAATAACGTTATATACAAATAAGTGTTGATATCGCGTAGTGAAATTCTAAATGCATTTTATGCATGCTGTATCTATTACACGAAAAACTTATTGCAGAGCTTTGTGGTACTCGAATTGATAGTAAATATTAGACACGCACAATAATACACCAAAGTCAGAATTCGGTATAAAATAAGTAATAAACTGTTGTCAGAAAAAAAATCACAGATCCTTTGGAGCCACCTACATAGATGTTTAATGTACTAGCGATCATTAATTTTTATTTCAAAAAGCGAATACCGACCGCTCAAATTATATCAATGTATGTTCTTTAATTTTTTTGAAGCATTCTATTCTGAGCAACTATCAAATCTTTGTTGAAATAAATGGTATTCGGGCTCATAATAGAGTCAGGAAAATGTTAACTACAAGCAAATTTATTGTTACCTGATCCGCCTTATTTCTCTCTTCAGTAATCTTTGTAAGCATCTCTTTGGCTTTGTTCGACAGTGTGATGTTATTGATCTTTGCGACTTTGTTCAGCACCCTGACTGCTTCATCTTTCTTGTTGTGGGCTAAGAGCCACCTGACGCCCTCGTCCACAAGGAATATGTAGAATACTACGACTAGCAACGGGGCATATATGGCTCTCATCATGTATCTCCAATATGGGATCTTCCAAGCTATCAAGCCGAAGAATGCACCTCCAAAATTGGAGAGTATATCAGATATACAGGAAAATACAACCCTACTGTTCTGACTGACTGTTTCCAGGGCTGAAAAAAACGTTCATAAGTTGAAACGGTTCTTTTTTCTTTTGGCTAAAGTATTTATTTGTTTTAAAACAACTTACATAAAACTAAAGAAGCATTCCCGTAACCGAGAGCTGTTTCAAGAAACTCCAGCACCAGTAGCATCCAGTAGTTTACAGAGAAAGACTTTAGCAGCCCCGCCGTGCCAACCATCAATGGGGTCCCAACAATAATGACTTTTCTTCCGTACCTTTGGACCGATATTTGAAAGCACATCATGAATTTTAAAAAAATCCCTTAGAATAATATTAGAAATGGAGTAGTCTCTACAAGCAATGTTCAGTTTGTGAGGTCGGGGTTAAACCGTCCCGTAACTACGAATTATAAGTCTCTTGTGCTCCTAATACCTGATTACAAAGATAATTGCATTTATTATTCATTAATTATTGTTTGAATTACCTGTCGGAAATAACTCCGGATAGAATGTAGGAAAAGACCAGCCCAAGATTATGGACTGTGCCAATTAGAGTTCTCTTCCACGGCTGGCAGCCCAGATCAAACTGAAAATGAAACGGAAGCAATATGTAGATAGCTGTTTTATTTTTCAAATTATACCGTAGGCCCGTTTGGAAAAATTATAATGGTAAAATTTTTACGAAGTGCGCGCACACCGACCCTCAAAAAGTGACATAATGCTCGTTTACCAATTTAATCTTGGCAACAAATAATAACTTTATTTGATCCCAAGTTATTTAAACAAACTGTTATCAATGACAATAGGCAGAAGTATAACTTCTTGCGCGTGTACACGAGTACATACATACTTTTTTTATATAGTTATTAGATTTTTTCATCGCGCACCAATTCTTATTACACTGTACGCATTGTATTTAATAATTACTTCACAGTTATTATTTTTCGTCCAAAAATAAAACAGCGTCTATAATATTATATAAATATTTTTGACGAGAAGATCTTTATTTCATCATATACGTAACGTAATTCGTATTTTATATGTCAATTTTTCGTAATTTATTTTTGGTATCTTTTTGTGATATCTGATATCAGTTTCCTAAAATTGTTTAAACGAACCCTGTATCTAATATATTTGATTAAAATTTCATTGTGTTTCCCAACTCACTCCATCAGTAAATGCTGCACATCCTCAAATTTGTAAAATAGAAGTCAACAATAATATTTTGTCATATCTGCCCAGGAAAGAACTGATAAGAAACGACGCGATTTGGCATATCCCTTAAATTCAAATAACCATTTAAGAATGAGTACAATTATCATATTATCTATCTACGTTACGCACTTCGATCGCTTCGGTACAGTACATTAGACGGTAGGATAGTCTTAATGACGTTCGACTGACAAAGGCTGAAAGCATTTGTGCGACGTAGACTTGTTTACCATCGTTCCACACAATTCCTTCCACAGCTTTGATTTTCCGTCATCGTGAAGCGTGACGGAGCGCCTGATGCGTTGATGTAAACACCATAATCCACCGCATTCATCTGGCAATTTGCCGGCCGCGTCAATCTGCCGGCCACGCCGCCGCAATCCTTGAACTTGTGCGCAGATGACATTGGACGATTCACGCGTTGCTAGCTTACTTCGGCGACGTTCACGCTCCGCTTCCCTTATTTCATTCAACTTGTTGCGAATTTCGCATCAGCTTTATGTATCAGATTCTCAGGCTCATCTCAGTTGGTACAGATTCTCACTTACTATACTAACCCCTTTTCCAATGGTTTCGAAATAATTTATCGGTTTTCTTTTCATAAAGCAAATTGGATAAATAAATGAAGTTACGATTATTAAGAACAATAAAGAAAATATTTCTTAAAATAATTATTTTTACCAAATTTTATCGCGTTTGTTCGACGTTCTAATAGTTAACGAGGAGTATCGTCATCCGGTTTCCAACCAGCCGTAAAAGGTTTGCTTCTCATTCTGCCATCCCTGTCGTTACTATTTAGGTTCATGGCTTATAAGGTTTATCGTAATAGTTGAGTTATAATTTGTATAATGGTAATACTTTGCTGATTTCTTTAAATGTCGACATATACAATGATTCTTATATTCGTAAATTTCTGAAATTGAATACCCACCTCGGCAACAATGCTGTTGTAATTCTCATACACTATCCCCTCGCAGGGCACCGCCTTCTTATAATTGAACATCTGAGGAACGCAAGTGCTGTTCTCCATTCTCAGTGGATACGTCTCGTATACTGCGGTCGTGTTCACCGCCTCTTCGTAGGGCGCTGGTCTATGACAGGTTTCCGATTTGTTCAATACCGTAGCTACCCAGCTCGCATTAAATTTAAAACTGACGGTCGACTCTTCGCATTCCGGTACCTGGCATCTGGAATTTTATGAGACAAAATGCTGAAACCAATTTGATACAATCATTATCTCCAAGCTAATCTAATAACTCTTTTAATCCTCACATTGTAGATAAAGTTAGTAAATCCATGCTTCTCCCTGTTTATTTTAGCCCAAAGAGTGATTCTGTAATGTGGTTGTAATAGTCAAATCACAAATATGACAATAGAATCATTTTTATTACAAACTGGCTAATTTTCGGTTAATATTTTAACCTTTTCTCTCTACTGTTGATACGACTTATTCACCGTAATATGTCATTATTACGGAGAATAAGTCTAAACTGCTTAGCTGAATGACATAATTATTTTCAAATGTTATAATTATCAACTGGCTAGATCAGACTTTCATCGTTTTGTTTAAATTTTATTCCTAAACGTTCCGATCTATTGGTAACGTTGCATTGGAGTCCATAAAAAAAACTCAATCAAAACGATAAATTAAAAACATTGGTAATTCATTATAAACGGTGCTTTAAGGTGAGACGGTGGACATAGTTAATCGTATTAAACGTGAAACATAAACAAATTATGGAAACGATATACATGAATTCTCGATATTTACATTCCTCTAATTCAATGTTCGAAAATTCGAGTTAAGAAAAAACGACGAAAGTTTTTATTTATTTCGAAACAGGAAAAGGGTAAAAGAATGGACAATCTTGAATGATTTTTGCAATGACACAGTAGATTAGATTTCATTTCTTTTGATACAAACGGAGTAGGCAGATGTAGCTAAAGCTATATTTTGCCACGCGCTACGGAAAATGGAAAATTTTTAGTGCACGCCATGAGGTTCAAACTCACATCCATAAAGTAAGACATCTGAGCCGGTACAAATTTAATTTTAATGTTAATCAACTCCCTAATATTGTAATTCAGAAAAAGTTGTTTGACACGTAGACTTTTTATGAAATTTAAACTAACGAACATCTAAACCATATACAATGCATATGGTTTAGTATCATTGTAAGGCTTAGAATGATTGTGCAGAATAAATTTTCTATTTTACAAATCGCTGCAAATAACATTATTTGTATCATTATTCAAATTTTATCATTACACTGCTTACAGACGATTTACGACCACTTGTTAACTAACTATGATAATATGCCGTAACAGTAACAATACACGACTACCGTCTTTGAAGTATTACCCTAATACGTTTCAAATAAGAATAGGAAAGTCAATGACCTCGAATGGCCACGTTCAAGTTTTAATTACTTTTACCAACAAAGAGAAATATCTCAAGACGACGATAACTTTAGATTCATTATAAAAACAGGCAAAATGCATATTTTTGTTGTTAACTTCAGTCGGTGGAGTATTTGAATTCAAACATAAATAAACGTTCTATTTTTTAAGGGAACGCAGCAGTGATGATGATGATGACTAGTCAGACCATGATGCAGAAATTAATGGAATTAAATTGCTAAAAAGTATCGGCCTATACATGTCCCACTGCTGGGCAAAGGCCTCCTCTGTATAGAGGGTATCTGGGTATAGTCCACCACGCGGCCCCACTGCGGATTGGCGGCCTTCACATATCTTCGAAATATTTTTTTTTATTATTATTTAGAAAATATGCAGATTTCCTCACGATTTTTTCCTTCACCGCTGAGCACGTGGTAATTCGGCACTTAAAATTAACAATTTTATTGGCGCCGGCACCGGGGATCGAACTCAGCTTGAATTGCTATAATCCGATTAAAACTTTTACTTTCATGAATTAAATACGAAATTCATTTTTAAATAAATATAACTTCAAAATATCGGTTTTACTCACCCTATCTAACTGGTTTGAATTCACAGCTATGGCGTCATACGATGGCGGGAGGTCAGTCCTATTCTTATTTAAGTCGCACTGTACTATTAGTATTATTAAAAAATGAAATTACTAAAGTAGTTTGACTCGGCGACGCCGTTGCTAAGCTATCGTCGTGGGTTCGATTCCCACACGGGACAAGTAGTTGTGTGACACACAGATAATTGTTATTTGTGGATCGATTGGTTTCCAAGGAGGGGTAGACGTCGGGCAGGCAGCCTGATTAACATGTTGTGTTGACCACATCGAGGTGGGATAAGGGCAGGAGGATAATGATGATGGTGTCCGCAAATATAAGAGGAATAGTTAGTAGTTTCGTAAAATTAATCGTCGACCGATCAAGAAAAATTAAAATTTTGAAAATGTCCCATTACGATTGTAGTGCAATGCAACTTAAATGTGACTATCTTCCATTAAGTGAAATCTTTCCCAGGATTCTGTAGGATGAATTTAATTACTTCACTGATACTGGATGCAATAAATTGTTACACGCAGGCCGTAAAATTTTACGATTACCTCTGATAACATTCGTGAAAATTAGGTAATTCAGTTATTGCACGGGTTACAGCTGCATAAACCACTAACACCTTTAAATTTTGTAGAAGTTTGTGTTACATAATGCTTTCAGATCCATTTAAAATTAATTCATGGTAATATTACCTCTTCTTGATGAAGGAAAACAAACGCGTGGTTGGTGAAAACTCTTTTATTTTCAAAGTAATCATAGAATAGAATAACATGCGAATATATGTGAAATTTGCCGATCCGCGGCGGATGGCGTGGTCTATGCCCTCTATAGAGGGCAATACGCTCTATCAGAGGAGGGCTTCGCCCAGCAGTGGGACATATATAGGGCCATTGAACATTTTCAAAAGATACCCGCCTTCATTCTATTAGCGTCTAGAGTCCAATCATAGTTTTTATAATCTGACTAACACGTAGTGTCTAGTCTTTTAACCAGATGTCGTCAACTTTGTTTAGTAATATAACATGATACATGTACTGGTGGTTATGTAATGTACATAAACATGATGAAATTAGAGTTTTAAAGACATTGATTATTTGGCCATCTACCTAGCTTTAGTAGCGACTAAAAAAGACTACGCTTACAAAGTGAGGCTCTTGTACGACAGGTAACTTTGGGATTCGAACGGGTGATTTCAGATAACCATTAAGAATTGTTGTAGACCATTAGGCCATAACTGGTTATGAATTTGTGGTATTATGTGGATGAAAGGAGAATCGAATGTATTTGTTCAAGTCAATTGGTCAGGAATGAGCAGCGGAACACATATATTTATATAATGCACATATCTTTACATATTTTGTGACTTCCATAAAATGAATTCCTAGCAGAAACTGCTTTCCGAACCGGTGGTACCTTACGAACCTATATAAATCTTTTTATGTAAAATTTGACTTTATGATTTTTATTATTTATTTATTTATTGCACTCGAGCAGCCTGAGTTCGATCTCCAGTGCCGGCACCAATAAAATTGTTAATTTTAAGTGCTGACTTATCACTTGCATATTCTCGAAAAAATAAAAAAAATATTTCGAAGATATGCGAAGTTCGCCAATCTCCAGGGGGCACGTGGTGGACTATTCTCTAATGCCTCTTGTTGGACATACATGGGCTGTAACATTTACATTCTTTTATTTTTTATTCGTTTATGCTATGGATATACAGTAACGCAAGAATACTAACGTCGCCAAATCCGTAACATCTGGCATACGGATCTCATAACACTGCATATAAATAAATTACATTATAAATAAACACTTCGTTGGCCATTCACGCTGGGTAAACAAACGCGTAACGCAAGATTGGACGTTACAATGGACAATAATTTATCTAATAATCATTTAACTAAGTATAAACGTTTATTGTAATGACACAATATAACATTAACTGCTTACGTGATAGCCAACCGTTGTTTCACGTCAATCACGTAAACTGAAACGTCATAATTTGTAATGTGGTGCAAACGAAACAAGCATAAAGCTGTTATGAATCTGAGCATGAGGTGGCTGATCCTAGACGTTGTATTTATTGGAACGAAGTTTTTCGAAAAAAGTTCCTTATCGCACTATAGAGCTTTGGCGGATGGGGCTGGGCCAAAAAGCGTAAGAATTTTCAGTCACGAAAATACAATGGCAACTAATAACAATTTTTTGAAATATAAAATTAACAGAATTAAGAAACGTGCGAGTGTCGTGGAACACTCGGCTGGAACGAAGTTACTTTTGTAGTATATTATTATTGTTAAACGTATTTGTTATAATTTGCTAATAACTTAAATTTTTACTTTCGTGCCAGTACTCTTTATTTGTGAAAAATAAATTATATGCAATTGAAAACGGCTTAATTAAAACATTACTGTTTTTGAAGATGATTATTCTGCGCAATGAGGCGTTTTACGAACAGGTTTTGTACAAATACAAATGCCGATACGAATCCGGAACAATTATCTGTGGGTCAGACAAATACGTAGCAAGGTCTATAGCTTAGCGAGTGCTCTCTATCTTGTATATTTCTAAAACGTGAGGTTCCATTAATAAGAAATCCAAAAAAAGACTGCTTGCTTTACTACTCATCTCGTGGTTCGTTTCACCTAAAATTTTTAACGAATACTTAATTGGTAGCTGGATTCTAACTCAAGTACGTTGCTTTTAAACGCGAGCCTTGTTTTCCTGATTACTGCAACAATGGGTCATACATAAATGCGTTGAGATTTTGGTCGGTGTGGCAATCGGCCGTTTAGCTTAGTTCTTAAAACGTCTAAACGCGATTCCGGAAGACGCTTTAACAACGGGTTCGATTACCGCGACGGTGAAAATATTATCGTCCATTTAATACAATAGTTTCGTTCCCAGGCACACGTTAGTGCTAAAAATCAACAGATGATAAGAATGTCACATTCATCATCATCATCGTCAGCCGCAAGACGTTCACTGTTGAACATAGGCCTCCCCCTTGAAACGCCACAACAAACGACACTGTACCATTTGCATCCACCGGTTCGTCGGTTCACCTAGAGGAAGACCTTCCAACCTTACGTCAGCCGGTTCGTGGTCGCCACTCGAGAACTTTTACTCCTCTTATGTCACATTACCTGGAGGGAACCTCTGCGGCGGTGAACACGTAGTTATAGTTGCACATGCTGAGGAAGGAGTCGCGAAATGCTAGGAGGAACAGCAACAGCAGCTGGTACTTTCCGAAGCTGCCCAGCTCGCTCAGGATGCCCTCGAGGTTGAACTGGCCATCGCCGACGCTCTCCTCCGCCATCTGAGATGAGCAAAGTGTTGTTGATAACGCTCACATCACAGTCGAGGTCAAAACTATCACGAAAGACTGTCACATTAATGACCACTTATAAACGTTTGTAGACCTCTAACGAAATACAAACAAGGCACCTGTTACATATAAGCAGGTATGAATAGTTGCATGGAAACGAAAGGGTGTGGTTTGTGTGGTTTTGGCTTACCCTTTTCGTGTCAGTTTAATATTTATATATTTATGTAATTAGTAGGATCTTATTTTGTGTTATACTTTAGGATTCACAAGGGCCGAATAACTTTCACATCGATAGGGATATTATTGACAAAGTGTTTCATTTAAACAAAAGTAAGACAGATGCTTACAATCTCGCGAGTGCCTATCGTGGACTAAAATAGTTCTGTATCAAGAAAAATAGACATTGAACAGTTTTAATTGTCAACAATCGGTCGACCCGGTTTAATATACCCAAGCTCATTAATTCATTACAATCGATTCATATAACGAGCGCATAAATTCCTTCGCCTGTCAAGGAGTAGAGAGGTTACTTTTTAACCTCTCTGCCGAATATTTGGTGACTCCGCTGGCGCAATTGTTTCTACAGAATTTGACCTATGAAGGACGTGAGATCAATTATTACTCGGGAATGCTATGTACGTATAAATTCTCCGCGTCAATGGTTGTCTATGTGAATCTCTACTTGTAATGCGGTTATCAAATGTAATTTAATTTTATATAAGGGTTAAACATTGAAGTATTATTTAACCGTCAAAAATGCAAGTTCACTCACTTTTCCGTTCGGCTCCTTTTTCAACATTGCAAAGAGATTCACTGGCTACGTCCACCGATGTGTTCCATCACTCCCTGCGAAGAGAAAGTTAGACGTTGATCAATTTTCACTCGCACCATTTCATCAAATGCTAAATATTACTCACTTATTCCTAATATTAATGTCCTTAATGCTACTGATTCGTGGACTAACTACCAGAAGAAGTGGTCAAACACTAACCAGCCCGTAAGAAGTGCTTAAAATATCTGCAATAAATCCCACCACTACGCACGTTTAACCGCGAAATGGGCTATAAATGTGGCACCATTACTATATCAAACGTTGTTGCTGAGGGATTTTAAACCAACTACGTCAGACCAACCGAACATGGGCAGTCCTTGTGCCGACATCGATCCGGTATCGAACTTCTAATTACTAATAAATATTATCTTTAGTAAACTTAACCCTATTCTTGTTACACGTGATGATGATTGTCTAGCCTAACCACGTTTACATAATCCAATTCTAGACGATAAATGTCGCGAAATAGTTTAAACTCTGATTAGGCAACCACTATTGTTTAACTATGTTTCATATTTGAATTTATTTAATCTAGAATGAATGAACATTATGATAGTAAGTAAACAGATGTGTCCATCGATGTGCTAGACGGAAAAAAAATATTAACTAGACCTGAAGTTTCTATGGTCTGAACAAAGACGTTACTGTGATTATTATACTGAGATACACGTTGGTTTGACCAGGGCTATATCCACGACCTCACAGATATCCAGCTCATTATAGACCTACATTCACTGTTCGCCTGGTGAGTGAGACAACCTGGAGCGTCTCATTCACCAGGCGAACAAATTGGCTCGCTAACCCATTGGTGTTGCAGATTTCCCTATGCAAAGTTAACAATAAACACATTAAATTAACTGCTTGTTAGTGAAACACTTTTTTCAGAAAAACCTTAAATCGTGGAAATGTACCTTTTCAGGGATTCTGCGTCCGACGAAGTATTACATGGTCTGGCGACTCACACCAACACGTCTTAGACACAAGTCTGGTAAATATATTCAACGTTTGCAATCTATCAGGCTTTCTATCCCATTCCTTTTGTGGCAATGGTTTATTTCACTTTACAATTATTTTGAGTATTTTACAGCCGCACAATTATGAGTTATTATCAAAAATAATTCGTTAAAAAACCAAATGTGCGCACATCATGTAAAAGGTACAAAGTGTGAAATAAGTGGCAAATGTTTCTCTAAACGATTCAAAACGAATGAATTCTAACCAATAGCGTGGCGGTACAGCTAAGCATTGTGTAGAATTTTTGGGAAAAAAATTAAATTGCTGTAACGCTTATTATTTTGAATCATCGCGCATCGTTACAAAACTGTGAAATAATTCGGATTTGATAAATTCTGTGAAATTGTACAATCACGCCATAATTAACAGGACATAAAAGCTTTAATTTGTCATTTTTATGAAGCTAAAATAAATAAGCTTAAACCTTTTTACGAAAGCTTAGTCATATCCTATTTACTATTAGAAATTAATGTTTTTATGTGTGAAACTTTAAGGACATTCCTATGATTCATCATGTTTTATTTCATCTCAGGTTAAATAAAACATAGACGTAAATAACTTGCTATGTTAATATTTATATATATTGTTGCTTCTCTCTGTACTTAGTTTACTTGATTCTCCAATATCATGACAGTTAATAGGTCGTGAGTTCAGCATAATAAATGCGATTATGAACAATCGAGCCGGTAGTATGCTTACATGTTCTTCAAAATAAACACTGAACAAAACCCTCATATGCACACGTATTAACGATATGTCGTAAACAAACAAATTTGGCAGTGCGTCAAGTGAATATCGAAAAGTACGCTTCATGCACATCTGCGCAACGTATACTGCATACAAAGGAATTATTTTAAGATGACTTAGCACGTGTAAGCATGGAATTTGGATCACGAGTCCCTTTGTCTCAGTCTTGATGAGAAATATCAGACGCCTTTGCGAGTTTGACTTTGCAAATTTTCAATAAAGAAGATTCGATTTACAATTCAGTGCCCAAAATTTAGAAATGTTTCCTTTCGTCATAATCTCAGCTACCTGCATGCATCGACTTCCGCACATTTGCACAGGTCGTCACTCCATCTAGTGGGAGGTCGTACAACACTGCGATAGCCAGTTCGAGACTGCTACTAAAGAACCTTTCTTCTCCATCGGTTATCGGTTCTACGAGCTTTACAACATTATAAAATTTACGTCGCTTGAATTATTTAAACTTTCGTCGACTTTCAACTGTCTACCTATCGTACGCCTGAATTATTTAAATCGACTTTCAACTGTCTACCTATCACGGTTCATGAAATACAGCCTGGTGACAGACGGACAGACAGACAACGGAGTCTTAGTAATGAGGTCCCGTTTTACCCTTTGGGTACGGAACCCTAAAAATGAACTCTCCACGTTCATCTACATTAAGCCATTCCAGTGTACTCAATGGCAAATCATTTACAGTCTGTTCGAAAGCAGATGCATCTGTAATCTAGATGATAAAAAATAACCACATTGTAAGGTGTTTGAATCTCGTTTGAATTTGTATTTTTTGCCCGAGTGTGTTGTTATGGAGATTCAGTAGCCGGCGGAGCTCTTTGTTTCGTCTCTTGTTAATAAAAGCAACATTTTTCCTGCACTTTTGGATTGCCCATATTAGTTGACATTCATTTTGATACCGTTGAACCCATATAGTTTCTACATCGTATAGATAAATCTTGTATTCATAGACCTGTTTTAATATCAAGACTCTCAGACGAACCTCTTTCAAATTATCTATTATTATTATTATATATTAAAATCATGTCACAGCGCCATTCAGCTTAGGCCTTTGACAATCCCCGCTAGGGTGTTCAATAAAAATCTCGTGAATGCATCTAATCTGATCTGCATATTCGGTGAATCTCTTATCTTATCATTGCTTAAATGCGAGTTTTTTTTTTGCAGTTAGTGCAATTACTTGTTTAACTGCCTATTCCATCCTTAAAGGGTAACTGTTTCTTTATTCTTCTCTAAAAGTAAGTCCATCATACTAAGAAACCGGTGAGAAATTATGTCGTTAACGTGCTGCTATTATTAAAGCTATAATTATAGCTACATTTATCTCCAAAAATATATCACACATACGAATCTTATTGAAATCTCATCGAACTGAGGCTGCATAGACGTAAGCGCCTTGGGGTTATGAAAGATGAGAAGGATTAAACAGTACATAGTACTGTTAATAATGCTACCAGTAAAGTTTTTAATAGACTATGGGTTTTGTGGATGCCTAGTTCATGTGAGAAATATGGATAATTAAAGATGATGGTACGATGAGGTTGGTACAAAAACAATGAGTGATTTTATTGAAAAATGCATAGTCAGTAAAAAAGTAAAAAAACAAAAACAGACTCATATCCCTGAATACACCACTCTTTTATAGCATTCATAAAATCAAATCAAGTGACCGTACGTACCCATGGACGCCTCAGGAAAATGAGAGGAGTATGGCAAGGATGATATGGTAAGGAGTATTACTTATTTACCTGATCAGTGACTCCTGAGCTGTGCCGATTGAATGAAACCCCTACCTTAATAAATTAGGTTTATATACCGCACTCGACCACAATCGGCTCATAACCGTTCATCACGTAACTCTTACACAAGATGTATGGCTATTGTATGGCATCCATCAAACGCTAAATTAGCGAGCGTTCTGCAGACATACGTAACAACTTTTGTTTCAAAGTCAAAGTCAATGCAATTTTATTTTGGTCATAATCACTACATAGTATAAAAGTCGTCCCGCTGTCCGTCTCTCCCTATGTAGGCTTAGATCTTTAAGACTACGCAACGGATCTTGATGCGGTTTTTTTACTAGATAGAGTGATTCAAGAGGAAGGTATATATCTATATTACATTGCACCCATGCGAAGCCAGGACAGGTCGCTAGATTAAATATCAATTCGATACTATGAATTATGAACTGAAGTGTTCTTATATCTACTTTTCACAATATTTTATTTGGATCAATCATTTTATCCCTGAATCATAACGGTTAACACGAGAACAAATAATATTAAGTATAAGAGCATACATGTAAAATTAAAGTAATGATAAAAAATGTCAATCACAATACGTTGTACGTCAGTTTTAAATCCAATTTCGCCAAACGTCGATAGTTTATTAAATGGTGTATTATATATGGTGTAATATATAATGGTGTAATATATAATGTAAAATAACAGATTTGTTGTTTTTATAAGTTGACTCTAACGCGTGAATTAAGTTTTGCCGGATGGAAACACTCACTAATTCTCACCAAGCGGTGTCAGTGTGTAGAAACAAAAGCAAAGCGAAAACAATGCGTCCGCAAACGGCACAATGATGTTTTTTCCGGACGTTTTGATAACCACACGATACGCGCGCCAAGATTAGGTTTTAATTAGTTAATGGAAAACCAGCAAACAACGCTTAACAGCCGGTTTTCAATGTTCTATCTATCCCTAGATTTTGGTACTAGCGATAATGTTACAAAAAAATACATAAACAAATAATTAACGTGTTTGAAATGAGCTACATATACTTACGTCCAAATTCTATCTTCAGTACCAAATCTACAGATAGAATATTAAAACCGGCTGTTACGAGTAGAAGCACGAACTATTGGCCTGAAGGCGGGCTGTCAGCTTCACTAGAGTACCTAGCATCAACATCGTTTAACTGCAAAATTCCAGTCTTAAAGTTATTGAAAAGACTTAACATTGAAATAAATTTGACTTCTTCTAAGCTAATTGCAGACTCTGAGTGCAATATTTACTAAGGCTTCCAGTCTAGGATTTCAATACTTACGCAATTCATAATTTTCGGATATACGATTGCTGCTTCGAGTTCAATGGCTCTATCTTATTTCAAACAGAACGGTAATGAACTTTAATGCTGTCAAATGATTCCTTCCAAAATTTCAGCCACTGTCTTACTTAATGATA